GATCTGTCAGTCTTCTGAAGAGCAACGTTTTATCTGACGTTCCTCGCTATTAATGGGCTAAAGCAGTAATTTATTAGTTATTAAAATTCTAAAACTCATTGTTAGGCTTAAATTAAGCAGATTCCATAAATAATTTTTTTTGGTGTGAGGAAAAAAATATAAATTAATTTTCTCAATTTAACTATTTTTAAATCTGTGTGAATACTCAAATACAACAGATATTAAGAAATTGAAAATATTTTTCTCAAACGAATGCAAAATAACCATGACTGGACATTTTTGTTTACTTTCAGTTTTACCCCAAACGGGTTACAACAACTGTGCTAACCAACACCAGCCTGTTTGTTACAAATACATGTCAGTAAGGAAAAAACAACTCTCAACTCTCATTACAACAATACAATGTAAAAAAAAAACATTAAAACTACTAGAGTAATTGTTCGCAAAACCCGATTATACACAAACAACAACAATGCGAGCTAACGTTTCAATTAAAAAAAAAATGGGATTTTATAAGCGCACGAAATTAAATAAAGCAGAAAAGATTGGAAATTCATATTTCTCTACGCGCGGCAGCATTAAAAAGCCAAAATGGCAGTAACAAATAATAACGTACAAAAGCAGGGTAACAACCCCAATTACAGATGCACATTTCGTACATACAAACAAACAGACACATGTTTCGGAAATATCGGCTGCAATTGATCAGCCAAGTTATAATTAATCAAAAATTTATTCCTCAACCAGGGATGAACAGAAAATTTGTAAGTTAATTGGTTGATTAATGAAAAATCCGAAATTTAAAAGTATAATAAATAATTATTAAAAATATTTAATTGAAAGTTGGATATTTATTAAGGTTAAAGGTTAAAGACAAATTCCAAGGTAAACAAACTGATGTGTGGTTTTAGAGCTGGCAAGTCAACCATTGACCAGATATTCACCATATGCCAAATCTTGAAAAGGACCCGAGAAAAGAGGTTCCACACACACCGCCTCTTCGTCGATTTAAAACTGCCTTCAACACCACAATAAGGAGCTGCCCTTATGACGCTATGTCTGAATTCGGTGTCCCCGTCAAAACTTATACGGCTGTATAAATTGGCAGCCGGAATAGACAAGGACCTCTCCGATTTGTTCTACACCAAACGGGGGTTCAGGCAGGGAGACTCCTTATCTTGTGATTTGAAATATCAAGAGCTGCAGAATTATATAGACAAGTTGCAATATGTTATAAGAGTGTACAACTTCTGACGTAACCCGATGATATTGATATCATATTCCTCAACAACCACGCCGTTTGTTCTGTTTTCTCCCGACTTAATAGAGTTGCGAAGCGATTGGGTCTGGTAGTGAACTAGAACAAGTCGAACGAACCGCTGTCATCAAATAAGCAGTCATCGCATTTGCGACTTGGCTCCCACGTCATTGTTGGCAGTCATAATTTCGAGGCCATAGATAATTTCGTCTATCTAGGGATCTAGGGACCCGTATTAACACCAATAATAACAACTGCCTTGAAATCCACCACAGAATCTCTCTCGCCAGCAGGTGCTATTTTAGACTGAGTAGACATTTGAAAAATAAAGTCCTCTCCCGACGAACAGAAACCAAACTCTATAAGTTGCTCATCATACCCGTCGATCTGATGAGTCGGCTTTGGGTCTCTTCCAAAGAAAAGTTTTGGGTACGATTTATGGTCCATTACGCGTTGAAAACGGCGAATAGGCAGGCGATGGAACGATGATCTGTACGAGCTATACAATAACATTGATATAGTTCAGCGAATGAAGAGACAGCGGCTACGATGACTAGACATGTCCAGCTTTCGAGTACCCGCTGGTGGGAGCAGAGAAGGATAAAGTAGATAGCGACCTGTTTTCACATAATATTTCCAGCGTTGAAGAAGAACACAATAGAAGGTGCCTAAAGTGTCTAGATGAACTTATAAGGATGTTGGTCTCGTTAAATAGGGATGACTATTGATAATACCTCTTGCTTTTCCGGTACTCCTTCATGCCTTCATACAGCCTAACATGGTCTTTCCTGCATCGTAAGCAAGTTTTGTAAAGAGAGAGAATCTCATTCGCATGCCCGGGAAATTTTTTAAAGCGAATAGCACTTTGCTTTTGTACAGATCCCAATTTATCACAAAACAATTGAAGGTGTGGAGGAAGATGAAAATGAAGGTCAAGGTGCGAATCCTGGTCCGAACAATGTTTCTTGAACGAATTTATGACTTCGAATAAAAGCTTCTCATAAAAGTGCGTCGGCCGTTCGCAGACGACTTAGAACAAAGTGTAGCTCCCTCCATTTGCTTGTGTTCGTTACTTGTTTTTTTTTTAGTTTTTTCCTAAAAAAGTTATTTTTGATAAAAGTGGCAAATAAGAACCTCCTAGTGACAGCCAAGATTTCCTTTGCGGCGAATTTTACATAAAAACCTCATTGTTATGATGACTTATAAAGTCCAAGAACTAAAGTCTCATGTTAATCCACCGACCAACAACTGATCACAGCGAACAAGACGACCGAACTTGCTCATGTATGTTAAACCAGCTTAAGAGACGGCACTGAATTTAAAATCGAATGCAAACGGTGTCATTTATCGCAGCGGTAGAGAGACAATTGAGCCATGAAGAAACACATTAATTTGCAGCGTACGTTTGTACCCGTTAGTTAAGTGGATTGCGGTTGTTGGTAAAGCTACCGCTAGACGGCTAACTGGGTAAGCCCAAATTGGCAGTTGTTCGTACGCCTGACTCAACTCACTCACTGTTAGCCTACTGTCGGATGACTTCGGAACAGTTATGTCAAACTGATATTCTACTTATTATTTGTCTTTAAAAACCAACCTCAAAGTGTCTAAAAATGCAAAAAAAAAAATAAAATAAATTAAATAAATTACAAAGCACTTTGTAGACAAACTGGGCTAGAAAAATTGAGAATAATACTGTTTGGTTACAAAATGTAATGGAACAAATTATGCTTTTGTAACGGTTGTAATTTGCTAGCATAATTTAAGCTGACACAACTTCGGAGGGGTTCCACTGTGTACCTTTGAGATGTTACAAATATGGATGATTAGATTAATTTGATTTCTTTATGATTATGCAAAAAATGTAAAATAATAAATGTAATGATACATAAACGCCGTAGGCTCACAAAACACTGTTAAGTGTGATAGAAGACTTTTATTAATTTTTATATTAGAAATAAGTTAAAGGTAAGGCTGATATCACCGCCCAAAAGATGGACGGGCCAAAGACAAGTACTAAAGCGGCCATATAAAGGAGAGCAAATTTCGTGTTGGCTCCGTGCTGAGAGAGACTCAGTTGTCGAGTATCGGCACACACATCACGCAAGCAAATTCATCAAAGTATTTGGCAGTCAACGAAAACGCTCAACTAGACAGACAGTGATCATTACCATTTCCTTCGAGTACTTGAGGTCGACTCGGGCAGCTCGCAACTGTGCAACAGAGAAAGCTCTTCAACAAACTAATGGAAGGTCGTAAAGCTGTAATCACAACAGACTGTCAACGTTTTCTACTCATCTTACACTTGCCCTCTGAGAACTGCAGAAGGTATAAGATGCTCAATACGTGGATCAACAAGCGAAACAATTCGACAAGATCAAAAGAAAAGTACTGGTGATTTGAGGTCTACGATACTGCAGTGGAGCAAATAAAAGTCTGGTTATCTCACATCTTTGCGGTCTAAACTGCAAGCAAAAAAGGCAAGAGGCGGAAATGCGTGTGACTGATGCTGGTAATTTGGTTACTTAAAAAAAATTTCATGACCGGAGCGTATTTACATAGAAGTCAAAAAGGTAATCTGGGGTATCCAGGGTATACTAAGTTTGTAAAGGAAATATTTCTTCACGCAATAAAAGTGAAACATTCAGAGGAGAAGGGGTTTGTAGAAGATTTATGGTTAGGAGCACAAACGAACAGATGATCATTCCGATTCGATTGGTAACAGCGTAAAACTAATCCTCAAACTGCTGTAACGGAGACCTTGACTATAATAGACCAATTTATAATCAGTGCAACATTTTTCGGGTCATCGAATCCGACTAGACTTTTGTGATCAAAAGTGGAAAGTACATGCCAAATCTTGAATCTCGGCATCATTCGTTTTGCATTCAAGCGTGGTTTGTGTAACAAGACAACACTAAATCCGTGTGAATAACATTTTTAAAAGCAGAAAAACACTCATAATTTTAATATGCAAAATACAAACTGCACAAAACTCGACTGATAAAGACTACACTTCGAACACGGTTTGCAAATCTTGCTTTACAAATCTTTTTCACTGGATGAAAGTAAGAAATAAAGCCCGTCGGCGCTGCGTGAAGCCAGTAATGTGGATGGGTGACCAACATGGGCATGATGAAACTAGACTTTACGTATGCCTCAACTCTGCTGTTGGATTGAACAGACGTAAGTAAAAAAAAATAAAAAGAAACCACTGCTACTGCCATAGCCGTAGAAAAACGCTCTCCTTGTGTCGATCTATTCAAGCCACCGACTGCGGAAAATTAATCTGAGGAAGACACAACTGCTGGGACCAATCCAACCAATATGTTGGATTTTGATTGGGAGCCGAATGTTCAAAATAATTCACCACAACCGCTCACACAAATCGAAATGTATTAAGGATTACATTGAATTTTTCACCTCATTTTTGAGTTGGATTCGGCATACATATGAAGGAAACGTATGAAACATTGGGCTAAATATCGGAAAAAATCAATTTATTATAATAGTAAAAAAATTATATATTATTATTTTACATGAGACAAAGTGATTTTTACAGATGCATATGTTCTTAAGCTGCGCTTAGGCAATTAAAATATAATAATATAATAATTAAGCAATTTATACACACATAAACTGCACACCAAGCAACTGTTATTTACATTACACAAAGCTTATGAAAATATTTACAACAAAATTACAATATTTCTAAGAATACTTCAAATATTTTTTCAATACTCACTCGCCGCTTGCATTATTAGAAATCCAATTATGAAGAAGTTCATTTTTCGCCAGATTCAGTCAAAGATCGCCGGCAAATGATTTTGAAATGCAAATGAAATATGCAAGGTACTAATTGAAAATTGGAAAAAAAAATTTATGTCACTCTGCACGATTTAAATATAAAAAAAAAAAAAATTTCACAGTTTTTTTATCTTTTTTTCTTTTAATTTAATTTTATTTTTATTTTTTCTTTTAATTTGCGTATTTGTTAAAGCGCCACTGGTAGGCAATGATTAGTATGCTAAATTTCCAACATACCAAATCTAAAATCATCATAGAGATCAAAAATCAAAAATCAAAAATCAAAAATCACATATCACGCGTAGTCGTATTTTCGAAAACGATAAACATACATACATATGTATATGCAAACTAGTGCGATGTTGAGAAACTATGCACACGAGCGTCGGTCAAAAGTGAAAACCCGCATGAAACTGTAACTCGCTGGAAATAAATGTATGCAAATTGTATACATTTTTGGAACAAAACATTTTTTATTTTATTCATTGTTTTTTTTATAACTCATATTTATTAAGCAGCTTCAACGCATGCGCACCACTACACCATTTAATTCATTAACTTTATGAGCACGTAATTGGTCGGTTGACTTCACTGTGGGCCGTAGGTTGTGGTATGTACTTCAAATTACATTAAAAAACATTTTTTTTAATAAAGCAAATATTTGTATAAATAAATTTCACTCTATTGGCTTTTAATTTAAGTATAAGTTAGCTAAAGTTGTATATGTATATATGTAGATAAATATTTCACCGGTTAACTGTAGTCACAGCAAGAGTTCAATATTTTCCAAAGCTGTTAATTATTTGTCATAGGAAAGGAAATTCACACAAGCCTCTAAGACATACGATATTATACATATATACATATTTTGAACATATATATAATATATAATATGTGCATTTGTATGTAAATTTATGGGTAAAAAAACGTTGAATTATATTAACAACTGAACGTGAACATTCCCCGTAAAACCAAAAAATCAAACAATAAAAAAACATCAACAAACAACACTCTCTCTTTCGATATGCAAAGTAAAAGCGGTTTTTGTAGCGAAAATGATCACAAAAAAAAATAGTTAAAATACACCAGCGAATGACCGAATGATAACCGACAACTATCGATCGGCGACAATGAGTACGCATAAGAAAACAAGAAAGAAGTGTCGTCTTCGCTCATGCCGAAGTCTTTATACCATTAACGAGCTTATCAAATTATTGTAAAACGCTAAAGTTCGCCATTCATTCCTCTTTTGCACTGTTTGTCGCCAGTTGGAAATACCAAGTCACTCACCACCTGTTACTTCCTCTGCTTCCACCGGCGTGTACTGCCTCGAAAACTTTCAAAGCTGAAGTATTCGCATTCATTCGCACCACATGACTTAGCCAGCGTAGCTGCTGCTTCTTGATTTGCTGCACTATGTCAATGTCGCCGTATAACTCACACAGCTCATCATCTGCGGCATTCGTCGTTGTCAATGCTCACAGGACCATAAATCGTTCGCAAAATTTTTCTTTCGAAGACACACAAAGCCGACTCATCAGTTATTGACATCGTCCATGCTTCCGCACCATATAGTAGGATGGGTATGATGAACGAATTCTCAAGTTTGGTTTTTGTTTGTCGAGAGAGTACTTTACTTTTCAATTACCTACTCAGTCCAAAGTAGCACCTGTTGGCAAGAGTGATTCTGCGTTAGATGCCAAGGCAGACATTATTATTGGTGTTAATGCTGGTACCTGAATTGACGACATTATCACTACCTCGAAGCTTTGACTGTCAGCGACAGTGAAGTGTGAGCCAAGCTCTTCTCCTTCTCACAGTTTCACACTTCGGACCAAACTTAATATACCATTTCATGTACATGAGAGGTATAAAAAATATAAAAATTGAATATCAAATGAGAGAAAAATTTTTAGCGAGAGGTTATGTACACTCATTTATACCAACAATGCAATAAAATTCCTATGGGCACTTTAATCAGCGGAAAGCAATATCAATGCCAAATACTTTGTAGAGACTATATTTTTGTATGAACCTTTGCAGAGATATGCAAAAGAGCTTTGTAAAAGATTGTGTGTCCCAATTTAAAAAAAATTGTATATGATTTTGTTTAAGCATTTTTGAGTGATCTGAATGATCTTTCGCTCTGCAATACCGAAAATCTTGGTCACGTGCTTAATTTTATCTTCCATTTAGTCATTTCCATCCTCTTTTTCTGACATTTTCTACCTAGCGGCGACCGGAATTCGAAAAACGTACTTAATTTTGTATTTATATCAATTTTCTTTAATTGTTGAATTTTTACCGGACCGGGTCTCGAATCTTGGCCTTCCGAGTGGCTGTACGCAATGCTATGCACTCGGCTATCGCTGCCGCAACTTTAGTCGCCATTAAAAGATCGTATCTATCTGGGTTTCATGTGATTAATTATTGACTTCAATATTCGTTGCTAAGCCAAGCGGGGTTGGAAAGCAAAAAATACTTTAAATGGGACAAGAGTGTAGTTGTTGCCCGAATGCGACCATTAGCAATTTATGTTTATATTATACCCAGGAAAGTATAAATATGAAATGACCTCTGTCTAGTAGTTTCTCAGATATATTTTTTGAACCAAAAGCGGGTTTTACCACACCCAAGCGCAATTTTATCCATCCCTTGTATTTTTCCATTTAATATAGTTTAATTTGCAAGACAGCCAAACTAACTTCGGAGCAGCCTCTCCTAACTGAGCTTAAACCGGCAAAACCTTGCCAAAGCCCACAGTAATTCGTGATTATTATCTGAGCTTTTTGCGGTCGATAAAGATCAGTTTGTTTTAAATAAAGGTACTCTGATGATGTTATGAAGGAGCTTCTTTGCCAAAATTTCCACAGCTACTTTCGAACAACCTCCGTGTTCACCTAATATGGCTCCAGCCTGATTTTCTCTACAAAACTCAAGATGCCACAACGAGTCATCTGTTTTCACTCGTTATAAGACAACAACAGATAATTCAAAGCGAAAACTGAAATTGGTTCTAGAAAATGTGTTTAAAAACTTTTCCGTCGCATGGATTATTTTTTGGCTTGTAAATGTATGTATTACTTCGGAAGCGGACTACTTTGAAGGCAATGCAATAAATTTGTATGAATAATAAATATTTTGTTTTTTGTTCAGCAACTCCCGGCGCTTTTCTTACAAAATATGTACATATATATTTTAATCAGTGAACAAACGAAAAAAAAAAATGCCAACATAGCGATGAAACTAATGAAAACTGCTTGCTGTAAGCGAAATAATAGCGTAAAAGGTATGCGTATGCATAAAATATAAATGAGGGTGGTACAAAACATTATGAAGACGGCAGAGCTTCTTTCAAATAAACAATAGCAACTGCAATTTATGCAACCTCAAATAAAATATAATAAAATAAAAGGAAGTGACCAATAGCGCAGTATGTGCCAGAGTGCATGAATCGCATGTGCGTTATCGAGAACATTGCATAAGGCGTAATGTATGTGTGCGAGCAAGCAGCGGGTATATAAGAGCGAAGCAGACGCTGTTGGAAGTTCAGTTGCATAGAGCGGTCTTTAGTGGCAATATTGTTGAACTACTAATGTCACTCAGTAAGGAGTGTATGTAAGGCAATTGTAAAAATGATTGAATAATGAGTAAATGTTTTACAATGAGAGAGTCGTATGTTTATTTTTGGTGACTTTTATATAAAAAGTCAAATTATTGAAATCGGAATATTTGGAAATTGAACGACGTTAGTTTAAAGGGTTAAAATTTTCTACAAAGTATAAAAAGTGCCAAGTGCTGTCACGTCTCAAAACTGCTCAAATTAACGCCACATTTTCCCGAACATTGCGGGGATCTACTTTTTTTCTTTCTCTGATATAATTCTCATTTACTATGGAGTAAAATCAAAAGCCAATCGATATAAACAATAGCCGAGCGATTAGCATGACACTTTATAGCTGCATTCTTTCGTGACGTATGGCAATATTTTGTTTGGAGTTAGTAACAGACTTCATTTATACTAGGTAGTTCGAGCAACCATGGATCAGTCTGGCACTACGTTTTCTTAAGTGGATAATTCGCATCGTCAGACACGCCATCCAGTGGGCGCCAAAGACCCAGTTTCTGCTGTCAAGCAGAGTATCGTGACTTCTTCATGCCTGAATTGGAGGTGTTGATATGGACGACCTTTGGTTCTAATATGACGGCGTGTATGTCATGCAACGCCAACGAAAAAATTAATTTATTGAAGGAAACATTTGGTAATTGGTATCATCTCGCGTCATTGACTTGTGGCGTGACCCAAGTGATCGTGCGATTTAACATCGCTGAACTATTTTTATGTGAAATCGCTTGTCTACATAGATAAGCCCGAGTCCATTGACACCTTGGTTGCAAATACGGTCTATCTTATCGAATTTATTCGGGTCAGCTGCGTCGATCAACTGGCCAAAATCATTTTTAAAACAAAAGAGTGATAGCTTGAGTATTTTTTTATCACCCTAGTATGCATATCTAAAAGAAACGGTAGTCAAGCAACTGCAGCGGGCACTGCATTCAACGAACCAACTCATCTTATCACCAATATTGCTGCACCTAAACTTGTATATTTCGTTATTACTATTTTTTTTAGTGCTGTTGCTATCACTGTTTTCATCATCTCACTCTGTTGTCATCACATATGGACATGTAAGTATCTCCTTACTTCACCGAGCTCATGTAGAAGACATATTGAGTTTCTGCGACACCTGTTTGCTTCATTTCTGTTTGCCTGTTATTGATTGTCTGTTTGTATTCATGCTTTTTTATTTCAATGTATTATGTTTGGTTGTGCTCTGCATGTATTTACGAATGTATATTAAGACATAAAAGACAATTTCATGTTTTTTAACTCTTCGTTTTTACGCAGAACCAGTATTCATGAACACCGCTGGTAAAAGCGCAGAGCACGCTCAGCGCTGGTCAGATGAAATTTTCCGATAAATAAATGAATAAAATCTATCTCTTTGAGGACTTTTTTCCAGGAAAAATATGAAGAAGGGGTGTTTATAAAAAGTGACGATAGAATATAGAACTCACGCTCAACAGAGGCACGCACATATTTAACATGATCGCGATTTTGGCCTATAAGAGCCATTTGAGCAACTACGATACGGGTGTACCTATGTTCCCGGGAAGGCATATTCTTTAACATGCCTTTATTCAAGAGGTAATTAACAAATGAAACGATGTGTAAATTTACTCCTTTTAGATCGTTTCTACAAAGGAAAGATGCTACTCTAATGATTTTTGTCGCATGAGCAGAAAAAACAGTCGTTACAACACTCAACACCACCCGGCAGTATCATCTCGGTAAAATATTATTTCGTATTCCTCGCGGAGCCAATTACAGCATTCGTTGACAATCCCAAAGTGTTTCATGTAGCGAGGAGGCTAGGAAAAGTTTTTGTTTTTTCAAATTCTTATACAAATATGGGTTTCGGTTTTATTGAAATACGCCAATATTCCCACCGCACGCCACTGCATTCGTATAGCTGCCGCGAATGGCCTTCAGTAGCCCATTCTGTGCGGTCTAAACCCAAATTTCAACACATTTCCGATTGTGTGATACTCGATGGCTACTACGGCGATTTTAATATCGTATTTCTAGTCGTGAATCGTTTTCGTATGGCGGCATAGAGCTTATCTTTAACTGTCGCTCCAAAAAAAATTGTTTCACCGAATCAAATTGTTACCGTTGAACGACTAGTCCAACACAGGGTGCCAAAGATCGATTGTAACGTTGGCTGTGTGGCACGTGCAAGCTTTTTCCTCATCGCCGGTTAACAGGCCCTGCCAAACAGTCACTCATTGAGGAAATATTGGCTTATCGAAGTAAGTGGAATTGTCTACAATTTTATTTCCCGCCATAATTTTAAAGAGTACAAAATATTTCTATTGAAATGCACATACCGGATCTTCACAATCCATCAGCACCACATGCAAGTAATTTACTGAAGATATGACTCACAGACGCAGACGAATAACGTTGGCCATTAAATGACTGCAGCTAACTTACATATGTACATACATACAAGTCGTAATATGGGACTTTTGTAAGCAGTTTGCCATTCCAAGAGGCAGCTAAATCATAGAGTAGGGAAGAGCGTACATACATGCATATTAAGGCATGTGCCACGTGCCACCATTCGTGTCTAAAAATCATACACAACTATGTACATGCATATGATGTACACGTTCCATTGCGTTCCGGGTGTGTAGTTATCCACATACATGCAATTCGCTTATTCGTAATATAATAAATAATATTATAAATTAAAGTGCGCAAAAAAAATTGGGAAAAATTTACATAAATATGTATGTATGTATGTAGGTATAAAATGCAATAAAAGGAATTATGATTAGTAAACATTACAAGCCCGGAAGCCTTTTTTCTCTGAGTGATAATTGGAATATATTAATAAAAAGTTTCGTTATTTTTTTTTATGAACAAATTATGATGATAAAGATTTTTAGTTCTACAAAAAGAAAATCTTAGTTAAGATCTCTGCCAATCATCAAAACATTTTTTAAATGCATTTTCGTAAATCAAATTCAATTCTCTCGACGACGATTACTCTTTTATGCTTCAAAGTGGTAATATAAGTTTTGAAAAGAGAAAAAGGTCAACCGACTTTGTTTTACGTGAGATCGGTCGATGATTCGAGGATATTTGCTAAGCTTCGAGAGATTTTGCGTTTCTTACATAACTGGGCTTTGGAGAGAAATTTGTTCTCTCAAAAGCTTCGTAAAGCTCAAAATTCTTTAATTAACCCTTGGCCTTCTGGAACTTCAAGTACACAAAATTATATTGATCAAAGAAAACTGTTGCTTTTGGACGTATTTAACGCATTCCTTTCGGTCTGGGCTAAGTTTGTAGTCACTGTTCGGAAGCTCATTGTGGTTTGCATATCAAACTCATCAGATCATGCCTTACCATACATACAGGACGTTTGAAAGCCATCACAGATCTTTACGCGAACAACTACCTTTTTAAAGAAAAACCAACGTTAAAAAGCAAATCTGCCGCATTTGGGGTTCATAAAACCCACGCCTAAACATGGAAAAGCCAATGCAGCCTTAACGACTGATTATTTTTTTGCGGCTTGTAGACAGGTCGCATCACTGGTTTGTTTTCAACATGCTAAAGTCCGCGTTACCATCGATATTTTGTACGAAAATCGCCCAATTTGCGGAAACGCCGATATAAACTGTCCGCATCGTAGCTGCAGTTTGACTCCGCAGAATCTTTAAGTATAAGTGCTACGCCAACCATCTTGAGACGAATCATGGCTTAAAACTTAAAATTAAAGTAGCCATTACAGCCATAGAGGGCCACACAATCGAAAATGTATTGAAGAACAGACCACAGCAGTACCCTTTGCAATCATGGAATCCGCGGAGTGACTGCTCAAATCTGTCGTAGCAAGACTACCAGTGACGATATATTCAAGCGGTCATCACTTCTCTACAGTGTAATAATACCACATTAAAAGTATCTATAAAATGCAGGCAGCCAAGATCTGTATACCCGGCAATTACACGGCAGCCGAAATCGCGAGAGAATGAACCCCTTTATCCGCTGTTGGCATACCTCTGTTCATGGAAAATTATATGATAAAACTGGCTTTTACCGAAAAAACAAACACTGGATGACTGAATAAGAATACGTGCAACGTAACCAGACAACTATGGTCTAAATTGGATGCGAAAAGATCAAGACATTTTATGCTCCTAGATCAGTTCTCCAGTAGCAGGTGTATTATCAGGTCACTGTTTAATGGTGCTTCATGGAAAAGCAATGAGCAATCACTCTAATACTTATTGCCGCAGCTGCAGGGACGATGGTGGAAAAGAGTTTATTGAACACTATCTCCGTCACTGTGCAGATTTGATAACCGCGCGATGCAAGTTTCTTGAGAAACACAAATGCTATAATTACTATATAAGTATATACATATGTATTTATATAAAAAATACTGTCATTCACTTGAAAATTTCTTTGTCTTTCTACAACACTTCAGGCAATTTAAACGGCTTTTACCAAATTCAGTTATTTAGGTCACGCAGGTTTTTCATGCTTTTTTATTTAAACTCATTTTATTTTTATTTATGTCATGTGCGCATGCGTATGTAACTGCATCTTTTTTACTTTTCATGCGTTTCACTTTCGAATTGTTTGAAAATGAAAATGTTTCACTCAAAAAAAAAAAGAACAACGAAAGGCACTGCTGCTGTTTTTTACGTATTTTTTTATTTATTATTATTATTTTTGTTTGTTTTTTTTCACCAATTTTTACCAATAGTCGCTTTGATTTCACAAGGTTAATTTTTTTATTTTTCAATCAATTACCATCACGTTGCAAAACTAGTGGATTTAAACTTTTTTACAAAAACAAACTCAAAATTGCAATATGAATATAAAATATTAATATGCCAAACACGCTATACATATGTATGTATCTAACTGTTGTTGTTTAGCAATTTGGCACTAAACTTTTCTTACACGTTTCGCTTTATTCTAAACGAATTTCGGTGTACGTTTTAGTCGATTTGCGCCCACTTACACTGTATGTATGTATGTATGTATGTTTGCTGGTTAAACACTCTACAAAAAACTAGCGCTACGAACTTATTCTAAAACGCAAAATATTCGTGTAACTATGATAAGCGCATTCGAGTTGTTTGTCCGGGAGCGTTAAACGAAAGACTAAAGACACAAACTTCACTCCCAGCACATATGAGGTGGCGGACATTGCTCGAGTATACCAAACTCACCACGGCAGAAAAGTTAAAATAGCAAGAGAAATAGAAAACTTTAACACCTCGTATTAACAGTGTGAGTGATTCACTCTCAGTATAAAATGTTTACATTTTGTCAGCATTTTCTCAGGCACTGCTGGAGTTGTGGGCGAGCGGGTCTCACTTTTTTCTTCGACTGAATTTTCGTTGCACAAGAATGAATTTTAATGGGCCGAAAAGCAAAAAAGTATTCTTAATTGTAAAAAGATAGATGAAAAACAGTGGAATTAAAAGTGATCAACAAATTCCACACGGAAGCGCTGCACATACACATGTATATACGAGTATGATTATAATTTTGGAAAATTTAAAATGCAGGGCTAACCGCGATGAAAGTAATAAAATGTGACAGCTTCTTTCAAGTAGTGGACACCTACTCCTTTCCTGTTAGGGAATAAATGAACGGAAGGCGGGTCCATCGACAACAATGAAGATATCCACGCCTACATATACTATTGGGCATAAATGTGAGGCAGGCATAGGAGCAGGATTCTTCTGTGATCACACCAATAACCAAGTTAGCTTCAAACTCTATGTATATCTACAAGTCTGTCTTCCAAGCAGAGTTAGTGAGCATTACTGAAGGTTCCAAAATGGACAACCGCTTTAATGAGAAAATCTGTCAACTTTTTGGTGGGCATTCAAGCGTCAATTGCAACAATTAAAAAGGTCAACACAAGGTCCAAATATATTAGAACATGTAATCAGGCAATAACAGAATATCGCGGGAAAACACAGTGATTCCCAGCTCACACGGATGTAGCAGGCAATGGAAAGCCATACGAACTAACTTGCGTTGGCACTATTGGGGAGAATGTCACCATCGACTTTCTCAGACCCTTGAGTAGTTTTAGCGCCTTTAAGTGCTGTTAAAACGGTAAACCGTAGAGGAACAATTAAGGCTTTGAAACGCTTCGGGTGAAAGAGTAGCTTAGGATAAGCGGCTTGTGGTCAGAAAGGTATTCAGAGTAGTTGGTTGATTCTTTGAAAGAGGGAGGTTGGGGACCACATGCAGCTTATCCTATGCCACTCTTGCACCCGAAGGATTCAAAGCCGGTTCACATACCCCACCAAAGCGACAGTCGTTGTAGGATGTATTGGCTTTTCCATACTTACTTATGTATTTTTTGAGCCCCAAAAGCGATAGTTTTGCTTATTAACGAGGCGAAAATGAGTTTCATAGAAAAAAAGATTTTTCGGTAACTATGCTCAACCTCTACAAAGTGATCTTCAGCTCATTGAGTGATGCGAAATGGCATTGGATGCTCGTGGACCTACAGTTTTTGGATCAGTTAGACTTTATCAACCTTCGTATCGAGGTCTTTATGCAAAATTCTGTGATGTTTGTGGCTGTTCGAGCACACTTCGAACTACAGCAACAATATTTTTCTCGGAAGGCACTGGACGAGCACGTTCTCGATTTCAAACGAAATAAACGAGCTCACTGCACAATTTTGTACTCAAACTGTTTGGAAGGTGAGATATTTCCATGAAATTTCATGCTAAATTTTCTTGAACTTGCGGTTAAAGACTCGTCATTTTGGAATAAGTTTTAAATGTGCTCAATTTCCTTCAAACGTGAATTTAATAATTTAGACCGCAGGCCGTAAATGTTATACTGAATATTTACGCATGTCATTCAGAAGACCCGGGTTCAAATCCTGGTATAACCAACTTTCAAAAGTCATAGAAAATTAATTTAAATAATAAATTAAGATCAACTTTGTAATTGCGGTCGCTCACGGCAGAGAATGTATTTCTGACATGAAGCAAAGGCTCCTCATAAACAACCATCAGCCGTTCGGAGGCGGCTTAGTATAAACTGTAGGTCCCTCCATTTGTTGGAAAAACATCAAGACGCAAAACCACAAATTGGAGGATGAGCTCGGCCGAAAAATGGCTTCAGCGGTTACAAAGCGCCAATTAAATAAAAAAAAAAGTCGCACCTCAAAAGGCAAGTCGGAAACGGCTTCTCCAAATAGTTTCTTTTATTTTTCCACCGATTAGGTTGCTTGCCCAATTTAATAAATTTTGATATATTCTTTGTAGCTTTTGTTTTGTTTGGTTAGATAGCTGCCTGTCTGAGTAGTGAAAATTCTCTGTTTTTTAATCACCCTCCATATCTATTTCCTGTTACGCCCCTGACATAGTATACTTCCTCAGTGGGCACCTACTGCTTCGAAAATTGGAAAGGTAGCTTATAATTGAATAATATAAACACAAATAAATACACACACACCTATGTATTCTATATACAACAAAGCACAGAAACAATCATTGCTTTCAAGGCAGCAGCTCTCTAGCTCACAAGAGCATAACTTTTTTCCACTTTGACAAAGAGTGTTCATCGCCCAGCAGCTAACAGCGAGTCACACCGAGTACCACCATTTGTTCTGCAGCAACAACAACCATTCACTCACTTAGCAGCCAACATATATATGTATGATCTGCACAATTGTTATTATAATGTGTTTTTTCTATTTTATTTTAATTTTCATTCCGGCGACTTCTCCTCGCTTCGGCAGAGGCAGTCTTAAAGCTTTTGTTGCACGCCTACCAAGCGCCAAGAGCATAATAATATAGTAAATTATCTTCGCTTTTATTGTGTTTTTCATATAAGTATAGGCTCTTTGGTGTTGCGTGATGTTTCTTCTTCCGTATCTTAATAATTTGAACTGCGCCAAATTAAGGGCCCAATTAACACTTTGTTTTGATCATTTAAATAAAAAAAAAACTTAAAAAATTATTGTTCCGACTTGGATGGTTTGCTATAGTTGTTGTAATTGTGTGTTTGTCTTCTTTAGTATTGTGTACATATATTTATAATAAATGGTATTTTATTGACTTCTGTCGAAGATCTATTGTAACATTTGTATATAATAATAATAAAATAGAATACTATACAATTCAACTTGAAAATACTATAAATATTTGAAAAACGAATTCACTTTCAATTCGAATCAACTTTCAAGGGTATTGAAGAATAATAGGCCACACTTTTCCCAAGATTCTAAGAACAAAGTAAAATTAACCAAAAAAAAGACTTGTTCTCTTCGCCATTATAAGGTTTTTCTAAACATCCTTTTTTTAGGCGAATAGTTTTCAATGAGTCAATACGATTTTCGGAGTTGGTCTTTTCAACAGCATTTACTTGATTTATTCTAAGTTTGGTTTTGCACTTCAGAATGGCCCGACAAAGCAGGTAATTCACCGAACCATAGATCGGTTTCGTATTACGTTAACTGCATTAAATATTGCGTATACTGAGAGATGCCGTACAGCGTGAACCGAAAACGCTAACGCTGCTGTGGAGCAAAGTATAGAAGAAGGCCCGCATTAGTCCTCCCGCCATAGCGCGAAGAAAATGGTACCGTGACCATCCATTTTATGGAAGATTTTACGAAAAAATGTTAGTTTGCAGGCTTACAAAATCCAATTCGTGTGAGAATTGAAGATGAAATGCCATCGATCGTATGACACGTCCGGATCATGTGCCTGAAACAAGTTGGGCAGCGATCCCAATTTTTACCAGAATTTTTGTGCAACAATGAAGCTTCCTATTGGTTAAAAGGGTACATTAATAGACAACATTGTCGCCATTCAGAGTGATGATAATCCACAAGCCGTTGTTAAGACGCCGAAAAATCCTCAAAAAGTCTGTTTGGTGTGCTCTATGGGCAGAGGGAATCATTGGTCCATATTTCTTCAAAAATGAAGCCGGTCATAATTTGACAGTCAATTGAGATTAATGAGTTGCTCGTGTCTGGAATGGAAGGTGTTTATGTCGGTGATCTTTGGTTCCAACAAGACCGCACTCTATGCCATTTAGCCAACGAAACAATCAATTTATTAGATCAAACTTATGAATTTGTTTCACGACGTGGGTCTGACAGTCACAATAAGATCAAGTGATTTAACTCCGCTGATCTACTGGTTATGAGATAAGCCCGAGATGGCTGACGATTTGGGAAAGAATATTCGGTATGTCTAAAAAACAGCTTTTACTTTTCAAGAACATATTAAACTTATTCATTTACATTTCTTATCTTCTAATACTTTTAGAGTTTTAATATGATATAGTCATCCGATGTGGATGCCTTTCGGTGACGACATTCATTTGTATATACACATGTACTCGTACAACAAAAAAGTTCACCCTCTTAGATGCTCTCTTATCGGGTTTAATACCTCATATCTGCACAAATCTATTTTATGAGGGTCATACAAAATGTTATAGTGGTCCGATCCGGTTCCGCCAAATGGTTGAAATATCTCAAAAATTGAGGGACTCTTCGACACCGGTAAATCAACTTAGCTCGCCATTGTGATAAAACTTAAATAATGGAGCTAATACAATTATAATAAATCCATATATTGGGTGAATATCTGTCGGTGAAGCCCGCCGTAGCCGAGTGGTTAGCATTGCGTACTACCATTCGAAAGGCCCGGTTTCAAATCATTATCATTTAGTGGCGGTGAACTAACACAGTAATAAACCGGGTAATAAAATGGCTGCCAAACTTATAGGGAAGGATACTTCCCTTCCACTTTGGCCACCATAGAAAGGTTTTGGCCTACCGCTCTCTACTTTTTGGCTCACTATAAGAGAGTTATTCATCAAAGATACTAATTTCAGAAGAAAGAAACTAAATGGTTGCAATATGACTAAGATAATATGACTAACATGGGATGAAAGAAAGTAGGAGAGCTTATCAATTTAAAAAGGAAGAAGATATTTATATTACCAGTCTTCTTACAGAGAATATTTTATTGGTTACCTATGTAGATAGGTTTGACGACTTCTGCAAAACTTTTAAAAAAAAAGAAGAGCCTGAAGCTTTAAAGCACTACCTTTGCACCGAAATATGGAGGAGTAGATTGGCATAAATCTATCCACTTACCTTTAAAAAAGTTAAGCTTTTTTCATAAAAATATTCTCCAAGAATACGAACAGCTGAAAAAAATGTAACCAAGTCGAGTCAGCAGTTTCAATTTATGAATTACGATTGATTTTCCCCCATAATTTTTTTTAATATAAGTATACACGTATGAAAGTTTATTGCACGGACTTGAACCCTGGCCGCCCGTGTGGCAGTACGCAATGCTAGCCACTCGGTTTTAGCTACCGACAAAAATCACGCTAATTTATGCTCAGTAATAATCCGATGGAAAGATTTCTTTCGCATAAGATCTGATTTAATTAGATAAGCAATTACTCCTACGAATTACTTCTAGTGTCAGCGTACCGGTTGTTTTTAAAACGGTTTCATGAGTCATGAATACTCAATACTGTTACGATTTTACTGAATCAACCTCGATTATTTTCTAGATCCTTCGGGTACGATCTCTGGATTGTTAAATAAAAACTCGCCAACTTAGTTTGCAGTTTCTTTCGTTATAAAGATTCTATCTAATGTCCTTTATTCTCTCAGTAATTCACAATTCAATTATACTGCACTTTACTATTTATAATCACTAACATCAACTTTCACAATTTCCTCTACTTAAATGTAATTCCCTACGCGTTCACTTTACGTCTTCACTGATGTTAACGCCAACCAATTTGCTTTGTCACTGCCTGACTTGCAGCTGAGTGTCGCCTTTATATAGCAGTCGGCTGCTCGCAGACGAAAGCGTAGAAGCATCGAATTGTTCGCTATGGAAGGTTCTTGTGTTATCGGCTTCTCTCTTTCATCTGACATTCGCCTCGCATTTTCGCAACAATACGTTTGTGTGTGAGTCTTTAGATAAGAGTCACGATCAGTGCTGACCGTCAAATAGAACAGCTGATCCAAGTGTCAAATAATGATAAGAACGTTTTTGCTTCGGTACTAGATATATGAACATAACAACAAGTGTGATTTAGCGTTCAATTTATTTTAAAAATATAAGCGTATAAGTTTTAATACAGTTTGAAAAACGATTGAGTAGTTAAAATGTATACACGGTTGCTGAGAAATGTTCTCACACTAAGGTAAAATTGAACCATTTTCGACATATGTGCTGATGATTACATAAACATGTGTTAACATCCAAATACATACAAAGAAGTGGACCGATTTATATATATACACGTAATTATGTTTTTAACAAGCCTTATTAATCCTATGTAGAACCTACAGCACAAAGTCAGCGGCCAAAGTGGAATTACGACCGATCAATAAAATTTTAATCGCCAATCGCGGTGAGATAGCATGTCGTGTAATGCGCACTGCTCGGCGATTAGGTGTACGCACTGTTGCCGTGTACTCTGACCCCGATGAGCATTCACTCCATACATCAATCGCGGATGAGGCATACCGTGTTGGAGAGGCTGCATCAGCGGCATCTTATTTGCGAGGACAACACATTATTGATATTGCAAAACGTGCTTCTTGTCAAGCAATACACCCTGGTTATGGATTTCTTTCAGAATCAGTTGAGTTTGCTGAGTTGTGCCAACGAGAAAATATAATTTTTATGGGACCACCAAGTACGGCTATACGTGATATGGGTATTAAAAGCACCAGCAAAGCTATCATGGATGCCGCAGGTGTACCTATCATTAATGGATATCATGGTGAAGACCAGACAGACGAACGTTTGCAGGCAGAGGCAGACAAAATTGGATTTCCACTAATGATCAAAGCTGTACGAGGTGGCGGAGGTAAGGGCATGCGTATTGCAGAAAATAAAGAAGACTTTTTGACTGCACTCAATTCGGCACGCAATGAATCCCAGAAATCATTCGGTGACAGCTCTGTACTTTTGGAACGCTATGTTCGTTCGCCACGGCATGTTGAAGTTCAAGTATTTGCCGATCAATACGGTGATGCAGTTTATTTATGGGAACGTGATTGTTCTGTGCAGCGACGCCATCAAAAGATTATTGAGGAAGCACCAGCTGTATGTATTCGTTTTTTAACATTTATCTTTTCCAAACATATAAATTTAATATAATATGCTTGTTTTTCAGCCCGGTCTCCCTGAGCAACTACGTCGGCAATTGGGTGAAGCCGCTGTACGTGCAGCAAAAGCTGTAGGTTATGTTGGCGCTGGTACTGTGGAATTCATTATGGACAAAGAAGATCTGTCTTTTCACTTCATGGAAATGAATACGAGATTACAGGTTGAACATCCGATATCCGAAATGATCACCGGTACTGATTTGGTCGAATGGCAAATACGTATTGCGGGCGGTGAACGTTTGCCTCTGACACAGGAACAAATCGGTCGAAAAGGTCATGCATTTGAAGCACGTATCTATGCTGAAAATCCACGGTTACTATAAATTAAGACGCAGCCAGCTTACGGTTAAAATATTAAACTTTGATTTTTTTAAATTTTTTTTAGTGGCGGATTCCTACCTGGTGCTGGTCCCCTACGTTACTTGGCAACTCCACAGCCAAATGATTATGTTCGTGTCGAAACTGGCGTACGTGAGGGTGACGAAGTGTCCGTACATTACGATCCCATGATAGCAAAATTAGTTGTTTGGGGAGAAAATCGTGCGCAGGCATTGAATAGCTTGATTGCGCGTCTGCGTGAATATCATGTGAGTAGTTACAGTGAAACAAAAATATGCTGGCAATAATAAAATATCATTTGACTTGCAGATCACCGGTCTTGAAACCAATATAAACTTCCTCATCGATTTAGCTGCTCATCCCGAATTCCAAGAAGGCAATGTACATACCGGATTTATCGATGAACATTTTGAAACGCTTTTTCCACCCATCGAAATCAAAGATGAAGAACTTTGTAAGGCAGCTATTGCTTTGGTACTCAATGAAAGCCAGGTTTTTGGCAGCAATGCTGGCAAAAACGATCCGTTCAATGCGGCACAAAATGCGCGCTTGAACTACTCGCTGATAAGGAGTTACAATTTGAAAGGGAATGACAAAGGTGAGTTTTACAAATTTTTAATTTTCAAACGTGAATATGGTGAATTAAATGAAGAATATTTAAGTAGTATATAATATAAAAGTATGCCATGACGAGTCCAACCTGCAAATGCAAATCAATAACGGTTCTTGGAAAACTGTTAAGCCCATGCGTCTATCCGATGGCAACCGCTTGAAGATCAGAGCAAATATTGACAATAACATTTCTACATTTAATGCGAATATTGACGGCACAGAAGTGACAGTCTTTTTAGAGGTAAGTAAATATGACTTTAAGCCTTTCAATTCTTATCAACGATACTTTATTCACGATTCACATATCGTATTTAATTTTTAGAATGGAAAAGTAAGTTTTGAGCTTGTTCAGCCGAAATTTTTAAATACACTTTCTGATCAACAAAGTGGTACCAGCAGCAATAAAATTGTTGCACCAATGCCAGGTGTGTTGGAAAAGGTTTTAGTCAAGCCGGGTGATAAAGTGAAGAAGGGCGACAGCTTGGCAGTGTTGATAGGTAAAATTAAATGAATATATAAAATTAGTGTTATATATGCAAATATATACATTTGTATATGCTAATACAAAAAATCTCTACTACATTTGTCTACAAAATAATTTATTTTAGTCTTTATAAATAATTTTATTATTATATACTCTAATAAAATACTACCAATTGCAGCTATGAAAATGGAGCACATACTCAAAGCACCCCAAGATGCTACTATCAAGTCGATTGGTGGTGCTGAGGGTACTAATATTTCCAAAGGAGCTGCGGTTATTATCTTTGAAGATGAGGAGGAGTCTGCATAGAAAACTCTTGGCTTGACGAATGTACCAGAAAAATTGCATTTATTTTATTTTGGTGCCTGCAAATGATTGTAAACGATGCATTTATTAGTTTTTAAATGAGAATTTGTTTTTTGTTGTTCTCAAATATATATTTTTGACATACATACTTGTGCAATAAAAATTGTATTATAAAAATATACATACATATACATATGTACATATATAGATTTATAACATCAATGCAGCGGTGGTTTGAGGAAAGTATTTATGGTCCAAATAATATCAAATTAAAGATATAATAAGCAAAACTTTCAAATTTAACGGTCTCAGCAGATACATCTTAAACGAAATACATTTCCACTAGAAAAATACGGACAGCACAAATAGTTTGAAATGTTAAGATTCATTTATTTTTAATATTTCATTATTAATTGTTCTTTTATAATTACAATGATAATAATAATAATAATAATAATAATATAAAGCCTTTTTGATTTGATGTATATTTCACTTTTTTATTTCACTTAAATTTATGTATTTCGTTTTTAATATAGATTACTTTATTGTTTTATTTGTTATTATAGTAAAATAAAAAGTATGAGTTTTTCTATTATTCTTTACACAACTTCACACTCGTTTCCACATTCCAGTTAAATTTTTTAGAAGTTCGTTATTTCAATTTAGTTGATTATATAATGCAGCGAAAATTCTATACACAAAATGGGAAAGAAAAGGAAAACATATTAAAATACACTAATATATATACTTAAAGATATAAAAGAATTGTTAAAATTAAAAAAAAATTGTATTACAGTCATTTTGCTACGAACTTCATAAGATTTCCAAGCATATTTCTAAGCGCTCCTCATTAGTCATTTCATTTTAAATTCGAACTTACTTATCTTTTAACACATATTTTATTTAATGTATACTATTAAAAAATTGAAGTTTATAACAAGAAGTAAGTGTGCATTTGAGTTAACTTCTGAAATGCAAGGCTATGACTGAAATAGTTGCAGTAATTTCGTTTTACATTCTAACAGGATACAGATGTTGAAATAATATAAAACAGACATTACATTAATAAAATTCTTACTCAATTTTCAGGTGTAAAAAAGAGTCTCAAACAAAGTCCAAATTTTTTCTATTAGCAATTAGAATAAAAGTATTCAATACAATTATTATTTGCGTTCAGTTTGTAAGAATATATGTTGCTTTTTTCAATGTTAATTATTTGAATTATCTTTTTTCTACCGATCAGAGCAACATCGAAGAAAATTCAAGAAATTTGAAGAGCTCCGAGTACTCTTCTACCATGGGTATAATATAGCTTCTTCACAGCCGTTCAGAGGTTGATTGAAATGAGAATGTAGCTAAATCTTGAAAGTATTCATGAATTCCAAAACATAAAGGAGAGAAAAGACTTTGCTTACATAACGCATGGACAACTTGTTGTACTGTGTTGCCGATGTCAACCAAGTATGCGTAAATACACTTGAAAATTTTAAACAAATGTTTCGTAAATAAAAAAAAAATTATACAAAATACATGCTTTCCACAAACAAACAGAAACACTTGCCAACAAAATTTTACATAGCAGTGAAATGAAAGAAACACTTTTAAAAATATGTATTTATATATTAACAAGTTTTATAATCCATCGTTTCGCTTCTTAATAAAATATTAATTTCTTCCACACTAATACATACTAGGTTTTCATTTTATGTTTGTTCTGTGTTTTTTTTTAATTGATTTTTTTTTTATTTAATTTAAAAAAATCTAATGAATAATATAAATAAAAATTAAAATGAGAAAGAAATTATAATGTAAATATATAGACGTCGTTGAACGTGCAGCCTACTTTCTATCTCTTCCTTTATAAAAGATTTACTTAATATTTTTCTTATTTTTCATTTACATACTTTATTCATCTAATTTTCCTTTTTATTATGATGATTTTAGATGAAGCTGTCTTGCCCGCTTTGCTCTACTTTTCCAAAAATCGATCGTTACATACAAATTTATTTTGTTATGGGACGAACTGAACATGCAATACGCTCTTGGCTTCGTTTTTGTCCTTGCTATGTTATTTATATTATTATCATATTAGATTTTCATATTTTTTTACATTACGAAATTAAATGAATTCTGACGTACAGCTTTATATTCTTTAATTTACTCTGCAGCTATACGTTCATACATACATATTGTTATTTAAAATAAATGTTCTTTATTTAATTTAATAAATAAACTTGCTTAGTACTCATTCGTTTTTAGTTCATCTTGATTTTTTGCCTACTTTTCATTCGTTTAAGTTAAGTTTACAATACTTCTTATTATCATGTTATTTGAGTTTATTAAAATTGGTTTCAATGACTTTACTTTAAATGTGGTCTTAACGCAAGCGTAATAAATGTTTTCTCGTGATTATTACCATCATATGTTGTATTTTTTTAGCCTTTTTTTTTTTGCTTGTTTTTGTTGTCTCGTGAGCTCTAAGAATTATTTATGCATGTTTGTGAAAGAAAAAAAAATATTTTTTTATTTTTCATATGTATTTATGTATGTTTTCATGTGTGTATACGTTGGGGTGTATGCTTTTGGGGTACATAGTATAAAAAGTAGTGTGTAAAGAAAACTAGCTAATATGTTTTTAGCAAAAAAAACGTAATTTGAGTTTAAATAATTCAATAAATATAAAACTAATCCAACAGAATTAAGACGTATGATAGCAACAGCACATGCAGCAATGCAACTGAATGCCTTTTCATTCATTTTGTTTTCATTTATGTATGAATAAATATATGTATGACCGATACTACATACAACACCTCGTTGCACAACATCTACACATACATACATACATACATACAACAGTTACACAATATGCATACGAATAATTTTAATTCAAAGAATTTTTTTATTTTTCAAATTAAGAATTTTTTCATTAAACTGATTATGGTCAACAATTGCAAATTATATTTACTGGCGTTTAAATAAGCTTAGCTCCTCTTCTCGAAACGGAATCTTGCACCTTTTTTAAGTGCCATTCTGCAATTTTGTAATTTTAATGCAGTATTTGCTCTGTATATATATTTATTTTAGTGTTCGTATAGGCATACTATTTAGCTGGCGAAGAAACTATTTATAATTCCGTTGTTAATGTTCCTTATTCATTCATGTGTATGTATGAATATTTGCTTGTGTAGATAGATGTATGTATGTATGTAGTACAGCTTTATTACTACGCAAGATTATTACATAACAGGTTTGTCCTTCACTTTTATTATTCTGTTTATTTATTTATTTTTATTGTTAATGCTGCATTTAGATTGCTTTATAATGCAGAAAACGTTCTTTCTGCGTTCGGCTATTACTTTTTCTTCAATGTTTCAATTTTTCTTCTTTTTCATATCGTTCTTATTCTTTCTTCAATTATATGTATGCGTATTGCCGTTTATTTACTTGTTGTGTTATATATTTATATACTTTTTTTGCTTTTAGTTTTTACGAATATCTTATTTATAACTAGTTAGTGAGTGTGTGTGTGTATGTGTGTTTGTTTGCATACATCTTTTGTAAGCTCTATCCACGACCGCTCTACTCCTTTAAATGGCTCTATTAGACAATATTTTTCTTAGTACGCTAACTAAATGCGCGCTCCTATATGCAGACGGCATCCTCGATACAATCCATTTAACTAATAGGATGAAGTAAGTAGTTTTATAGTCGGATTTTAGGCGCTCTGCCATGGTACATGTATAAGCTGCACGCCCTACATTCAGGCGTTATTTTAAGCCTTCACACACTTCTACCTTTCAATTTTTTTCTTTTGGATCTAAAGGGTTTCCCGCCGACTTTCGCCTAATTGTTGTTGATCTTTCCATTATTATTTGCCGTATTATTTTTTTTTTATTATTGTATTTTATTAGCATTATGAATAAATTAAAGTAATAAAGTTTGCATCTTTGTTTCATTGTTTTTTGTTTTGTTTTGTTTTGTTTTGCTTTACTTCTCTTTTATGTATATATATATATATATTTATGTATATGTGTGTATATTTGATTCTTAATTGGCGAGAAACGCACGTTTTACGCATATCTGTCGCGTTTCTGCATTTTCGATTTCCTTTATTATTAATTATCTTAGAAATTCATCTACGTTATTGGTTGTTGTTCACTGAGTGTTGTTGCTGCTGCTGCTGGCGGTGATTTTGTTACTTTATCGATATTTTCCAATTTATTAACGGTTGCTGTTGTTGTTGTAGTTGTCGTTGCTGTAGCTGCTGCTGCCGCCGCAACTGCTGTGAGCGTGTTAATTAATGTGCTTGCTGTTGCCGGTGTTGTGATTGTTGTTGTACCCGATGTCGCATTTATTGTATTTACAGGCAAATTTATTGAAATCGTTGTTGTTGACGATGGTGCTGTTGCTGCTGCTGTTGCTATTGCTGCTAGTACTGGGCTGAATGGCGACGACATTAATGTCATTGTCTGAGGTTGCTGCTGCTGATGCTGTAGGTGATGTGGCATTACTTTCAACGAGATTTCGATGTCTGGAGCAGGCATCATTGTCGTTGTCGTCTCACCAATGCCGCCGCTGGTGGACTATTTGCATGAATAGTATTCAGTAATGTGATTTTGTAAACGATCCGCGATGCAAACAAAACCATTGAAATGAGAAGGAAAAGAAATTTACAATTATATTATATTTGTAATTATTATTGCTTTTTTCTTTCATAATTAAAAAGTTTGTCACAGTACATAGTTGATTTTTACAAACACAACCAGATATTTACAAAATACATATATGTACATATATTTTGCAACAAAAATGATTAAATTAAAAAAACTCTGCAACAACGACATTAATTCATTTATGTAAATCAAGCAACAAACTTTATTGCAACCTAAAAAGTCTAAAAAGCCTGAATGGGAGCAAATAGGACTCTAGCACGTTCTAAATCAAGCAAAAAAGCCAAAGGACACGGTGTGTACATATGCACATATATACATACATATGTATATATAAAGCAGTCAAACAGTGTAGGTGATTATATGTATTTACATACGTACATATGAATGTATGAGCGTATGATATAAAAGCGTCAGGTGTCAGAGTGTCGCAAGTGCTCTAGTTAAATTGCCTTTATGCAAGTTAAAAGGACCACACAGAAGAGCACGAACTCAATTAAATATTAGAAAATATGAAAAATATATTTAACAGGTGAAAAATAAGCGATCAAAATAAAAAAATGTTTATGTAAAATATATAAGAAAAATTTAATGTAAAAAATTAAAAAAAAAAATTGTAATATATATAAAAAAAATGTATTTAAAAAAAATGTATGTAAAAAATACAAAAAAAATTATGTAAAAAATATAAAAAAAAATTATTTAAAAAATATAAAAAAAAAAAATATGTAAAAAATATAAAAAAAAAATTTATGTAAAAAATATAAAAAAATTAATGTAAAAAATATAAAAAAAAATTAATGTAAAAAATATAAAAAAAATTAATGTAAAAAATATAAAAAAAAAAAAAATTATGTAAAAAATATAAAAAAAAAAAATTATGTAAAAAATATAAAAAAAAAATATGTGTAAGAGATTTAAAAAAATGTTGTGTAAAATATCTGAAAAAATTTGGCAACAATTCCGCAGATATTTTGAATGTCAGCCATTTACAATTTTTAAAGTTTTCAATGTGTTAACATTTAAAAAAATATGCATATTTTTGTTTTACACATGATAATTCTAATCCGTATGCAAGTACGCGGCCGCGGTAGTCCGTGTACAAATCCCCGTTCGGCCAACATCCAAAAGTTATAGAAATTTTCTAATTGCGGTCGCCCCTCTTCTCTGCCGAGTGTATTTCTGACATGAAATAAAGCTCCTCATAAAAGAGCCATCAGCCGTTCGGAGGCGGCTTAGTATAAACTTTATGTTCCTCCATTTGTTGGAAAAACATCGAGACGCAAAACCACAAATTGGAGGGGGAGATCGGCGGAAAATCGCTTCAGCGGTTACAAAGCACCAATTATATATATGTATATATATATAGTTATATTAAACCTAATTTCTATAAGTTATTTTTCGTTTTGATTTAGTCTTCACCTGCACTTATCAAATCACTTTCAAATTCTCCCTTGGTATAGATGTAAATAAAATCAGATTCACTTAGGTGAAAGAGTGATTGCGAAAACAGAGTAAAAAAAAAAAACTTAATTTACCTATTAAAAATTAAATCACTGATTTGTTTTTATTATAAATTCAGTGTCTGATATTTTGTGGCTCACATGGTCCTTCAGTTTTTGTTTCCTGTTGTACCAGCACAAAAAAATGGAAGTGAGACTGAGTGCCATAACTACAAATCTATCACGTCTTGAATAAATACTATCGTTAAAGCATTGAAGCTTTAAAGTTGGTTTATTTAAAAATCTTTCTAAAATAGCAGACATTGCGAAACTTTATTGTACAATTTTAATTTTTTCATTTTTTCTTTTTTTTTTTTTGGTTTAATTTTGAATTGAATGCGATATAAAAATGAATTGTAAAATCTATAATTAGTTGCAAGAATGATCAAAAGCATTTCAGCGTCTGAAAAAAGAAAAAACAACAATAATGTGTTGTACGAATTTGAAAAATGTTAAATAACAACTGTGCCAATAAACAACAAGTATGAATGAACGAACAACATAAGCCCAAATGGTAGAGAACCAAAGTGTATTAATTTACTTGCGTGAATGTGTGCGAGTGTAAGCCGCTATGATTATTTGATTTTAATTATTCATTATATGTATTTGTTTCAGTTCTTGCGCTATTGCAATGCTGTGGGATTGCAAACACAAAAGCGAAAAAAGAGAATTTTAAGTTCAACTAACTTTGCTAAATTAAATTATACTAAACGGCTTGTACTGTTACCCCGTTGCTGTTGTTGTTGTTGTAACTGTTGCTGGTGTTGTTGTTGATGTTGTTGTTGATGTTGTTGTAGCTGCTGTTGGTGATGTTTACTAAGTCCCAAGGTACGCTAACAATGTTCATATATATATATATATATATATGCGTATGCCAAAAGATTTATATATATATATATATATATATATATAAATATATGTATTATATTTTTGTGTATATGTTTTGTGTATAGATAGGAGTTTTGATATGGTGTGTTGTTTGTTGTTAAATTAATGTCATATATATGCATTTGTATTAGTCCAGACGCAGTAATGGAATATAAGAATAGAACAGCCAAAAAATTGAAGGTCAGTAGATCATTTTCAAAATGCACAATTTTAGAGTAAATGCTTGTATTTTAATATTATTATATTATATTAATAATATAATTGTGAATTTCTGTTTATTTACGCCTTATGCCTTACGCCGAACAAACTAAATTTCTCCCTCTCCCCCCTTCTCTCTCTCTCTACTTATAGATGGATTTGAAAATAGTGCATATGTATTATTTAGACCGTAAATATGTTGAACTTTTTTCTTGTACTCTATAAATATGTGCATACTAATAAAAAAAAAAGCAACTATAAAACTTTAAAAAATAAAAGTGATGCTAAGCTGAACGAAATGTTCCTTTCTATTCCAAGTGTTATTTAAATGTGTTTATACAATTTCTTCCTTTCTTATCGGAAACTGGTTTTATTTTCACAGGCAAACAAAATTTAATAATTTCCTCTTATACCTTATACCCTCATGTTTTAATTTTTCCAACCAATTTTAAGATCGATAAAAATTAATAGAAGTCTAGAAAGCACTTAACCGTACCGAAAATATAAAGATTCTACATTCTCGTCAATTTTCTTATATTTATGTACCTAAGCTTCATCAAGAGGGTATAAAACTAATTGAGCTAATTTGTATTATTTTGTTTCTAAATATTTTTAATATTGGTGCTTTTTTATCATAACTTATGTATTTTAGGTTTAAATTTTTCCAACTAACTTCAAGAATGATAAAAATGTATACGTAAAGTAGGTATATAAATAACCTAACTGTACCATAAATAAAAATGTCTGATTACACACATAAGGATATATTCTTACTCTAAATTTAATTAAATTCTTATATTTCTTATACACATTCATTCATTAATAGCAACAACTAAAGCAAATAAAATTAAAACAAAAAAGAACAAATATTATCAAAAATTAGTTCAATTATAAAAAAGAACACAACGTAATGTAATAATAGTAAAACATGAATGAATACAAAACCGCTACAAAATACGCTTTAGAAAAAAATTTTTGAAAATCTCATTTACCCGCTGCTCTGGTATGCTTAGGAGTGTACGAGTACATTAGAAATGCTACTGTCGACTTTTAGGGGGGAATTACCGTTTTTGGAGAAAGCGCCAATTGTTTAACATTGGCCGTTAAACCGTTTATACTCGCATCTGTAGTGGCTTGCTGTTGTTCGGTGCTATTTACGGCCGTCAAAACACCACCGCTATTAGTAGAGGCAGTTGTTGTAGTTATTGTTGTTGTTGTACTATCAGCCGAAAATGTATTTGCAGCCGACCAATTAACGGAGCTACTGCCAACTGGTGCCATGCCCACTATAAACGGTTTGTGCGCTGGACTAGCTGGTACTGTATCACTCGTTAACGCATCGCCAACAGCTGTTGGTGCTTGTAACGATTGTGTAATTTGTTGTGATTGCTGTTGTTGTTGTTGCTGTTGTTGCTGCCTCTGGGACTCGTCAGTAGGCTCGATATCCGACTCGTTGGTCTCTTCTTGTTCCTGCAGAAAATATATATGAAAAGAATAAGGAGTCAATTTAATTTATTCTATGTCAAACACACTAGCAATTCGTTGCTAACCTCTTCGGGACATAACTCATACGCCATAGACCATGTATTCTTAGCGGATTGTGAACGTTCGAGCATGTAACCATTTGTGTTGTCATTACTCTGTGCAGGTGGTGACCACGAATATGAATTATATTGACAACTACGTTGCCTCTCCAATTCATCTTGCAACCATTCTACAGCCATGGTCCAATGCCGTGCAATACTGGCGTTTGAATTAAGCATCTGTAGGGCCACTTGGGATTTGTGGAATAGTTGTGTAAGGCATTTGATTATTTGGTATGCGCGTTTTTGGTAATGCGTCTTTGTGCGCTGTATCGTCTCTAGCAGACCTTCGCGCTCCTCCGCCACACCGTTGAGGGCATTGTGTATGCGATGATGTTGCCACGAATCTTCTATAAGCAATATGTGCAAAAGTAGTTCGGTATGATGGCGCATATCATGACAGTAAGCGAAACCGCATTGCCAAAGTAGTTCGGTTAATACCGCACGTGAAAAATGTGGGTTTTCCCAACTGCAATACTGAAGTAATTTAATGCCCTCCTCACCAACGGCTGTGTCCTCTATTAATTTCTTAATGTATCTATTTTGGAAAACGAAAATATTAAACTTTAAAACTAATTTGACGCAAAAACTTGTATGTACCCCGTTCGGTTAAAGAGTATATCTGCACACTCAGGCGATAAGGGCACTAATTCTTCGCGCCGAATATTTGCATCTTTGAACGGATTCTCCAGTGGCTGTGAATTTTGGTTTGAATTCTGACACTTGTCAGATATATCGCTGCAACGTATTAAATGCGAAACGACCTGATGAAGTTTACTCAGTTCTGGATACTGATATTTTATCGATGGACCAGGTCCTTCATCCAAAGCAACTTGCATGAATATGAAGGGTACATTTAACTGCAAAAAAAAAAAAAAAAAAATAAAAGAAGTGTTGCATTAAAAACTTAAAAAAAAAAATTGGTAGTATCACACTTCACGTACCTTCAACAGTTGTTGCTTTTCTGGTATGCCCAAGCCCACATACATACTGAATAAACTAAAATAATGAGGCAAATGTTTGCCATAATCGACAGCTTCACATTTCAATAACTCTAAAACGCTTATTAAAATCTGTTCACATAAATTACTGCCTTCGTAGCCAGCCAGCGGCTCGTCGGTTATGGCAAAGTGACAAAAGAAAACCACCAATTTCACAAAAACTGTTCGTACCTCAGGCGAGGGAGCCATCAAGATATATTCACCCAGACGTGTAGCTGGATTAAGAAGTGCATTGGCAGCGAACCATTTGCGCACTAAAGCTGAGAAACGTATGTGATGTGATAGTGTGTCGTACCTAAAAATTTAAAGCGAAACATAAAATTAAATAAAAAAACTTATTGGAAAAATCTATATGAAAAAGTATTTGTTTGTACTAACAATCAATTTCTGAAGCGTAATCAATTGTGCTCATATTATATGTTTAACAGTGAAAATCAGAAACAGAATGCTGAGCTTATTTTGCAATAGCATAAATGTACACCAAAATGATTCTGTGTGTGTGTGGAATGTTGTGGGAATAATAGTCCTCGGTATAAAGATCCGACTATCGCGTTATCTTATATATTTTACTCTATTTATTTATGTTATTATATTTTCTTATATTTTTTCGCTTTTATTTTCTATTCTTTTAATTTCTTTTATTATTTTTTTTTTAATTTCTTTAATTCTTTTTTTTTTTAATTTCTTTAATTCTTTTTTTTATTATTTTTTTTTATGTCTTTTAATTTTTTTAATTTTTTATTATTTTTTTAATTTCATTAATTTTTTATTATCTTTTTATAATTTCTTTATTTTTTTATTATTTTTTTTTTTGATTTCTTTAATATTTTATTATTTTTTTTTTTAATTTCTTTAGTTTTTCATTATAATTTTAATTTCTTTAGTTTTTTATTATTTTTTTAATTTCTTTAATTTTTTATTTTTTTGATTTCTTGAATTTTTTATTACTTTTTTTAATTTCTTTAGCTTTTTAATATTTTTTTTTTTTAATTTCTTCAACTTTTTAATATTTTTTTTTAATTTCTTTAACTTTTTAATATTTTTTTTTTAATTTCTTTAATTTTTTATTATTTTTTTAATTTTTTTGATTTGTTTTTATTCTTTTTAATTTCTTTAGTTTTTTATTATTTTTTTTAATTTTTTTCATTTTTTATTATTTTCTTTAATTTTATAACTTTTTTATTAATGTTTTCTTTTTTTAAATATTAAATTTTTAAATTTCTTAATTTTTAATTTGTTTAATTTCTTAAATTTTTTATTTTTTTTTTATTTCTTAAAATTTTTATTTTTTTAATTTCTTAAAGATTTTATTTTTTTAATTTCTTAAAGATTTTATTTTTTAATTTCTTAAATTATTTTATTTCTTTTTTGATTTTTTTTTATATTGTAATTTCTTAAATTTTGTATTTTTTTTCTAATTTGTTTTATTTTTGTATTCCTTCTAATTTCCTTTATTCTTTATTTTTTCAGATATATGTTATTTCTTATTTTTTCAAAATTATTTTTTTATTATTTTCTTTCTAATTTTATTTCATTTTTTCTTAATTTATTTTGTTTTTTTTTTCATTTTATTTTAAATATATTTTTAATTTTTTTGTTTTTAACTCTCCATGCACTATAATTATTCTGAACTCGAATGATACAAGAGTTAATTATAAGAGCCAACTTACCACTCGATAACCGGTCCGCGTAGCGACTTTTTCGTTCGAAAACCTGTATGGAATAAGAACTGTGATGCTAGTTGTACGCCTAGTAATGAGAGCTCCTCGGCAGCTGGTGTCTACGACAGAAAAAGAAGCTGTTAATTTCAATCTTTTGGATATATAAATAATATTAATAAACAAACCATTTTGTCAGGACGTGTTGAAGGTATAGTACAGCTGACTAACTTCTTAATGAAATTAAAAAATTCTGCTGAGAAAATGCTCTTTGAGTGTAAAAACCGAATATTTTGATGCCTTTAAAAGAAGCATGCCAATTTATTAGATATACACATTTGTGCAATTATTCTCTCATTAAATGTATTGTATTCAACTCACCGTACACTACGTTCGATCGCCTTTGGTAGAGGCAACACGAAATTACGACTCTCAGCCAGTGACAACTGTTCTACACAAGGATCGAATTGTATGGGTTTCTGATCACAACGTGTATAGAAGAGCATATATGCATTCCACCAGCGCTTTTGACGTCTATATTGCATGCGCTTCAAATTGTTATCGTAAATCTCACCCATATAATCGCCACCAAAGCATTGGGCTTTTAATTCTTCGTCTTCATGCATTTTACATTCAGTCACTTCGCCATCGTCGAATTTATACCATTGTTCCTTACCAGTAGAGGGATTTCTAGTGCATTGCATATGGTAAAAATATATGAATAAAAAATATCTATGGCAATATTTTACTTACTTAGAAAGTATGTAACTAAAGTAATGGCCACCAGAAGCCTGTCCGCTGTGTACCACAATACCGCTTAACTCATATTTGGTCGTCTCGCCATTTGATTGGCAGTTATCACCCACCTCAATAACTTCACCCTCCAGTTTTGCTAAGCCGGAGACTGCAAATGAGAGAGAAAAGTAAAGAATATGTATTTATACCCCACATGGATATGAAAATTATAAAAATTGAAAATATATTTGCGATTTTCAATATTTTTAACATTCTTTTTATATTTTAGTACATTATTTGTTTATATGGAAGACTGTTATGGAATACTGTATTAAATAGGCACTTACCGGTGTAGGGTTCCATGTCGAGCACACGTGGAAACTCAAAGTAATCATTGAATTTAATGGCGCAAACACGCTCATAATCATATTCAAAACGTTTTAATTGAATGGCTAACACCGGCGGAAGCTTTCTTACACACAACCGCTTAATTGTAACTACCTGTAATTATAAAGCAAAAACATACGATAAATGTTGTGTACAAAATAAATGTTATGCAAATGCACATGGAGGGAAGGCAAGAGAAAGAAAACAGATCAGATTTACTTTGTTATTGTTGTTGAAGTGGTTCACTAACTCCGCTTAAGAGCGTATAAGACTAGCATACATCAAACCAATTTGGGGAATCTTTTGAGATTAGAACAACCACAGATCTTTATTGTCCGTTAGTATCAATGAATGATTAACGGCGTCAAAGGCTTTTAACAGATCCAGTGCTACCAGAAGAATATGAATATCTGGATGTTTATTCAGTGCGTTTGGTTATGATGCTGTGAAACGAGCGGCAGCGCACGCGACTGTACGGCGTAAAGTACGTTCAACTACGTTGACGTCGGTTAGAGAGGGAAGAGACTGAGGAGGTTTTCCGTAAGTTCGATGAGGTCGGGCCAGACAGCTTTATTAAAGGTAACAAATGTCCGTTGGACAGCGAAAACAAGTCAGGAAGCTGGGCAAGCTAGATAATTATGGTCAAATGGTCTGATAGGACAGGTCGCCAGGCCATGCTATTTTTCAGACCAGCGCTGCTATATCCTCTGAATTCCTCTACGATCATTTGACTAGAAAGTATGCCAAATATGACCAGGTCAGGTGAGACTGTCAACTCAATTTGGCTCTGAAATAATTTTCAGACGAGCTCCTTCTATAGTTTAGACTAAGCCGCCTCCGAACGGCTGATGGTTTAAATGAAGAGCCTTTATTTCCAATTTGATTAATTTTTTTAGTTCTTGGATTCGCATCCTGGCCCTGTACTCAAATCAGGACAACATAATTAATTTGAAAGTCATACGTTTTAGTTGACTACCGACCCTTGTGACCGTATAGTTTTCCAATGACCTTTTTTGCTTTAAGGTAGCTTATACGCACAACTCTTACATAATCCAAATATACATAGATCACCATCGAAAATAAACAAAACCTGTTTTTCATATTCATGCAGTCAGCTTAAACTAAAAATTAATCTCAGTAATCAAGACTTACTTTTTTATCACATTTATCACAGTGGTATGCATCAGCGCCCTCCAACAGTTCACCTTTCACATACTGCTCCAGCGATTCTGTCAACGAACTATGATTGCGAATATCCACACTAAACACACTAAAAGGTTCCTCTTTGGAATACCTATGCGGGCATTCCTGGCAAATTTTTTGATCGCTAAATGACCCACCCAAAGTAGCGTTCATCAATTGGGTATGACCTAGAGCCTTGAGACCTTCATCCAGACTTTCAAACAAGGACATGAAAAATTCAACCGCATCTTGTTGTTCGCGTAAATTTACCGGCTCACCTTGTAATCTGAAAGAATTAAAATTTAAATATTTATACAAACACATTCTTCGCTGTAAACTCACTTAAAATATGCCCACAAACCACGTGGCACGTAGTACTGCAGAGAGCTATGTCCCAAATGGGCAAATATCGCTTGTACATATTTCAATATGAGAACGTGATAGTTTTTCCGCACATCTGTGCTACTATTATCTTCACCGCTGGTTGGGCTGGAGAATAGCGCACTGTTAATACTAGCCACATCGGATTCGCCGCTAAAATCTTCATTCTCAATCAAAGCAGCACCGTCGGCCTTCAGTATGCCGACACGTATGGATGGCACCATATACAATTGTTGCAACACCGAATTCATATAGCAAGTTGCACCAGCATTTTTTAAACCACAGAAACCCTTCACAGGTCTAGGCCCAACCGGAGGTAGAAAATCCCATTCCCGCAGCGGCTCAGTATCTGTGCAGACAAAATCGATCAAAGTATTGGTTAGCAATTTCATGTTAGGAACACAATTCTGGCAAAGTGCTATCAAAAAATCACACGCCGCCGCTATGGTGTGTGGACTGCGGCAAACGGGTGGTGGTGATGTTGGGTTCCGTAGTTTGTTGAACTTTCGCAAGTGAAGGTATTCGCGTGATGACGGAAAGAGGAAAATGTCAATGATTTCACCTATCAAGTCAGTGAGTTGTGCTTTCGTTTCGGGCGATAAGAAGAACATCAATTCTTTGGCCAAACACAAGTGACCTTCCAGCAGATCCTCATGTACTTGAATATCGCCAGTAATCACAACATTTTGCCGTATCTTCTGCAACCAACTAATCTCCTCAGTCAACAAACCATCACCAATATTCAGCGGCCAATTGCAGACGCTGCCATACGAAAGTGTTCGAGAAAGTAATTGAAAGAATTCGGCGCATGTCGCTTCGTATTGTGGCACCAAAGTCTTCAATGAATTAACTAACAGATTTACCATGTATGCAAAAGGGCGTCGATCGCCAGCGCAGTAGGTGCACGAAAGAAACAGCTGATCGGCCGCAATTTGACGCACGTGGCGCGATGGATTCTTTAATATAAGCGAAGTGATAAACTTAGGCCATACAGGATCATTGTTTAACACCTCGTTAGCACTAGGATTAAGTACCAATGAAATCGTTAGCACTTCTAGAGCCTCTTTACACATGGCAAAATCTTGTGCATCTGGCATTGTGATGTCGTTAGCAAAGTCATTTTTATTTCCAAGTGCCTGTAAGTTGCCACAAGATGAGGACCAAGCCAATTGTATGACAGCCTTAATAGTCGTTATATCCGGGCAGGACCACTGCAATGTCGAGCTGAATAAAATGCGACAACGTTCACCCTCGGCACTAGCAGAAAGCATTTCAGCAGCCAAATTTTCTGCCAGTTTCATAGAGATGGCACGCATGGTGCTTTCCGAGTTGTTTGGTATGGAATTCAGTATTTGCTTAAGTATTTCAACTTGTGAACGGGCACCCACATCAAAATCACGTAACATCGGTTCATCGCCGACACGGGATAACACATAGCCCACCGTATATAGGAATAATCGAGCGAGATGAAGTACGCAATGGAAGGCAGCACGCTTGGTATGCATATCGGCATTGGGTAGGAAATTGTTTTTGGTCAACAATTCTAGTATAAAATGTGCGCAACCGGAATGCAACCAAGCCGATTGCACTTGCATTGCAGCCTCACCGTAGGGATCTAATGCTGGTATAAGTAATCCATTTAAAACCCCCAAATTATATAGCACCTGTGCAGGAGAGCCATGCAAAAATATCATTTCCGGCGTGCATTCCTGCAGATGAATCTGTTGAAAATTAAATAAATTCAACATAATTATGTAGTTGAGACATTCATATGATCGAAAATCTACATTACCTGATCATCGCTTGCATTTTGTACAACAACACTGCCGTTTCCCACACCAACCACATCAGCCTCTTCCTCTTTAGCGCTAATTTGTCCACCACTGTTGCCACTACTAGACTCCGCACTCACATTTACACTGACACTGACATTGCCACTGCCACTAACACCACCGCCACCGCTCGGAGCCTGTCCCTGCACGCGGCACATCGTTTGCAGCATCTTGATGGTATGCCAATCGCACGGTAGCAGATGCAACAACGATTTTGCGCTTTCACGCAAACGGCCATGATCCAGATCGCTGCCCAGTTGATAGAGCTTTAGGAAAAATTCCGTATATTTGTAATTCTGCGCGATAATCACACCAGGCAGCGTGCTCTCCGACTCGACGCGCTGCATGTCAGGGCAAGGTCGTGGCGGTGACCCGGTACTGGAATCACTTGATGAATCTGGGCTACTAGCTAGTCCCGGTCCGATTGGTGTCAACTTTGCTGTCAGAATCATTTTATCGCGTATGCCATATTGGTATAGTGGATTGATTTCGTCATTAATCTCAATTAATTCGCCAGTATTGTAGAACAGATCGACCTTAATATTTGCTGGCGAATTGCCTTTTATACGTTTCAATAAATTACGTTTAAACGAAGCGACCGTTTCGTTACTGTGTGTCGCTACTTCGATATCGTCGATAGGGCGCCCGGGATTTTGAAAGCGTATATATAGACTAGTATTCTTACCGCGTGTCACTCGACTTAGTGGCAAAAGGTAACGATCGCCATTAAATGATCGATCACACTCTTTTATATACTCTTGCAATACTTTTATAATACGGCACATTTTCTCAGCCTCAATAAAACGATCTTTAATATCTTTTGAATCAGCATCAGCTTGACTGGGATCATTTGAACTATTGCTACCAATTGTTTTGCCCAAAATGAGTATATTACTGTAATGGGTGCGCAGACGTTCACAGCATTCAGCAATAAACATTTCATGAAAATCACAAATACTCTCCTGCAGACGTGGCCCCAGTGCGGTTGAGACTTCTTTCAGCAGATCAATAGCTTTATTGGCGATTTCCTCACCACCAGTGGTAATTACACGCCATAGATAATCCTTACCAATAAGATCTTCATTATCAAGTATATAGCCACGATGAATTGCTTTCAATTTATCCTCCTTTGAGTTGACAGCCTTGAAGAAACGCTCAAAACATTTAATGCCACTTTCCGTTAGCAATTGTGGATCTAACTGAAGGATGTTGTTTTCGAAAAAGTCTTTATTTATGCCGGGATCCAAGTCGGGTTCTTCACCCATTAATTTGCCAAACCAGCGAAAACATTCTTCACGATCAGTTGGAAACACAGCATTGACGGCCAAACAGTGCCATATTTGCTTAGCCTGGGAAAGTGAAAGAAGAATTACTTGAAAATGAATTTCAATGTTATAATATCCAATAAACTAAAAATAATTTCTCTTAAGAAGCGAAAACTGGAAATAGAATTTATTGAATGAGAGTATATAGCAGATGATAACATAGAATTTGGTATTCTTTACACATGCCATGGCTGAAATATTGAAGCTAATAATGATTAAAATCGATGAGATATGCATAACAAACAGTCAACAATTGTTGCTTTAATATTAACACGTCGAGCTCGGTGCGAAATTTGCTGTCCTTATCGTTCGGCTGGCAGCCTGTGAACGATGCAATGCTTTTTGCTATAGCCAAGAGATAACTTTAGTATTAATGAGATAATGAATTTTTCTTTGTCCCCATGAAGTCCGAAGATATTTTTGGAAGTGTTATGATAAGAATTAACAACTATTTGGACGAAGGACAGCTACAAATATTACTAAAAAAAAAAGTTGTTACGTATTGTAATATAAGATAAGCTGCACCTTTGTTTGGAATGTTTCAATAAATTTCATTAAATAATATTTGATAACATTTCATACAGACTAATTTTATTTTCTGAACTTTAACACCATCGGTATCAAGAACCGAAGCCAGTAAAGCGAAATTTCTAGTGCGTAGACTACACGGGCAGCTTTCTGCCGGACCCAACGTGTTAATGTGGTTTAGTGTCTTCGGTTCCTTGGCTGTCGATCCAACGAATTTGTTAAAACTTTCCTTGAAAAATCGTTTCTTCCATTTTATTTTCAACTACTTGGAGTCCTTTTAAAGTCTACGCTTACTGACTGATTGAATGTTCGATAAAATCACTTGACGGAGGTCTGCATTCCTTTATCAACCTTAGGGCTTTACAGACAGCAGACTATTATCTTTGCTTCACCAATAATAAATTGTTTTTCCACCCAATTTAATTAAAATAATTTAACCTCCTAATACTAATAATTGCATATGTACATATTACGCATATTCATAAACGGGTACAAATACCTGATAAATGTCTAAATTTTGTAGGCTTTATTTTGTGAACAAGATTTACACATTTATCACGCATTCATACGTTATAACTCACCTGTTCCGCACATAACCAAAGTTGCCCATCTTTCAGTAAAAACTTTAGAAAATCTAAGCGCTCTTGGATTTGCATATTATGTGGATAGCGTCCATCGATGCATAAAGTGTTTGGCTCCACGTTCGGCATCTCAGCAATCATAGTTCGTATTTTGTCCATATAAGTTGTCAAACTGTTCGTCACTAGTATTACCAACGTGTAGTCATTTTGCAAACGCTCGATAACTTGTTGACGATTGAGTGTTTGCTGCGTGCGTTGTGCATGGCCGGACGATGAATCGTAGAGACAACAGATTTCACGTATTAAACGCAAAGCGGGCAATACCCAATTATCGCCAGTTTTCAATTCCTGTACACATTTATCTAACCAGACAATTTTTTGGGCATCACGTTCTTGTGAGCAACTGTAGTCTAAAATTTTGACATGCGCACCTAGGGCTTGATCTAAGACTTCTGGCGGAATTTCTTGGCTATGAGCCAATGCCCAGAAAAGCTTCAAAACTTTTTGCGCCATAACACCATTCTTATCGTCTTCGGCAAGGCGTCTTATCAATTCAAGCAGTCGCTCACGTTGACGTTTATTAGCGGTTGTCATGCTGGCCTACAAAGTAAATAATGATTTGTGAGAAATGCATATAACTTTAATGAAAGGGTTTAAGCCACCTGAAACGACTCGAAAAGATGATCTAATTGCTCTGGTGTGAAATCCCAAGCCAATTTAGCCAAAAGATCGTGAACGTTCTTTACAATTGCCTCATGTTTGCCAGCCTGGGCACGCCAAACTGCATCTAAGTCCTCTAGTGACAGTGCATGTTCCTTAATCAAAAAGCGTATAATCTTCTCCAATTTCTCCACATATTGGGGTTGATGTAGTGAATCTTTCAGGACAATACCGAGGACATCAGATTCTTTAATCCAGTTCTGATGGAAAACAAGTTATTTAGGAATATAACAATTTATATTTTTTATACTTACAGCCATGCGCTCTGCCGTCAACCAATCCATTTCATCATCTGGTAGACAGTGTTGTAACTGTTGCGTGCGATGGGAATAATATGAGACAGAACTTAGAACCTTATTGATTTCATTCAACGCATTCATTTTTCCATTGAAGCTGGATACTTGCAACAGACGTAGTATCATTTTGAGACGAAACATTTCTAGATCTCTAATTAAATCCTCTTGCCCCGGCAAACGACTTGCTAACAAACGGGCTGACTTCACAATGCCATTGATATAGTCATTCCGCCCTTCTGGTTTCGCTTCACGCTTTAATTCATCATCCGAAAAGCTATCTAATAAATCCAATACTACATTCCAAATAGGCATAAAGTACTTAGCAATAGTAGCCGGTGTTAATAGTTCATAGCACTGCCCGAAAGGGCGTAATAGACTGAAAATTAACGCAAGCGTCAATTTGTTATCCTGACTGTCTTCTGATGCTTGCATCGACTTGCTCGTCTTGCTACTTAATTCTATGCCAGATCCTGTCGCTTCGATACCACTCTGTTCTTGGGTCTTTTTCAACAATTGTAAGCCACAATTGAATCGTTCCAGTAGATTGTCGAAACCCCCCAGCTGACCAAAACGATTGATCAAATCAACTAGCCAACCACGTGGATTTTTTGGCTCCGGTGGTGGTTTAGCAAACATATTATTTACATCCAAAGAGCCCCAAAGGAATTCAGGTGCGGCAAAACAGCCTGGTTGACGTGCTGCATTAAATGTGTTAAACTTATTTTCTGGATCAAATACCATAGCTAGCAAGTCCAATAGATAGGGATTATCACGCGGCATATGTATGGCAATTAAATGCAATAACTTGCCACACGACAATAAAATGCAATGATGTATATTGTACTTCCATGAATTCACCGCCTCGTCGGTAAGGATTTTTGAAAAAGAAGTAGTGAGTGCATTACGATAGAATTCAACACAGGGCTCACAATCATGATCCACCCCTAAGAAGAACAGAAAAAAAAATATTATATTTATGTGTGATATATATTAGGCGACATACGTACCTGCTGAAGTTAGTGCAATTGCAGCATTAAGTAGAACTTCCAACTCTTGTTCAGGAAGTACTGGCACCACCCAACGTGGATTTGAGATCTTCTGCGTTAACGAACGCAATTTTAAAGTGGGGAACGATAAAATCAATTTTTCTGGTGAACTTTGAATTAAAAAATTATGATTAATATCACTTGTAATATTAAAATTACAAATTTACAGATAATTATACAAAATGCCACTTATAACAAGAAATTAGTTCGTAGTGTGTGTTCTAAAATATCAATTAAAATACAACTCTAAAATAATATAATTTGATAAAGAAATTGATATACTATTGCTGAGTTTATAAACTTACATGTTGTCCACTACTACAGCGTTGTTTGTCGATTCGCCACTCTGCGCAGTTGCATCCGAATTAACCGCAGAAGGCGGAGGTTGTTCTACATTTCCACTGCCAACAACCCCACCACTGCCATTTCCGCTGGTAGAATTACCAAGAGACGTTCCACTAGTAGTATTTGGGTTACTGTTTGTGTTGGTCGTACCCACATTAGAATTATCGTTACCGGTACTACCACCGCCTCCACCACCACCTGTTTGGCGTCCACGTGTATCGAACGTCATTTTCTTTCTCGTAGCTATCAGAGGCACTAATACTGCTGCACTTTGATTATTAAATGCAACTACTGCTCTATTCAGGATCCACGATGTAAATGTTGATGCAACTAACGGTTAGCGTTAATGTTTTTTTAATTTAATTTTTTATTGATATACATATACCGGTATATCTGAAATTTTATTTAAGTAATATTAAAAAGTATTTTACCTATTACACCACGCCGTGTTAGAAACTGCTAGCTCGTATTTTAATTCTAGGCTCGGTCGTTACTTCTCTGCATTGAAATAGTATTTATTTTGTTATTTCTTTAAGAGGATGTAGTGCAAAGTTATACCTTACCGTTCTGATTATTGCTTCTTTCTTTTGTAATTGAATTATAGTTAATTTAAATATTAATTTCTGCTCTATCGTTTCGCTTGACCTTTTGCTAAACACGAAGTACTGTATGGTGTTGCTTTCGGTCAGCAGACCTTCGATCATTTACATATTCAACAGGAATAAGCTTAAATCCATTAACTGCAAAGAAAATCAGCCATAATGAAATTCATTTTAAAAATTTTGCAACAGAATCATCCGAAAACATATGTGGTACGAGGAGCATAAAAGAAACATAATAGCGAGATTGAATTAATGAACCACAAAACGGAAAATCGATATTACTGACTATTATCAGACGGTATCAAACTTCAATCCTCCGTATAAGTTTTTGTAAGTTAATGATATGGGGTCCATACTATGAGCCTCCTAATATAATGTATTCAGATTTAAAAAAAATGGAAAAAATTACATCACAATACTCGTATCTTAAATCATTGCAAATGAAAGTGGACTCTTTTCACGCCATTTACTGAAGTTTTATACGCATCCGCACTTGATTATTTTATCATCATATTTAACCATCCCCTCGTTTGAAAAGATTTCCTACCAGTTTTTAAAACTATTACGTTGTAAATTACCAATAAAAATTGCAATTATCGCTCATTTAGATAACCGGTTTAAAATGTATATTTCTAAAGAAATTATGTAGATACCGAACATGAAAATAGTGTTTCTACATTAAATTTTAATTATTTTGTTTTTATTTTTGTCTTAATTTACGCACTCATCTATTTTCCAAAAGATAGCGTAAGACGAATTTTGAATGAGCAAGTATAAAGGCAACCTAAAAAATTTAGTTGCATATTGATTATTGATTTTAATTTTCATCCCATTTCCTTTTCGCATTTTCATTTGTCCTCTCGTCAAAGCTGCGCAGTTTTCGTTGTTTACTCATCACTAGTCGTTTCGTCACCAAACATTTCACATTTCACTTCTTTATTTTTTTAAATTCCTTTCCTAAAAATGCACAATGGTTTATGTTTACTATATTTCTGCAAATTCTTTTTTATAATCTTGTTTGTTTTCTTTCTTTTATCTATCAGCCGATTGCTTCAAAACAAGTCTTGAGTTTCTCTGAAATTTTGATTCCCACCATACCCGTCCGTTATCATTCTCTCGCTCTTTCCAGCTGTTACTTTCCATTTACTCTCTCTTATATTTATCGTCCATACCGAAGGCATTCTTTTTGCCGTCGTTATGTCGCCTTTTTCGCAATATCTTATTATTTCTTCCTTCCATTCTTAACTCACCAATTTCTGCATCCGCCCAATTACCATTGGATTGCACTCGGATTCCGCTTTGTCTTGATTTTTGCAAATTTTTTACCACTATACGAACACCCTCTGGTTGAACTATTCAACAAATCTTTATTGAACACTTATGTCCGGATTATTTTAATTATATGTTCTTTGTTTTAACTTAACCGTCACTATATTTTTAATTTCAATTTTTTAAGAAATTTGCAATTTTTTCGTATACCGAAACCAAAATCAGCCGGCCAGTAGACAAAATGGCGACTCAGCAACTGTGGTGAAATATTATATTCCTTGCTAGACTCTTCACAGATTCCCTTTGGTTTTTTCTTTTGTACTTACTGCCTTTGCTATTTTCACGTAATTTTTAAAAATCTGAAATGCCTCACTAATCCCAATTTTCACGAATTTTAACGGGTTCGTTCTTGCTGAATATTCTGTATTACGTTTTAAGTAAATTTCAATATTTATTTATTACAAATTCCCTTTGCGTCGTTTTACAAATATCAGTCGACACTTTTCGGGAATCGTTGCAAAAAACTTGCCGAGTTCTTTGGACAGAAAACGTCATTTGGTTTTTGGCACTTCAGTGGTGAGATTTAAGAAAACTAATTTCTACAAGAGTTACCAAATCAAATTTGTAGTTAAGAAAACAGCTTTTACATTATCATGGAAATTTTAGCTCTCTGTTAATCTGTTAATATTGAAGGCCTGTTCACACAAGAAGATTTACATGGCAATTACTATTATAGTACGTTTGATAATTTATTGTTATGCAAGTTGATAAAGGAGATACCAGCAGAAGAGTGGGTAGCAAAGCATTTACGAAAATGTCAGCTTTATGATCCAGGAGGTCTACCCAATTCTAAAGGATGCTAAACCTTTAGCGGCTGGCAAGGTAGATTTATTCAGCTGAATCCTGGATGAGAACTCAAATATATATAAGTGATAAGATGAAAAGTAGATCGTTGGGCGACCGAAAAATAAAATAAAAGCGTTCCAGCTTGACTAGCCTGGCTTGTAGTTTCAAACAACGGTGCAACTCTTTATATACACACTTTTTATTCACACAGTAAACTTCTTCAAGGGGGAGACCCTCTCATATTGGTATTTGACATTTTTGCCACACTGTCCTCCATCTAAGACTGATCGTCCTGATCAGACACATTCTTCTTAAATGCTCCGAGTTTCCCCAAGTGGAGCACTTTCATCTTATTTCTTGGTCCGCAAATGACCGAAAGAGTTGCATAGTTAGGTCCTGTAGGTATTAAGATAAAAAAGTTAGAGTTATAAATAAAAGCTTAGCTATAATTTGTAATCTCATTTTTACAATCTCCTCAGAACATTTCAGAGTGCTCTTACTAGCATAAATTTTCTAAATCTTTTTGATTAATTCCATATCCGTTGGATTTTCACAAATCAATGTTATTTACTATTCTGTTGTAATCTTCCAAAAACATTAAATATTTAAATGTAAGACTGGCAACTCGTTAAAAACCAATTAGAATTTGACATTTCATATATCTTCAGGAACGAGCAGAAAGTAAAAAGCAGAAAAAACTACGTGTCTTGATAAAATATCGGGATAATAATATTATATCCAACATTGAAGAACATTGAAATTACTGTAATTTCGAAATTTGGACACATAGCCATTCACGCAAAATTCTAATTAAAGTTTCCTGTCGCTTGCAAAGTTTTTGCATAGTGGTATATATTTGAGTTCACGGAGTGTTATGATTCCAATTGCGATAGTAGTTGGTTGCTTTATCTGGGTCTCTTCTTTATATACATTGCAGTTAGCTGAAATTTGTGCAGACATAATTCAACATTAACATATTTTTGGAGTCAATCAGCCTGTTGGCTGTGCGTGCTACCAACAACAACAATATGCAACTATTACTTTCGTCCATATGCCTGGCGCTGACCAGTGTCGTCATCGGGAACGCCTACTACCAGAAAAAACAATTTTACCCTGCTGTTGTATACATCACGAAATCTAATGCTTCAATGGCCGTAAGTTGAAGACAATTATATGCAAATATATATGTACAGGGTGTATATATACACCAGTATCTATTACCGTTGCTCCTCATATGAATTATCATGGATAAGATTATTATTACTAATATTATTTTGGCTTGTTTTCAGGTCATTTATATACAGTTTTTCGTAATAGTTTTCATGTTTGGAAAATTATTGCGGAAGGTAAGTTAAATGTACTTCTTACCGCAAACAAGCAATATTTTGGAAATGTACAATATTTAGATTTTCCTGGGCACATTAAGAGCTGCTGAGTTTGAACATCTTCTAGAACGTTTTTGGTATGCTCTCACTGAGACTTGTCTTGCTTTCACTGTTTTTAGAGATGACTTCAATCCACGCTTTGTAGCACTGTTTACAGTGCTTTTGTTTTTAAAATCATTCCATTGGCTGGCAGAAGAACGAGTAGACTTTGTAAGTGCATATATTACATATTTTACTGAAAATGATTATTAATAAATTAAATTATAAATTATTTTTTAATTAATAATAATAATTTTTTATTATGTAAATTAAAAAATTCACCACGGAATTTTAAATTTTGGTATATATTTATAGATGGAGCGTTCTCCGGTGTTGGGCTGGATATTTCATGTACGTGTAGCGAGCCTTCTTATTGTGTTGGGTAGTTTAGACTATGTTTTACTTATGCATGCCTATAACTCGACATTAGTTCGCGGCCCAACGGTTCAATTAGTATTTGGTTTTGAATATGCTATATTGCTAACTGTCGTTGCCAGTACAGCTATCAAATATGTTCTACATGCTGCTGAAATGCGAACCGACATACCATGGGAAAATAAGGCCGTATTTTTGTTGTATACCGAATTGGTTATTGGTTTATTTAAAGTAGTTCTGTATGTACTCTTCGTTATAATAATGGCCAAGATATACGCATTACCGATGTTTGTATTTCGCCCGATGTTCTTTACTATACGAAACTTCAAGAAAGCACTAATTGATGTTATTATGTCGCGACGTGCCATACGAAATATGAATACACTTTATCCCGATGCCACTCCCGAGGAACTACGTCTTTCAGATAACATATGTATAATTTGCAGGTGAGTAGAATTGGCCCAGTTTTAAAATACATGTTAATGAAATAATCTTTGTTTACAGGGAAGATATGGTTAACCATTCTAAAAAATTACCTTGTGGCCACATTTTCCATACCACTTGTTTACGTTCATGGTTTCAACGTCAACAAACTTGTCCTACATGTCGGCTTAATATATTACGAGCCCCTAATGCAAACTCTACTGCAATGCCGAGACAAGAAGATGTTGTTGGTGGTGCTGCTGTTCCCGGACAAGCTGGTGGTCCTGCTGCTCCCAGACAAGCTGCTGCACCTACTGTACCAAATCAGTCAGATGGCGTCGAAAGACCGCGCACCGATCCCCCAGTACCGCCCACAAATATTCCGGGTTTGTTTAATAACTTGGGTGCTAGTAGTGCGGAAACAAATCCATTACTAGGTGGCCTACCAACTTTTCCCACAGCAACAGCACCACTACCTAATTTTCAAGGTATGCCAATGCCGCCTCCATTTATGATGCCACCACCTTTTCCATTCATTGCACCATATGCAATACCGCCACCCCCTATGCCATCGGATTTGAGTTCTTTGAGCGATGATGAACTGAGATTATTGGAAGGAAATGAACGTCGTAATATTGAAGAACGTATTAAAGTAAGTAAAATTACTAATATATCTACAACTTTTTCTGGTAACGAGTGTATTATTCAAGCTCCTACGTAATATTGAACTGATGCTAAACGCCGCAGGAATATTGATGAACAATTACCAAATTATAACGGCGCGTCTACAGCCTTTACCATCAGTTGAAGTAACAACGAATTCGAACGGTACGACTAGTAATATAAACGACGGTCCAAGCACATCAGCCGCTGCTCAAGCTGCTCTTGCTGCTAATCAATCACAAGGTGGCAAAGATAATGATTCATCATCAGCAGTGAGAAAAAATATAGGTAGTGCAGAAAATTCAGTAAATCCTCCATTAAAAAAGGTTAATGATGTAACAATTGAAGATATAGGAGGTGAGGAGCACGACTATAGTGTTATACAAACTGGTAGTTACGTTGCACCAACGTCATCATCATCACCTGTGCTTACGCCCAAAAGCGATATAATTACTGAAACTACAAGTGCCACCGTCACAGCTGAGCAACCGGAGAATGCTGAACTTAGTGAAATAAGAAAAAGGCGTTTAAAATTCCTCGAAGAACTGAGCAAGTCAACAGCGCAAAGTGCAGAAACATCTCCTAACACTTCAAACGATTAGAAAAGGAGCTTACATTGTTTTAGTTTTGTTTTTAATGATTCTTGTTTATTTGGGAAATTAATGGGCGGAAAAAGTATTTGCTATTGAAAAACTAATATGTAAAACGAACGTGGCAAAATCATGAGCTATCTTGTATTTAGTAACATAAATAATAAAAAAAAGTATATACATGCATAAAGAAGACCTTAAACGTTGCGATTTTGCACTAAACTCCTGCAGATGTCACAATATTTAAGAATTTCTAATACCAAAGGTGAAGGCAACTTTAATTTTTATTATATGCTGATTTTCGACTAAGATGTGTTGTCATAGCAGCTATTATCAGACTCCTTTATTGCGGCATTAAAAATTTGTTTTTTGTCATTAGTAAAGCTGATGCAGAAGTGCTATGTGAACGGGCACATATTCAGATGTGAGTCTCTTACTGTGAGTCCCTGGAAATTAAACGAGCCAAAAAATATGCGTATAACGGAGACACTCTAGATGGCTTGTAACCAATTTTAAACGTATCCTTTTTAGAGAAATTAAAAGATTATAATAAATTAAAACTTAATTGTAAAATATTGTCGACAGGCATACGTTGAACTTTTTCATAATATCTCCATCGTACTGCTCTTCTATATAATCACTCGCTACTGTACTTGTTATTGCTGTAATGTTTAGAAAATGCTGAAATGAAAAACGAGAAAGCATCTGTTTTCTGACGTTTGTTTTGTCAACAGATTCACATTTATTCTTGAATCGCACGTGTGATCGAATTGCATTCATTCAGCAGCCCAAAAATTTAATAATTTCAATATGTTGAAAATAAAAAGAAAAGCGTCCGAAGAGGTAGTGTATAAATTAAAACAAATAAGAATTACATGCTCTTAGATTCATATTAAAATTTATTCAGCTGGACAGTGGTGCGGCCGAAGACTCTATGATTGAGAACGGAAGTAGTGATAATATGGACGATGAGCCAAGTAGTGATAACGATGATGGTTTCTCTGAAAGAAGTGTTAGCGCGTCACCGGCTAAGGTTTCAAAAAAATCGCGAAAAGAGCTTATACCTGCTACGAAAGCAAAAGAAAAACTAAGTGCCGAAGTAAATAATACAAACAAAAAAAACCAATCTGAGAAAGTGAAGCCTCCGACCCTTGAGGAAATTAACGAGTTAAAGGAAACACGTAATCTCTTTCATTCAAATCTGTTCCGATTGCAAGTTAAGGAAATGTTGACCGAATTAAAAATTAAAGAGAAGTACAACAACTATATTTATAATTGGCTGGAAAATTTTAAACAATTTTTAAATAAATTAGAAAATCAAGCTCAGAAAGAAGATATGGGTAATCAAGTGTGGTTAAAGAAAAGTCAGATAAAATATCCTATTTCGTTGCATAACTTACATATACAACAACAAAAAGTGTTTCAATTTCAATTCATCAAACCGAAAATATCACCATATCTAATAGGAGCATCGGCCACTCAATCTTTGCTTGGACCGAAAGTAACCGTTGATATTTGTATTTCGATGCCTGAGGAATGTTTTCAGAAAGAAAACTATTTAAATTTAATATATGACCAGAAACGTGCATATTACTTGGCTTATATCGCAAACAAATTACTTAATTGTGCCGAATTCGGTAGCGAGCTCACAACGGAAAAATTAAAATTCAGCTATCATAATAACAATCCACTCAAACCCATATTAGAGATCACACCAACTCCTTTGTCCAATTGTAAAACAATTTTAGCAGACAAGTTACGTATTCTTTTATTTGTCGCAGCTGAAGAGAGTTCATTTAAATTAAGTCGTTTTGTGCCTTGGAACAGCAATGTGCGTGCTAGCATTTTTGGTGATGATGTTGAAGGATCTGCAGTAATGGCTACGTCCAACTACAATGCTAATGTTTTATTCGATCTCACAATGCAAAGAAATCAAGAAATGTTACATGGTATTTTCGATGGTCGCAGAAATTTTCAGGAAGGTTTAGTGTTGTTAAAAGTTTGGCTAAGACAGCGTGAATTTGATGTAGGTTTCAATGGTTTCACTGCACATCTATTGACCATGTTTGTCGCTTACCTATATAAGCAACGTAAATTACACACGAATATGAGTAGTTATCAGGTAGCGCGCACTGTATGGAATCAATTAGGTAAGCTCCAAGCCAAGTAATTTTTGTAACCAATTTTAAATTTCTTTCATTGTTTTTTAGCATACAGCTCATGGGACGAAGATGGTAAGGGCATCTCCTTATCTGACAAATCAACCGATCTCGCAAATCAACCTACACTGGAGCAGTTCCATACATACTACGATGTGGTATTCGTCGACGTTACTGGATTTTTCAATATGACTGCAAATCTAAATGTGGAACTTTATCATCGTGTACGACTCGAAGCTAAATTGGCAGTTGATATGTTAAATGATATGAAATTAAATAGCTTTCATATGCTTTTCATGACGAAACATCCACTCTACAGTCAATTCGATCACATGCTTAAGTATATAATAATTATGAAAATGAAAAGTATATTTTGAAATATTTTTTTCTATTTTTGTCGCAGAATTAATAAGAGAGATGTTGTCGACCAAATCATGGAAATCTATGCTACACCTGCGGATAAATACAACTTTGCAGGTTATGTATATCCGGTGCTGATAAAAGTGGTCCTTGGGTACGTTGTAAAATTGTTTAAATGTCGATCCCTAACTGCTGGTGGTGTTGTTTTTGTACGGGAGTGACAGTCCTTGACAGGATAAAAATCCGGGTCGTTCCGGTATAAAAACCCGACTGTCGCGGGAACCATTGGATTTTAGTCGCCTCTTACGACATGCCTTGCCGCGGGTAAATTCTTGAACCCATCCCAGCGCTATAACTTGAATGAGTTGTGTTCTGCATTCTCTGGATGCATTACATTGGGGAATAAAGGTTGATCCCTAACTGCTAAAAGAGCGTGATCCATTTACTGCCATTAATGGTAAAGCTTTGAAAGCCTTGCGGATATGGGAAGATAAAGTAAATATTTGTACTTTGCTTCCTGTGTTTATGCACAAAAAATCAAGCAAGCAAAATTATTATTTGTCGCTTTCGGCAGTTAGGATTCGATATATTATATATCAATAATAATAGTATCTTCTTAACAATGGTTTACTTATCTACAGCCTACTTCGCAAAGGTCTTGGTGAGCGTGTTCGAGCTATTTTACCGATCGAAAAAGTCGTTGATGCATGGAATTGCACGGAAAAACCACCAGATTGTTCACGCTACTGTCACCTCGGTATAGTACTTAATCCTGATAAGGCATTTGAAGTTTTAGATAAAGGACCGGAGTCTATAGACGAGGGTGCTGATGACTTTCGAAAGTTTTGGGGTGAAAAGGCACAATTGCGTCGATTTCAAGATGGGAGTATTACCGAGTCGGTTGTTTGGGCTTCTGCAAACGATAGCTTGTGGAAACGGCGTCTGGTGGTGCGCTCTATAATCACTCATCTTTTGCAGCATCACTTTCAATTAGAATCAAAAGATTTTGATTACATTGCTGGAGAGTTAGATATTTCGTACCGCTTAACCCCCGTTTTCAAAACCGAAAGGATGCATGAAAAATACAAAGTAGAACAAGATGTAGATTCGGAGGATACTTCGCTCAATGTTATCCGCAGTTTTGATGACTTAGCACGTAAATTGCATGCTCTAAATGAGCTTCCGTTAGAGATTGTCTCTATTGCTGGCATATCACCGGTATTTCGTTACAGCGAGCCTGTACCAGTTTTGCCGCAGGCGCGCATGATTGGGGAAGAAATGTACGCTATGCAAGTGCAACGCGGAGTTATACAGTTAGGTAAGCTAAGAACTTTTAAAATAAATTTAGAATATATATATAAAGAATTATCGTTTTAGGCTTGAGTGGTAAATGGCCCAGCGATTTGGGCGCCCTGCGTGCTCTAAAAATGGCATTCTACATACAAATCGCCAATTTACTCCGCGAAAAGCACAATCTCAAAACAAAGGTCACCTACGATGGCATTTTAGTTCTTAAACAAGGCTACTGCTTTTCCATTGAAATGGCTCATCCCAAAGAGTTGGCATTACTCAAAAAAGAAAAAAGTGAACGTGGATTAACGCAGTATGTCGATTGTGAAGCTAGTATTGCTTTGGAGAAACGTCATTATATTCTGCCTAAAGTAACCGGCGCCCTTCATGCTTTATATCAAGGACATAGCAGTTTTGCAGGAACTGTAATGATTGCCAAACGTTGGCTCAGTACACAATTAATCGATGATGGCCTGTGGCCAGAAGAATGCACGGAACTATTAATTGCTGCTCAATATTTAAAAACCCCATCAAAGCAAATTACCAGTTCGCCCCAAACTGGATTTATAAAATTTCTACAACTTTTGGCTGGCACGGATTGGCGGAGTGAACTATTCTTATTGAATTTCAATAATGCAATGAATGGTTAGTAATATGCTGATTAAAATCTTGCACTAAACTTATTTATTATTATTTTTTTGAATAGAAAACGCTGTAGCTGATTTGGAGCATCGCTTTAGCACAGAACGCGATACATTCCCACCGTTATGTATAGCGACATCTTTTGATGAACATCATATGGGAAATTTGTGGTCATCTGGCAGTAAGCCTAATATCAATGTGTTAGCTCGCGTTACGCTGCTAGCGCGACACTCTTTGGATATAATTGAAACAGCGCTGCTCTCGACAATGGAGTTCATTAAACCTGGTCGGATATTCGTACCGCCCAATAATGGTTATGATTTGGTTATTCAGTTGAAACCGGATATGGTATCCAATTCGTGGGCTCATGAATTCGGCACCTCTTTCACAGCGCGAAGTAAGCCCAATTGGCGTCTACCTTTGGCAGATAGCAATTTTTTACAAAAGGCTGTACAAAAACTAAGGGTATGTATGAAAATATAAATAAAAACTGATAGATCTTCAGCGTAAACTGCCTAAATAAAAAAAACTTCTTAAACATTAACAGGAGGCGTATTCGGATTTCGCAGCATTTTTCTACAATCCTCACGGCGGTAAGGAAATAGCGCTTGTTTGGAAACCCAATTTAACAAATGAAAGGGATTTCAAAGTTAACGAGGTCAACGGTTGTGCGTTGAGCAGTAAAATTGACGGAAAAGTTGCCGTTAAGAAAGAAATATTAGTAGAGGATTTCAAATTTATACTAAAGGATTTGTACCTTCGAATTGGCACCGTGGATGAAGTTCTATCTGCTTCCCGAAATGCGCTTCCTGCTGATAGCAAAACGGCCATTACAACTGGTAGTAAAGTTTTCAACCCTAAAATTGGAGAAAAACGCTACTTTTCCCAAGCACAAATGGATAACTCTGAAACAGAAGTAGTAGGTGTAAAAAATAATCATATTCAGTCAAAAACAATTAAATCAAAGACAATTTCGGCCAAGTCAAAGAATATTAGCAAGAAACGGAGGACAAAACCATTAAAAGCGAAAAAAAGTAAAATTTAAATTGTTGCAACAAATATGAAACATTAAAAACTTTAATTTTAAAATTATCCAGACAATAAAAACATTTTTTACCGACAATATTAAGTAAATAGGACTCTTGACTGTGATCATACGAAAATCAATTCATAAATTGTGCCATTTTTCTTTGCTTCGCTTGTTGACGTGCGCACAGACAAGTAGCCGAACGGGAGGAACTCCTTTGTGGAGACTGCAAACTTGTATCCAAAACAATAGTATTGCAGCCACGCGAGCAACACTGGCCTCTCTTAGATGTTCTTTCCGATTCGCAGCGCGATGGCGCAATCTCCGTTGTTGATGTGGCAGAAGTTTGGTGCAACGGATACTGCAAAAAATTATAATCTATGTACATATGTATGTTTAATTGCACATTTCAATTAAATTTTACTTCAAAAAATTAAATTTTTATATCATACAAATATGTACAGGTATACAACTTTGCTTCCGCCGTTTTCCGATAGGTACTTCGTTACAGCTGTACCGGCTGAGGTTGGTTGAAATACATAGATGATAATGCCTTTAAAGTGAGTGTGGACAGTGCCTAACGAATTGTCATCGCCGTCTCAGTGACAGTTGTTCTTGTTTCCGTATTATTCACGCTCGAAAATGTCCGTTTATGTGCCTAATTCTCGCTATTTGCGGGAAGTTTTACTTTTTTTCGAATCGTAACCGGTGATGAAAAGTGGGTTCGATACGATAATCCTAAACGCAGAAAATCATGGGGAAAGCCCGGGCATGCTTCTTCGTCGAAGGCAAGACCGAATATTCTCGGCACCAAAGTTATGATTTGTATTTGGTGGGATCAGCTCGGTGTGATTTACTACGAGCTCTTAAAACCGGGTGAAACCATCACAGGAGATCGCTACCGAACGCAACTGATGCGCCTTAGTCGCGCGCTAAAAGCAAAGTGGCCACAATATCAAGAGCGACATGACAAAGTCATCTTCCAATACGACAATGCTCGGCCTCAAGTCGCAAAAGTGGTCAAAAAGTACCTGGAAACGCTGAAATGGGAAGTCATGCCCCACCCGCTGTGTTCCCCAGATGTCGCCCCTTCTGACTTCCACTTATTTCGTTCGATGGCACACGACCTGGCAGATCAACATTTTAAATCCTTCGAAGAATTGAAAAAATTGATTGCTTCATGGATAACGTCAAAAGAGGACTCTTTTTCGAGCCGTAATCCGAAAATTGCCGGAAAGATGGGAGAAAGTTATAATAATATATCTGTAAGCACTTTTTCGCAATAAAGCTTTTAATTTTGGAAAAAAAGTGGCGGAAGCAAAGTTGTACACCGATATGTATGCAAAGTATTTTTATGCTAGCTAAAAAATACCTGTCGCATTGTTATATTTGTATATTCGACTCTAATAGTCACGGTATAAACAGGTTTAACTACATGCATATGTATATTTGTTGGTTTTGGATGGCATGCATAGGACAGACCTGAGTTGTGCCAGTATTCGAGGTAGCTCGAGCTCTCCGCTTTCGGTGGTGATTTGACTCGGAGAACGCCATTCACAGGCAGTGAGCTCATGAAGGTTTTGACTGATTCTTGTTGATGAATGGCGTTAAATGCCTGTCTGTACACTGACTAGCGAGACGCAGATGGTGAGGCTCTGGAGCAAACGCAGTCGAATGCGGAGTGAAGAAGTGCAGGCTGTCGAATATGACTCCCAGTAATTCTTTCGTCCAGCTGGTGAAGAGGGTAGTCGAGGATTTTGATGGTTGCAAACTACATTGTCTTGAAGAAGGGAGAAAATAGGTGGAGACAGTAGTTCACTTTCGAACATAAGTTATCAATATCCTGGCCAGACGCTAATACCATGAGATCTATGAGATCAGAGAATATCTACCCTTGCGAATTTACAAGGGGTAAGACATGCCTGTCGAAAAGGCGACTGAAATCCAGTAGCTCCCGCGACAGTCTTTATACCGAAACAACCCAGATTTTTATCCGGCCAAGGACTGTCACTCCCGAAACATTCCCCAAAAAGTTCGTTGGGGTATATTTTTGCGGTTACAACAATAGCAACAACATCAGAGAATCCCCTTCTGTTGGAAGAGAGAACTTCAATATATAAAAGTTAAACATCAGTGGGCAGAGTTGTTAGTCTTTCTGAGTTTCGATGTTTGACCTCGAAATTCTTCGGACGATTAACGATCATCTTGGTAGCACATAAACCACCTCTTCAGCCCCGGCGGTAAGGAGGATTCCTCAATATCTGATAGTAGAGTTGTAAGGTCCAGTGTAGCCAGTACAGTATGTATGCCCGTGGCCAGCTTTGATTGAGGCCATTGAATATCTGAGCTCTTATGGCGTTAAGTGTAGTTGTAGTGCTGTGTACTTTGCGGCAGCCATGCTTATGAGCTGCTGGACTCGACTCTCACAGAAGCTGGTTCTACGCGTCGGAGCTGACACGGATTTTATCTGGTCGAGGACTGTCACTCTTTCGGCTACCTTACCTCGTCAATCAAATTAGATATTTGACCTACCTACTATGTTGTTGTTTTACCGGATGAACATACTATCTGACTATTCTGTTGCTATAAGCCTGGTATGTAACATTCGACACGTGCCGAACTTTTAATTACACCTTTCATTAACATAAAATGGCATTTGATCTTTAGTCCGAAGTACATACAGAGTCGATTTTTGAAAGAGCTCCTCCTTCTATTTGTAGTGTGAGTCTTCATGTTTTTCCAACGAAAGGAGAAACCAAAAGCTTATTATTGGCCACCTACAATCGGCCGAAGAATTTTTATAAGAATTTCGGACCAAGAAAAAATTAGATTTAAATTTTCATGAAAGTTATAAAATCTTCAGTATGGCCGAAGGCAGCTCCTTTTCTTTTTTGATTTACTCATTTTGTGAATTGAATTTTTTCAAATACAAAAGCACAGTTACTGCGGTATATATGGTATACACTCTACCATTGTCGTCGGCGTTAGCATTGTGTTGCAGGCCTTCGCCCAGTCCAACTGTTGTTGCAGAGTTGCTGATTCCGATGTAAGTCCTGAGTTTGTTGTTGGTGTTACAGTCATAGTTGGTATGATATGTTGTTGATTATTCGACTGGAAATTTTGTATTGCTAGTTGGGCAGCTTGTTGTTGTTGTTGTTGTTGTTGTTGTTTTTGTAGTTCAGCACTAACATTGTAGACACGAGCAAGCAACTCAGACAACATTCCCATATCCAATTGATTGTTGGTATCAAACGGTTGTTTACACTGTGATTGCATGTTGGTCAGTAAATCGTTGCATCTGACTTCGCTCGTATCCATTGGCAGCAGTTCGCCTATTGTAAAAAATTTTCCTTCATAATAATAAGTCGGTACATTTTTGTCGATTAATTTTGTTTTTAAGAAAGGGTATATATAGGAGACCACCGTAATCCAAGCCAACTGACACTAAAGTTTTTGGAGAGAATAATAAGAGACTAACGATATAGCAAAGGCAAAGTCGGTTCGCTTATAATCGAAGATGAAACGAAATATCTCCCATCGTGCCAGCGATATCAGGTCTTGGCTCCAACTTCACTTTTGACAGTTTCGTCCATTTCTTCTTTTTATAGACTCTATAATCAACTTTGAGCTTCAAGACAAAATCACTTTTGCAAGCAGGTGGTTTTTCGGACTGAGCAGGGTACTGAAATAAAAAGACTGCTTTATTACTACTACTGTTGTAACAGCTAACTATAGTCCCAGGAAAGGAAAGCCAGAATTCCCATGATTATGAGGGGACTCATTGCATGGACAATATACGCTTGGCATGACGGAGTCGTCGAATCTGGATAAGTAAGAAATGAATCTACTCGAGTTTGAGCTATTCATCTTCTATTATTCAAGACGTCATTAGCTTGCAACAGAGTTGAAGGCAAGGGTTTACTCTCTGCAAAGGGCCTTTTCGACACAGACTAACTGTTTGAAATTTAAGAAGACATTGTACTCATAGCTCAATAAATCAAGAGTGGCTCTGCTGGCTAAGTGATGGCGCGGGATATATGAAAACACAACATCTGAGAAGGTTAACAATGCAGTAACTAGATCGCCCCGACTAGGTCCTAAATAAAAAACAATTGGTTTGGTATTGTAGACTCGGCATTTGCGGTGCCTTTTTCAAATAAAGGAGAACTGAAGAGATAGTGTTTCATTCTAATTATGATTTCTCACTAATACCTTGATCAAAAACAGACCAAGGAGAGAGCGTATATGTGTTTCGTATGTACCAGAAATCGATTTAGATTTTGTAAATCGCATTTTGCCTTATTTCTACTCACCTCTTGTATTCACCTTATTATAAGAGAAAAACCTCGAGTCCTCAATTCTACGCACATCCTGTTGCGTTATAACATAACACTGATTCCCCACAATGAACGGCACTAATTATATGATTTTGTTTGATTAAAATAAACGACACAATTCTCACATTCATTTACCATGTAAGGGTTGTTGTACTTGTTCGGCCACTTGTAGTATTTTTCGCATCTTCGGATTTGAGTTCATTGCCACAGAAGTTATTAGCCAAATCGGTCGTCCAAAACAGTTATTCAATCAAATTTAGAATTTTTGCGATAGCTCCTTTCGTTACGTATGAAAATTTTTATATGTATATTTTTTATTTAATTTTTGGAAAGCATCGAAATGCAAATTTAAGCTGTGAATAGTAAGAGTGAGTGAAGTTTCCGAATTCTGATTAAATTTGCCATACAAACTTATTTAATCGTAAATATAGAAATGTTTCAAAAAGGTTTATTATTACAAAACTTCAAAATTCGACGTATTCAATTATGCAAGTTTAATATTTATATATTTATTTGTGATTAAACATATATTTTAACAATTGATAATCGAAACAAATATTAGTCAATCTTTCGAGAATATCTCGTCATAAGTCCAATTACACACGTAAAACAATAAATATGCTCAAAAGCTAGGGTTCAAGCTACCAAACATAAGAGATACAAGAAAAACTGATTAAACTTAAAATCAAAATCAATAGAAATACAAAACTGAAAGATTAAAATAAGCTCTACAATGAAATAAAATGCAATAAATAAAGAATAATGCCTCTTTGTGGAAAAATATATTTTAGTACAGATTTTAACTAATGATAATAATATATTAATATCTGTTTTATAAATCTTTTGTAAGTATTTTTATTTAAAATAAAAAAGCTACAGTTTTATTTCCTCCCATGCAATAGGCACTATTCTTCTTTCTATATTATATTTAAAAATTATATTAAAAAAATAAAAAAAATTAAACTACTCAAATCAAGTGATTTTTAAATGGGTATATGCATAATTCTCATTTATTGTGGGCTGCCACCCAAGGATGGAGGAATACTTGATCCAGAGGAAGGCGTTGCTGAGGATTCAGCACTAAAAGCTTGGACATAAAGTGTGCTGCTGCTCGTGAAACATAATCAGGCAATTTATAATCGATTTTAATAATTTTCTTATATGTTTCATCATAATCAGTGGCCAGAAATGGTGGTCGACCAACTATTAGTTCGTAACATAATACTCCTAAGCTCCAAAGATCTACATTTTTAGTATGCGGTTTGCCTTGTACCATTTCCGGTGGTAAATAGTCTAAAGTGCCGCATAAAGTGGTGCGCAATGAATTCGGCTCGTGTACCGACCATCCAAAGTCGGCTATTTTTAAGTCCCCTTTATGTCCTAACAATAAATTTTCTGGCTTGATATCACGATGAATTACATCACGTTCATGTAAATACTTAAGTGCTGAAGCTAGAGATCCTATATAAACGGCTGATTTCTGTTCGGTAAAACGCTTTAATGGCTGGGATTGTAATTCTTTAAAAAGTGTTCCCTTTGGAGCATATTCCAGTATTAGGTAAATGCGTGCATCATCGTGAAAATATCCATACAAGCGGAGTATATGTGGATGTCTTAAATGCGCTTGAATTTCAATTTCTCGTCTGACTTGATGTTCAACCCTAGACTCCTGTATTTGTTTTTTAAACAGCACCTTTAGAGCGACTACATATTTCGATTCTTTTTCGCGCGCCAGATATACGTTTCCGAATTTGCCGCGTCCAAGTGGTTTGCCTATGTCAAAATTGCTTAGTGACCACGATTTTTTTTCATTACTAGTAGCTGAAATTTATAGAAAATAAAGCAGGTAGTAGTATTAACAATTAATTAATTACTACTATAATTACTACATACCAGTATTCTCATTATCAGCCTTATTTGATTCTTCTGTTGATTTTTGAGATTTATATACAGATTCTTCTACTTGTTTTGCTACCACCGTGGAGCTAGCAGTTTCTTTCGCATTAGACACTTCTTTTTCGGCACTTAATTGACTATTTGTTGTTATTGTAGCTGTCACTGTTGAGCTGGCGATTACTTTCGCATTAGTTACTTCTTTTTCGGTACTCCTTTGACCAACTGGGTTTTTTTTAGTTGTTCCTATGGTGCTTGCGATTGGTTTCGCATTAGGTACTTCTTTTTCCGCTCTTATTTGATCGACTGCATTCTTATTACTAGAAGAAGTGGAAGGAGCGCAAGAGCTGGAAGAGTCAAGTCTCATTGTGGGCAAAGATTTTGAAGGAGGTTTAGGCGCCGGCCTCGTTACAGTCCTCGTGGTGGATGTTGATATCGGAGCCTTTATCGGTCGTGACGGATTGTTATGTATTACTTGCGGCCTACTAATCGTTGTGGCTGTTGCAACTTGAATTATTCTCGAAGCTGGCGGACCGGTAATTGTAGTAGAACTGCTATTCCGAATAGACGGCATGGGTCTCGGCATAGCAATGGGAGCTACGCCCCTCATATTCTCGTTTAATGTCTATTTTCAATAGAAATATACGCTCAATATTTTCAAATTTTTAATGATAATTCGAATAAATTCTCTTACATTTCTGGTACTCTGGTGTTTCTGTGGTGGAGCTGGTAATGGTTTCATCGCCTGTGAATGGTTTTCCTTACAATTGGTCGTGTTTTCTATTTTTCTGTACATTCTGAATTAATGTTATCACCTTTGACAAAACTTTTTCTAAATTTTTCTATTTATATAAAGAAACCCAAAAAACTCAAAAAACCAACTTGTAAAATATGCCGTTTGAAAATGCAATATTTCTATAACAGCCTCTTTTGAATTCTTATTGGTATTGGTGACAAATGCATTCGCACTTCAAGTTGTTAAGGTCGGAAAAGCAGTTTTCTTAATGTGGCCGTACTGGTAAAATATTGCCATATTTCATTTTCTTTTAATGAAGATCAACATAAATTAAGAAACAGGATGAGGATCGCGCTCCAGTGAAAGCTGCGTTTTCTGTGCATAGCGAAAAAATTCATTTTGTTCCAGTAGTTTGTTTATGAAAATCATGTTTTGTTGAGAATTTGAGATCGACTTTCATATGTATTGAATATATGGTGTTTATGCTTTCAATCCATAAATTTAGACCTGTTTAACTATAGAATAATATATCATAAATATCAAATATAAGCAAACGCTATATCAAAATGTCGTCTAAACTATATTTCAGAATTCGAGCGCTAGTTTCCTCTCAATATTCTCGAATTTGTTTAATTTTTAGCTATTGCACAATAATTTTGTTGGTGTATTGTCATAACTGCGCAATCTGACATTTAAGTTTTATACAATACTTATTTGCGCGTGTGGAGGTCCTTTAAAATCGTTCATTTATCAGCATAAATACAGCTTTTTAGTGATTCTTTGCCAGTATCTTGTCATGTCCACCATCACAGTATAATTGTGATTTAAATTTCTAAACTGGCTATTCTAAATGGCTTCAATTAGTTGCACAGTTTTTATAACCAACTTGATTCCTTAGTTATGAGGCTGTAGTCGCCGTTGTGTTTCTACTTTTACACATAATAAATAGCAACCATGTAGAACTATCTTATCGATGCCTCATGTTAGAAAATTTTTTATTTTGCTCAGTTGTTTCTTGTCAATGATTTCAGATGGTTTTCTTAAAGAATTATTTAAAGCAGAAAGTATTTTGTTATTTGAAATTGAACATAGATTAGAGACAGCAAAATAAATTGCATAATATTTTTTGTTTCCTGGGCACTAAAAAATCTTCAGAATTCCAAAGATGAGAATGTAAGTAATGCTGGGAAACTTTGATATAACGTGATTGATTATTATTATATTGTAGGCGGGAAATTTTTAAAACTCCTGGAGAGGAGTCCGAAACTGACGAACTTGATGAACTAGCCGACGTGGAAGATGTTGAGGATGTGGTTGCATTTGAAGCAGACGTAGTTCAAAACCTCGATTCAGAAGACTCTGAAGTCGAATACGGTATAGCATATGGCGACGGTAGCGTGCAGGTTCAGAATGATTCTGACGAAGATGGATCGGATTTTGACCCAGATGATTTTGAAAACAGTTCAGACTTTCAACCCGATGATTCTGATGAATCAATGTCTGATTCTGACAACAAAACAGAAGTGATACACAAGTCCGCGAAACAGGAAAAACGTAATACGAAAGTAAATTCAAATGACGAAGACGGCCCTAGCTCAAGTGGAACTGGAAGAAACAACGAAGATAATCATACGAGTGATGTACTAGAGCTCAACGAAGAAGACGAGGATGACGAAACAGTACGCGCCATGATTGCAGCGATAAAAAAGCCACGCTCCGTTCCCCCAGAAATTAAGTTGGACGATTTTATTACTGACGTTTGTTTTCATCCAGAGCGCGATATTATAGCGCTTGCGACGATAACCGGTGATGTGAGTATTTATGAATATGCGAACGAAGGCAATACATTACTACGCAATATTGAAATACATGCAAAATCATGCAGAGATGTTGAATTTACCGAGGATGGTCGTGATTTACTTACGTGTTCCAAAGATAAATCCATTATGATCACAGATATGGAGACAGAAAAACTTAAAAAATTTTATGAAAGCGCACATGACGAAGCCATAAATAAATTGCATGTTATTGATGAACACTTGTTTGCAACTGGTGATGATGGTGGTACAGTAAAGCTTTGGGATTTACGCACTAAAGATGCGATATTCTCTCTAAAAGAGGTTGAAGATTTCATATCCCAAATGCTAACAAATGAAACAAAAAAGTTGTTATTGGTCACAAGTGGAGATGGTTATCTCACTACACTAAATTTAGGCGCACGTAAGTTGTTCGTACAATCGGAACCCTATGAGGAGGAACTACATTGTATGGGTACATTTCGTGGTAATTCAAAACTAGTCGTGGGTACATCAAAAGGACGTCTTTATGCTTATAATTGGGGTCAGTTCGGTTATCATTGTGACATGTATCCAGGTATTAAGACTGCCATTAGTGAGATGATACCTATAACGGATCGCATCTGTTGTGTGGCCGGTGAAGAGGGTATTATACGTGCATGTCACGTTGCCCCATTCCGTAACTTGGGTATTGTTGGGCAACATAATATGCCAATTGAAAATTTGGATGTGAATAATACCGGTGAATTGATTGCTTCGTCTTCACACAATAATGATGTACGTTTTTGGAACGTAAAATATTTTGAAGACTTCGCCGATATAAAATACAATGAAAAACATAATACATTTAAGGATAAGCGACACAATTTGCCTTCTTCAAAGTTCACAAATGCTGGTGATTTCTTCGCTGATTTAGCGAAATCGCCTAACGAAGACAATGAATAATAAATACCGAATAATAGACCTATAATAGATGTATACGTTGAAAGTATGTATAAGAAATTGATTGTATGTATTGTAAATTTTTGTAAGAAACTTGTGTTTAATTATAGAAAAGTTAAGACAAATTAATTGGTGATTTTCATTATTATTATTTTTTTTCTGAGTGAAGGCTGGTAAAAGATTCTAAATTAAGAATATAAGAGCACCCGTGTTTTTTTATTATTATTTTGACTTTTTTTGTGCACGAATGTACAGATACGCTCATATTAATGAGCGATTTGTGTCCCTCCCTCCAAGCGTCGTATGACAAGCTAGAACTGTTTACTATGGATTGTAATGTTACCGTAATAAGCATTGATATTTTAGTAAAATCTGATATTTTTTATTAAATTTAACCAGTTTGCATGTATATCGTTATTAATTTACTTACTTATACACATATTACTTTCTCATTGTCAACATTGAATTTATTAATTTATTTACTTATATAATTGATGTATACTCTATTTCATTTTAAAAAAATTGATCAAGTATATTCATACATGCATATATATATTTATACATGCATATATATATTTATACATGCATATATATATACCATGATATATGTTTGTACATATGTATACTTGTGAATTTTATCTAAATATGAGTTTGTAAATGTGATTATATAAATTACAGTTAAATATGTTAAGAAATTCTTGTTATTTGCTCTACAATTTTATGCACTTTTATTCAAAATTTTGTTGTGTTGTGGTTTTGTGTATGTAAAAGAAATATTGACGATGATCTAATTATGCGATTTATATTTTAAGTTTTTGAAAAAAGTTTATGAACCGTTGTTGAATTCTATAGAATAAATTATGAATATGTATGTATTTTTAAATATAAATTGGAAGCACTATACGTATTTTATAACTTTTATAAATAATATTTTTAATTATACTTTGAAATTATCGTTTTTTCAGCGATATGTATGTTTTTTGTAATCGCGCAATCTAGCCATCACTAAAATCTTTAAGTTTTTTTTTTATTGCGAAACTCAATATGATTGAAGAAATAGTTTTTGTGTACAGCAGACTCCTTGTTTGTGCCAATTGAATACATATAAAGTATGACATTGAAACAAAAAATAATAATAACTACTAAATCGCCCGATTGTATTCACAGTAAAGTTAATTACATTTACTGACGGGTTAGTGATGATTTCTCTCTTTTTACATTCATAATTTCTTTATTAGTTGTAATCATAAATACATGTATGTGTGGCCTTTTCTAATTCCATACATACATACTGCCTAATTTATATTAAATTATATTTAATTAATATTCAGCTGCACAAAGTTAATATAAATAATGCAGAATAGAGCATAATAGCGTAAAAATATTCAATACTTATGAAACAAATGTTTTCCACCTTTTCAAGGTAAGTGGTTAAATTGCACAATTTTGTAATACTTACACAAAAAGTAGTGTATTAGTAGCTAAATAGCTTTTTAATATATTTAAAAAATACAAAAGCTTACTTAGCACAATAAATATTTAATATCCAATAACTTGTAGTTAAAAATAAAGCAGAAACAATATATATTTTGCCGGAATGACCACACTGTTTTTTCGAGGGTATACACATTTCATTTGCAGAGTATAATTATTAATGATAAACTTTCGTAAACGCAGTATGTATTTAGTACTAATTGCGAGTATAAAAACAAAACAAAAAATCGTGCTCAAAAATTGGGGTGAAATATTTATACAGGATTTGAAAGGAATATTTAATTCCCTTCGTTTGGAATTGGAAAACCTATCAGATTGTGTGGTGATATTTAAAAAAAAAAAAACATAATTCAATATATATTCGAATATACATACATATGTTACTGCTTCGCGAGCGTCATAAAGCTACAATATATCAGTTAAGAGCCATTTCGATTCGCCTGGAATATTTCATATAAATTTGCAGTAAAATACATTTGTTTAATTGATTATACTGTAGCTTACTACAAAAATAAACTACATAATATGCATAGAGCTTTTGTGCATTAACTGTAATCATATTAAACTAATGAATTTAAACATTATAAAAATGTGTATAATTACATTTGTTAGTGTTTTTATGTGTATGGTTTTTAAGATATTTTTTTCGCAACTCGCAATTTCTCTATACTGTATGTGCGCTCAAAAATTGTCATCTTTTAGTCGTTAATTAATTTAAATATTTTTATTTATTTCTGTTTATCATCCTCTTTGTATATAATCCTGTTCGTTGCTTACGTACTACAATATTGCCAATAAAAACAACTTTGTGTGAATGCTTAGCACCCTAAAAAAAATGGCTTAAAATGTGATAAAACATACCCAGAACCGAGTGAAGGACGGAAAATTTGAAATAACTACACTCGCATATAGTTCAAACCATATTCAGCCCTCCGTGCAGTCAACTCGATTATGAACTTACTTTTCCTTTTCAATATTTTTATAATCACACAACTCTGTATTCTCGCTAATATTACGCACTCTGTGCTAACATTATAGTCTGTAACCATTAGTTCCGCCGCCACTGCTGCTACTGCTACTCAAGGCACTACCGTGAGAAGTGGATGCCGTCGTTGATGTCGTTGTCACTGCAGCTGCCTCCTGCATTGCTTTTTGTTTGGCTCTTCGATTTTTTTGTCTTGTATGTTCGATTTGAAAGTCTTCGACACGCAAATTTAGCCTTTGTATATTGTTAATAATAAAGTCCTCCTCTAGTACATGTTCAGGAGGAGAACGTAGCACCTCTAATGTTTCACATAGACCATTACATTGTTTACGCACTTTGTGTTGATTGAGTGAAGCACCGATTATCACTAGTGCTACTTTAAAGATGACACGTATACCTTCGGCGAGAAAGCAATCCCAAACTCGCAATAACGTTTCCCATGGTAATGTTCGTGTCATAGCACAAAGAAACCAGTCCGTCATATAAAGCAAGGGTTCGACTTTGTGCTTTTGTAAATGACGGTATGCGGGGGGACAGGTTTTTTTGAGGAGGCCCTCCAGTATGCCAGCATCATTTTGCAACACCTCAAGTCCGGTTATAAAATAATCCTCTAAATATCTGTAAACAAATGAAATTAAATTTTAATAAACACATTCATAGCATTAGAGTAAGTCTAACAACTTACACATCACAAACACTAACAAATACCCAGAAAGCATCTTCGGCTGGTAAGTGCATAAGTAGGAAGGCAGCAATTGGCGCCTGCGCCTGGCAAAAGCCAACTTTTGGATTGTATATAGAATATGCTTTTAATACGTTAAACAATTCGATTTGCCCAACTTTATCCTCGTCCAAAAACATTTCATGAAACGGAAATTGGCGATGTTTATCCTTTTTGATTTCTTCAATTACATGTGGATTGCCAGGTTGCTCTAGTAGTTCTTTGTAAACGGAGGGATTTTTCTTTTTTAACAAATAAGCGCCGGAAAGATAAAACCAAGCTCGTGGACGCACTGATTTGGGTATGCCTTTTCGACAACGATCACGGATCTGCGGAAAAATTATTGAATACAAAATTTTAATAGGCAGTTACGTACATAATAAATGTTTTAAAAACCTTTTTATAGTTTTTAGACATGTATAGCGACCAATTATCAATCATATATAACCATTTCTTTTCTCTCGCAATAATTTGCGCTTTGGAAAGGGGTTCTTTCGGTTTTTCTGTGCGTTGAAAGCCACCGTAAAACCCATTGCGGTCTGGGCAACTCGAAACAGTTGAGCATAATGATATTGTATCGACTGAGCGTGGTGAAGTAGCCATTTTGAACTAAAAATAAAGAATATATAAAAAATATTTATTAAGCAATAATAAACATTTAATTTATCTCATTCATATATAATATTAATCGTAATGCAATAAATATTAAATCAAAGGAACTCTCTTTAGAATATTATAAAGTAGTTCGAAATTTCGCAGCGGAGAAATTGGTCAAAATTTCGTGACAATTAATATTTTGCCAATTTTCCTACATATGTATGTGGATATATAGTGCCTTTATGCATGTGCCCAAACACTTAAAAGATTTGCATCGTTTTATGTCCAAACATATAATCTAACGTACATATGCATGAATGTATGTATGTATAAGAAAATGATGATGTGCACCTATCTGTCCTGCTGCTTCGGCTAAAGTTTTTCAGTTGATTTAACTGCGCCGCAAAATTTTGTTTGAACACTTACTTGTCTGGATAATTCGTATTTTAAAAAATTAATTAATAATTAGCTACCTACCTATAATTTCAAAAGTCGAAATAGAAGTATAAGTTATGTATGTATGTCCACCTGTGGTTTTAAATACACATATGTAATTAAAAATCACGAAAATTTATGTAAATACTTTTGTTTGGCTTTTTTGTTTTCGTAACACCGCACCCACAATGACATCTAATTTAGTATGTAAATAGATATGTACACAAATATTTCTGCAGCAATGGACCTATGCACTACTTCTATGTATATAGGTAGGTACATATATTATATTTATGTACCTACAAAAATAGTAGTAGTAAATTCAGACATAAAAGGAAACTTGTTGCGTTAATTGCACTTAACACATAGGCGTTTTGAATATTAATAACATTATTATTTTGGATGTACGCTTGATTTTGCAACAGCCGGAAATGGCGTAGAGCGCAATATCGTTAAAATAAGGTAGGTACATTATTCTCTTTGAAAAATTTCTCTTTCTTAAATGATAAGGCAAATTGTTATGATATGTGTGATGTTAGGATAGGAATCAATTTTTAGCCAAAAATGATAAGTGGCGAATCAAACCCACTACTACTATATGTATGTTTGTTTCATATGAAAGGTTTTGTTAGATGTAAAATTAATCAAGCAATTGTTGAATTCTACTTTGTTGCAATGAATATACTCTTTATTTACGTTTTTTAGGTTAAACGACCACATAAAACATTACCAGCGCACCTTTGGAAAAACATAACATTACTGCACACCATCAAATAGAACATTACATACAAACATATTGTACGTTCATACAAACCTGCACCTGACACTCTGCTTAATGCACCTCTCAATTTTGTTCTTCCAAAAATATCGTTTTCTTTCGTCGCAATTAGATGTTGTTGCCTTCACGTTTAATTTGTATTTATTCAAATATTATTCTATGCCACTTTCACATAATGCTTATTGGAATTTTTATTTCACTCTTTCTTTCAGTGCAACGAAAGACAGATAAAAACTGATTGGAATTAGTGGCGTAGGTTTGCCTTCACAAATATATTGCACAAAACTTGTTTTCTTATTAGATTTTTTGTTACATGGCAAATGTATTTTTCCGCACTAATGTTACCTATGTTATTTGAAAAATAAAAATTCTATAATATTCGATCAATATTAATTTATTTTTATAGGAATTATGTATTTGCAGAAATTTCAACAATTTCCAATCTTTTTTTTTGTACCTTTAGGTAATGACAAAACTAGCAATTCGTTAAGCACAGGGTTGCATTGTATTGTTCTCAACAGCACTGTTGCTTATAAAAGTGAGCAACTGATTCTTTTTTTAACACGAATTTGATTTAAGAAGCGATTATACAAATTGTTTGGTTTTAATAAAATTTCACAAAAGTCGCAGGCGTGCGTAGGTTTTATGTATTTGTTGTATAAAAAGAAAATTAAGTTACATATGTTGTATATGTTAAAAAAGTAAGCTGTTGAATATTTATAAATATTCTGTAGATATTTTACGAAATTTTACAACTTATTACATTTGAAATCGAAAACAATATCCAACAATTTTTTTATTAACGATTAATTTCGGAGCCTAAAATTTAAAGCTGATTCACATACGAGTTTCTTCATGCCTTGCTGCGCTTCGACGATGTCTTTGAAGTATGCATTTTAGCGAGTTGAGCGAAGCGAGAGAACAAAATTTTTCCGCAAAAAAAAATTTTTTACCTTCCGAAATTTTCTTATGTGACACATGTATGTATTTAAACTTGACAAAATAGTAAAAATAGCACTATACATGTATATATAATTGGCGCATTGTGGCCGCTGAAGCGACTTTCGGCCGAGCTCCTCCTCCAATTTGTGGTTTTGAGCATGTTTTCCCAAAAAATGGACCTATAGTTTATATATCCAGCCGAGAACTTAATTTTTTATTTAAACTGATTTTCTATAACTTTTGAATGTTGGTCGTACCTGAATTGTGTACCCGGTCTTTCCGAATGGCAGTACGCAATGCTAACCACTCGGCTACCGCGGTCGAAATATAAAATAAATTGCATTCGTATTTGTAAAATTTGTAATGTAAAATCCTGAAATCGTTAGCCGACAGTACCAGAGAAAAAGGGAAAGAAACGTTGATCGCCACATACGAATTAAATTATGCTGTTCCGATTTGGACGCCGGAGACGAATAAGCTGAAACCATGCCAGAACAACCGCTTGTAGGACCGCCGGAAGGACCACAACCGAGCTTCACCTAAGCGCATCAGGAAGGGAGTACTAGACTATACAGCAACAATTCGTATCATAGACAATAACCGCTGAAGAGCACGGGGTGACGACAGGCTTTAAACGCCATTCACTGAGAGTCTATCAACACATTCATGAATTCTCTTCCAGTGTAAGATGCTTGCGGAATTCAAGAACCTCCTATTGCAGATGAAGAGCTAGAGATTACTCGAGAGACCCGAGTAATTCGGGCACAATTAAGAAGTAGATATTATAGTCGACTTAATCCCGACTAGACCTCGACATTTCAATGTTTGTATGTCCTGTATACAATGAGACTCCGGGCGACATTAACCACCTCTTTGCATGCCTCCAAACTCGTTGGACCGCACTTTGTTATTCCTCCGTTTTCTAGACCTCTCGTTAGATGACCTCAATGACTTAGGTTAGTCCTATATGCTCTTAAACGGTACAACTTCACTTGAAGCCTGCGAACCGCTCGTCTGCTTCGTACATTTTGCGGTTTAGGCAAAGAAAATTTTACAGCACGTGAAGTCGACCGTTTAGAGTAGAGCTTCCATTTGAGAACAAATGCATGATGGGCAAGTATACTAAAATTAATCGTATTCACTAAATTTTGCCAATATTCTGTATTTAGTACATTATCAGATTTAAATCATTTTACTCTCGAGCACATCATCTTCTCTCATAATTTCTCCATGAAATCTACAATTTGCTGTAAATATCGAATGATTGAAGCAATTCATTTTTCATTATTGTCATTTAATTGTTTAAAGTATTGTTGACGAGTCAGTGCTACTTGCATTAAAGCCGTCTTAAATATTCAATAATTAGTTCAAGTTTGTTTACACCTACAAAAAAGTGAAAAGAAAAAGTTTAAAATGCAATTAAAATTAAGGTAAGCATTAATAGCCATTATATTTAAACGGAAATATTGTTGCGATTGATTTCATATACCATAGTTTCTTAAAAAAAAAAATCAGAAACAAAAATAAATAATAATAAGTTAATAAATTAAAAAGTAATTAAATGGTACAGAAACAACGCAGATTTTTTGTTATTTTATAAATTTGAATAATTGCATGGACAGCATATTTGTGTTAATTACTAATTTTTTTTTGTGGTTTTATGATAAAATAGAGATATTTATAATATATCTATTAAGTTTAATTTTTCTTTAAGTTTGTAAGTCCGTATCTGGGTGTAGTGAACACCTCGATATAATGATCACCCAAATTTAAAATGAAGTGCTCTAAACTGTGACCAATTGAAAACTGTAATTATTAAAAAAAAAAAATTTTTGAGAGCGTTTTCAAGCAAAACCCTGCAAGAAGGCTTCCGATCATTTCAGCCAACAAATGTCAGGAATGCATGACGACATATCCCGTCAGCTCGCAGAACGATTTTCCTATCACTTTCTTATGGCCGAAATGACAAACGTGATGTTTACATATGTATACGTGTACATCATTCTCGCTTCGTTTCCTTGTGCATTTTTGTCATTCTTGTCGGACAAGCCGAGCACAGATGAGCGACACCATTGATGCCGAAGGAAATCAACTTTTACAAACATTTTCCCTACATATATACATACATACATGCACACATTATTAAGATTCAGTCTTTATTTCAATATTTGACATAAATCATGTGCATGGTTTACATAGCACACAAAAGAAATAACAATACAACAACAAATTTGTTTTCAAAAATAAGGAAAATATTATAAGAAGTCTCCGCCTCCGTCCTAATCGCCGCTCCTTTGAAGTATATAGAGACATCTAAGTAAAATTAAAAAGTAATTTTCGAATCATAATGTTTTTAATGTTCTAATGCAGTTGTACTTCGTAAAATTTTGTTGAATATTTTTGAGATGTGCTGCTGCTGCAAGATGAGAAGTGTCCATTCTACTTAACCTGCTCCATTAACAGAATTTTTTGTACAATATGGAGTACCCTTAAATAAAAACAATGTAAAGAGTTATGAAAACTGAGGTAGTTAATTCATCGATAATGTGTTATTACCACAACTTGTACAGGGCTCTCATCATATGTATATTTTTCACTTCTATCTGCTGCGGAGAAAACGGTAAAAAATGGCGTTCTACTCGAAAATAAGAACCAAGAAAATCAGATAATCCATTCTTCTGCATTCTTCTTCAAATTGTATGTACTCAAAAGAGAAAGATAAACAAAAAAATCTGCATGTGTGTTGGTTCTGCCCGAAATCGTGTGAGTGCATTGGTGAACCCATCAGCCCGTTCTTGCTGGGAACGCACTGTGATATATTGTGTAGAGTACAAACCAATTTTAATTGAACTGTTCAATACTTTGAACAAATTTTGCAATAATTAGTTAACTATATCCAGACACGACTGTGGTTAAAAACATAAAATCTTTATCTTTCGGCACAATTGTTACTGAATTTTACTGAGCCGCGTTCGGTGAGATAAAAAAAAGTAGTAAAATTTGCGCAATTTTGACATTTCGTTACTGGCTAATGCTTGCTGATATTTTTCACCGAACAGGGACTATGGTGTTAGAAATTTCTATGCAGGTAGTTTCACTTCGAAAATTTTGACATCAACAGGCCTATTCTCTTTGTTAACGGTAAAGTAAAGCTTGTTACTTTTCTTTAACACCCGAAATTGAATTTGGTATTCTGACGAACTGGTTACAATGCTTGAAAAAAATTTTGCAGCACTGCTTTTTTTGTCCATGTCAAAGTACATTTGCCAGTTGATAAAGTAAAAAGAAAAATATTCACAGTGAGGTAACAGTGAGCTCAGAATACGAAATGGTAAAAAAATTTACTGAATGGTAAATTTTAATACCTAGGTAAATTTTGTCACCTCGACAGAATAGGCCTGATTGTAGGTTTTAATACCTAGGTAAATTTTGTTACCTCGACAGAATAAGCCTGTAAAAGTGTTGGCTCAGAATTATTTTATCTTGCCACTTATAAGATTTTCAACTTGGATATTTTTTAATGACTTTTGGGGTTATTGAAATATTTGTTTAAAATTTAAAGTTCTTTTTCTTAGACAGCAGGGATAAGAAAAGAAATTGGCGAGATGCTTTTTATTATATAATATAATAAATAAATTGGAATAAGTTACTTTTTTTCGAATAAATTTAACATTTTTGGAAAATTCAATCAAAAACAAGGAAACAATATCTGCTTACGAAATTTTCCTACCAGTATATATGTATGTATGTAACATCTGAGGTGTAGTAAAAAGAGACCCATTATTTTTACAAAATTATAAATAATTAAATTTTTCTTTTTGTATTCAGTCTTATTAAAGTGATTCCAAATAGTTTTTCGTGCAATCTTTAGCTCGTGGGCAATAGAAACAGTGCTACCATGACGGATGGGCTCGTCAATGTCCTTGATTTTATCGACATTTTCGACTATTGGTCGTCCACTACGTAAAGCATCTTTTACATCAAAATTATCGGAATGAAACCGAAATTGTGCATGATTGACTGTAACAGTATCAGGACCATAAACGCTATTTCAACCGCCTGGCTTGTGTTTTCGCCCTTATTGATGAAAAACTGTAAAATATAGTGTAAAATAAAGTGGCAGTACGCACTTCTAACCACTCGTCTAAACCAATACTTGCATATATGTACATACATATGTACATATGTATGCATGTGCCAACTTTTCTTTTTTTTCCCAATTATTAAGCTATCTCTTAAAAGAGAGTTTCCTTGCATTAATTGATGTAATGACGCACAGGCTATACACACCCCATTTAATCTATGTATTACGCTATATTATTATGTTACTTATCAGCGATCTTACGTTGTATAAATAAATGAAAACAATTTTCGTTTATTAAAAACATGTTTTTGTGTTCAATTTGAAAACAATATTGTTCCAACTGTTGCCGAGTGCATTTAGCGCGTTTCATTCAGAAAGCTTTTATGTTTCCATGGGAGAAATATAATTGTTTTTAAAATGTATAGCTTATTTATTGTGATGGTATTTTCCGCTACTCACATTTTCGTCATTTATGATCGGTTTCATGCCTTATCACTACAGGAGTATATTTTGTCTACGAATTTGCTTTATTATCGCAATTATTTCAAATCTCTTACTTCAAATTCGATTCGTCTGATTCGGCAATGAAAATCGAACACTAACCATTCTCTGTGATGGATTTCAGAAAAAGGCGAGGCCTTATTTAACATAGATATTTTTTTCCTACAATTTTCTAATAAGAACTGATATGTGTGGCAAATGCGGTAACCAACGCGCGTTGAATCCCGATCACGGCTAAAAGAGAGAAAGCTTCAATGGAGTCACTACACTTATGCGTTTTAAGGGTTCGGTGAAGTCTAATTGCAGCGTCTATCCACCAGAGGAGCGAATGTGAGCGGGTCGCTATATAAATGTGAAAAAAAATGTAAACTTACTCATCTACCGAGGTTGTTGGGACCCGCCGAATAGAAACCAGATCCAATGAAAAAACTAATCATGCCTCGGATGAGATACCCCCTTTTTGCAGATGTTGTCAGGATCACGATTTGAGGGTATGCCCTTGGAATGACCGCCCACTTAATTGGGAAGGTGCCGCTGTACAGGCGGGTGATGTCCACCACAGGATTAAAGGCTGACATCGCCGCAGTCCAACAAGTGTGATGGACGGAAACGAGTAGGTGATTGTGACTGTTGTAAAATTCAACCTCTGCAACGAAATATCTCCTAATGGGTTGAGGCTGATCAACATCACAGCACCAAAAACTCAAAACCAGATCGCTCATTTCGTAAAACACGAAGACATTTATTCTATAGTGTCTTTGACGTAGGTACATTCCGAGGACCCAACATCGACCAGAATCTGGTAACGACGGTAGTGGGACGGAATTTCAAGCTCTTTGCGTTTTGCTATTGCTATTAGTTTTCGAAAAGTCTACAAAACGTACCAGCTGTTTTGATACTTTTAAAAATAATTGTATACAATTGCTTACACTTACATACTCACATAGATATGTGATTAATTGTAAACAAAAAATACAATGTGCAAACTTCATGTAACATTTCATCATCTCATTTAATATTTCTAGCTACCATATTAAGCAAATATTTATACGTATGCGAGTATGTATATATAATTGGCTTTGTAACCGCTGAAGCGATTTTTCGGCCGAGCTTCTCCTCCAATTTGTGGTTTTGCGGAATGACCCCCAAATACCGAAAGTCCGTCAACACCTTTCTGAAATCTCTTCTATTGAATGGCGTTCTCGGAGTCAAATCGTAACTCATAGCAGACGAAGAGCTCGATATGCCTCCAGAGTTCTGTGCAATACCAGCATAATTCAAATCTGAACATCAACACCTTTCCTACACCTCCTATTAGATAACCTCGATGACTTAGACTGATCCTAAGCGGGTCAAACGAACCGCTACATCAACAAAAAGAAGAAAACAAATTTCCATTTAAATAAAATCGGTTAGCGATATCCACTTTTTGAATCACCAATTAGACACATCGACACGGAAAATCTTTTCAAAAAGTTGATTTTTTTTCGATAAACTTGTGAAAAACACGTATACACGTCAAAAGTAAATGTTTAGTGACTTTATTGCTATAAATTGAATTAAATTTACTCAATTTAAATCTTTATAAAATACATAAATATTGTACGCACACATGCATTCACATATGTATGTACTTAAATAAAGTTTTTAAATAAACGATTAATGCACTCATTATCTATCTCCTCATTAAAACATTTATTTCTTACCGAATAATCGAACTCCATTTACCACAGTGAGTTCAACTGAACTCAATTTCGATCAATACGGTCTTTGGATAAAATGAGCGTAAAGTAATGTGAGTAAAATGTCTATCGAGGCGAAATTGAGTGATCAAAATATTTACAGCATACAGCAACCCGCCGAATTTGAACACTCCCGCGGTTTCAAATACTATAATTCTGATTATCTCTTGTATAATATATTATATATAATATATATTATCATTAAGAATTTTTTTTTTTTTTTTTTTGAAATTGTAAAGTTATTTCTTTCCATCTTTCTCCGGCAGAGGGGGTTTACAAATGTTCTAATCTGGTCCAAAACTTTCGGCTATAAACTTTAAATTTTTTGTACCAGAGAAATTTTAAACTTTACATCTTTTGGGTGATTATAACGTATTATTAAAATAAATAATATCTTTATTTATTAACAAATCTTTTGTGCATGTGTTATCCTTTGAACTCTTTGTAAACTGCGGAACTCATTACTTTGTTTGCATTAAAATAGGTTCGAGAACAGTTTTTTTTTTTTTGAAAGTGAACCAAAGAAAAAATGTTTCAATGTGGTGCTAGAAAATACAAACTCTAAACAGTGTATCCAATTCAGTATATACATATACATATGTATCTATATAGGATTTTATGAATGAATTTGTGGCTATTTTAGAGACCGTATTGAAAAATCGCTTCATCGGTTACAAAGCGCCAATTATACAGGGTCCGCCACGTAACTTTTTTTTTTTAAATGCAATAAAACAAATGCCCATTCGGCAAAGGCAAACCGCATCGGATGGTCTCGTGGCTTCAATTCTTGAACCTATTGAACTTTGTACGGTGTCATACCAAGGTCTTTTTTCAAAATTCGCCTAAGGGACGTCTCGGAAATGTCCAATTGTTGAGAGCGACGCTTCACACTTTTTGGTTTCTCACCCGTTGGTTTATCAATAATTGTGCCGGTTTCTCTCAATTTTCTCAAAAGAAAGCGCACATACGGAGCGGACGGTGCTTTGTTACGGCTCATTTGCGTGCGTAATTTTCGCACACATATTTAAAGTAAAACTGCACTATTTTAACGCGTTCCTCAATCGTATACACAACCATTTTCGTTCAGCGGAAGGATAAAACTAACTTTCTGTCAAATCAGATGTAACATCAGTGTTACCACACTCAAAATAACCACTAGTTCAAAAAAAAAAATGTTAGATGGCGGACCCTGTATATAAATATTATATATATATATATATATATATATATATTGAAAGTGTAGACGGGGGTATAGCTTACGTTCCTATCTATCCATTCTATAAGCTGATTACTGGAAAAAAACTCGATATTGTCTTAGCCCAAAGTAATTTTCGTAATACCTAGATACATACACATATACCCATACATATATATGCACATCTATTCATACTCAAATTTATACTTTCGCTGAAGAATATACATATGTATGTACTTACATACATAAAAATGAGTATATTTGATCGTTTGAGCCATATATAAAGTTTGAGTCGATATAAGCAATTTAGCGTATTGTGCAGAAAGGTTTTTACACTTGCTTTGTCGTGGTGAAGTGAATTTAAGTGTGACAGTGAAAATTATCTATTATTTTCATATTTTTTGAAAATTTACCACTATTTGTGAAAAATGGCGGATATTGTAATAAGGTAATTGGCAATTTGCTTAATTGATATACACCTTATTTCCAATACATTTGTATATACAATGTATAAAATGTGCGTGTATTTTCTAATTTGAATAATGGTATGAGAGTTCATTGGCAATGATCATTATTAATACTATCAGTTTCTATTCAGATTTTGTTGTTTGATATTTAGTTTGTTTTTTGTAAATAGCGCGAGATAAGAAAAAAAACGTGCGCGCAATGAAAGTATCCCATTAACAACCTCGGATGCATACGTATTTATCTGTTTATGTACCTTATGTACATACAAACATGTGTTATTTTCTGTTGCAAACACGAGGTGAGCTACCAATTTGACAAAACATACCAGAGTCAAATGTCAACTTTTGACTTCATACGTTGTGTCGTTTAGAATCAGTGCAATTGATAAATTCGGCATAAAATGCGCTTAGTTTTACGCATTTTCAACGGTGCAACAGACCCTTTAAATATATTGAAGCATAAATATGTGACAATGAAAAATTATTGCAGCAGGTTTGTATAAATAAAGTGGTATTGTTTGTTGTTTTATGATTAATTGACACCTACTGACGTTTATCGTCAACAGTGCTGCCAACGAACACTTTCTCGATAATAAGGATTGAAGGGAGGGATAAAATTTTTTCACTTTGCTGTTATATCCTTCAATTTCTTTTAATGAATAAGCTGAAACCCTGGTAATAATTATTGAACTTGTTTTATTTAATAAAATTTCTGGATATGTATGTTAAGAAAATAAATGAACATTATCTTATATGTCAGAAATTCTATCTGCCGTCAGCTTAACAATCACAGATCGGCGTTTTTAATTAACAGCAAAATTATATAATTATCTCCAAAATATCTGCAAAATTATATAAGTATGGTCTATTTATAAACAATTGATATATTTAGTGCCATTAAGTTATATTAACAAGTTAATATTTCGTGCAATTTTTTGTGATTGTGGCAAAAGTGCTAAGTACTAAAGCCATATATCCAATTTTCGATACCGAGAGCATTTATACTGAAACTTGTAGAGTTGAATACGAGCTTTCGCTGGGTATATAAACGCGACCCGCACATTGCTGACATACTCAGTTCAATATACGGCTCATTAGTGGCAAAATTTGTAAGGTAAATCGGAGTCAACTGTGTGTTTTCAATAACAAAGCCGAGAAACATATTTTGGTGACCTCAAAATGAGGTATATCTAACAGTGTAAGCAAGTTAAGCTACAAAAAAACGATTTTTACACCATTAAGAAATAAAATTTATTAAAATCTTTTTAAAAACCAGAAGCATAGCAAAGCTGGTTGACATATATATACACACACGTATATTTATTTTGGCTCTGCTTGCTTCGAAGCATGTGATTCACCGATAATATTCATTTACAAAGCCGAAGCAACTAATACACACGACGGCGACCGGGTATTGAAAACGAATCACGGGGAAGAACCTATCTCAAATGGTGGAGCCATTAACACAATGAATCGCGAATGAATTTTACAAAGTTCATTTTTATTTGATCACTTGATCGAGACAGTTGTTAATTGCGCAAAAAGTTTTTAACTTCAAAATAGTTTAAAAACATTTACGTATATATATATATATATATATATATATGCATAAATACAAATACGCATATGTGTAAAAGTATCTAGAATTTTAGATTAAGTCACACAGAAGATAAAGAAACACTATCGCATGGTAATTAGTATACTACGAAAGAAAAGTGAATCAACGTGTGCTCACACTATATATGTATATTTATATACGACTTAATAAATACTAATAGCTAAAGAAAGAAAATTTAAAGGTGTTTAAACAACAAAATAATCCAAAATGATTAACGATTATATCGATATGGACACGCACAGTATTCGGTACGTAAGTGAATCATCCAACGCGAGTACAAGTGGATATTCCACAATGTCACCTGGACATGCTAGTGTACAGTCAACTCCTCCGTCGCCATCACAATCTCCATCGACGCAACTACAGACGGAATTTTCTAATCTGAACCTGCCTTCGGGTTCTCCACATAACCAACCTTCTTATGCCACATTGCAAAATGCAACCCTGTTGTACAATCAAAATAGTCATCCCTTAAATTCGTCAAATAATTATATGAATTTCTTACCAGTGGGAGGAATACCTCCAACTATGGTTCAATTGCCACAGAATCAGTATGTCGGTATGCATACACAGTCCCAACGTATTTATTCAAGTAATTCCGCATCCAAGATGTCAACGTATACAACTGAAAAGTATCCTGCAGAATTGCGTATTCTTGAACATCCAGTGGAAAAATTTCGCTTCAGGTACAAATCTGAGATGCATGGAACACATGGTTCTTTAAACGGTGCCAATTCCAAAAGAACGCCAAAAACGTTCCCTGAAGTGGAGTTGTGTGGTTTTAATGGGAAAGCAGTGATTCGCTGCAGTCTTTTTCAAACGAATCTAGAAAGTCCACACTCACATCAACTGGTAGTGCGTAAAGATGATACAGATATTTGTGATCCACATATATTGACTGTTTCGCCTGAGCGGGGATATGTAGCACAATTCCAAAATATGGGCATCATACACACCGCAAAGAAATTCATCTTCGAAGAATTGTTAAATAAAAAAAAGAATCGCTTGAAATTTGAACTGGGCAGAGAGGAATTATCCACAAAAGAAGTACAGGAATTGCACAAAGAAACTGAAAAGGAGGCCAAAGAGATGAACTTAAATCAGGTAATAATAACCCCTTAAAACGTCGTGTGTTTATTTAGCTTGCATATTGTAAAATATCCCCTTTTTAAATTACAGGTGCGTCTATGTTTCGAAGCATTTAGAATAGAAGATGATGAGACATACACTCGGATCGCAGCTCCTGTCTATACAAATCCCATAAATAACCGCAAATCAGCACAAACAGGTGAACTACGTATATGTCGCCTTAGTATTGCTACTGGCAGTGTGTCCGGAGGTGATGATCTTATTTTACTAGTGGAAAAAGTAAGCAAGAAAAATATAAAGGTGCGTTTTTACGAAATGAACGAAGATGAAGATCTTATTTGGGAAGCATATGGTAAATTCCGCGAGTCTGATGTGCACCATCAATATGCAATCGTATGCCAAACTCCTCCCTACAAGGACAAAGATATTGATAAGCCTGTGGACGTATCGATTGAGCTTGTGCGTCCTACAGATGATGAACGTAGTTATCCACCTGTAACATTTCGCTATAAACCCCGTGATGTAGTTGTATCACGTAAACGTAGACGAACATGTTCAAGTGCTACAAGCAGTTCGAGTTCAGGTAGCTCTTTAAATTCATTTGAATTACCTAAACCAGTACAGGAGCAGACAGCTAACATAAAAATGGAAACACAACAATATCAAATACAGCAAGGGGGTATAGGAGGTGCTTTTGGTATGAATCAGCCAACTATTAGTGAAGAATTTGATAAAAACTTGCAGATAAGCAAGTTAATTGGTAGTGATTTATTCAAAGAATGTATGCATTTAAATTCCGAGGAACTAGCCGAAATAGTTCCAACAGATTCAGTTGGAAATATGTCAGGCATAGATATTTTAAATGAGCTATCCAATGGTACGCTCGTAGAAGATGGTACATCGTCTACATCCTTTGGGAACCATCAACTCTCCAGTGATATGCGTAACGTGTATAATAAATCTATATTAGGAGTAACCTTGGATGCGCAGCGAAATACTTACTTACTGCGAATTTTTAAAATTTTCGATGGCATAAGAACGTCTAAGAATTTAAGTGGAGATCAATTTTACAAAGCTGCGAAGGAAGTTGAAGATATATTTATTGACCATGCGGAAAGAAATGAGTTACGTGAGAGCATACTACATGAGATTATAATAAGCGATATTCCGAAACTTGTTATAAAGACATGCCATGTATTGGAATATTTTAAGCTGAAACACATCTTTAACAAAGTTCTCAATGCCCACAATGAAACTGCTCTACATACGGCTTGTTTGCATAGCCGCGAAAAGTATATTCGACCTCTTCTGGGCCTCGGTTGCGATCCGAATATTCAAAATAAACAGGGTGATACAGCACTACATATCGCTGTTAAGGAACAGCATCAGAAGTGTATTGAGAGTTTTCTTAATCGTGATGTGCCTCTTGATTTAACAATAAAAAACGACGAAGGCTTTACGCCTCTACATTTGGCCATTCGACAAAGGAATTATGATGTCGCCAAAAGGTTATTACAACATGACTCACGAGCAGCGGTCGTGCCGAATGCTAAGGAACAAAACAATGCTTTACAAATGGCCGTATTACAGTCAGATTTTGAATTTGTAAAATTGATTTTAGAAGTAGCTGCACAACATGTAACCGAGCTGTTAAAAGCATGCAATGCAGCAGGTCGTAACGCTAGTGATTTAGCAAGAGAATTAAACACGAAAGTTGGTATTCAAATTAATACTTACTTCGCATCTTACGGATTTAATATCAACCATAATGATCGTTTAATTATAAAAGAGGAAGAGATCTCTTCATCATCATCAGAAGATGATGAAGACTTAGATAATATACAAGCAGTATCTAATACTATTGAGCAAACCAGAGAAAAGGGAACAATCAGGATTAAAGACGAGTTTAAAGGTATGGGCCTCAATGATACGGACAGAAAAACAGAAGTAAGAATGCCGTCATCCTTTAACGAATTGTTGTGTAATGAAAGAAAATGTCGAAATTTAATGGATGCATTAAATGTTGGAGATAAGTGGAAGCAACTAGCGGTGCCATGTAAAATGCAGCATTTACTATGCTTATGGAATAATGCAGACGATATGCTAGATTATATGCGTAAAAATATTGAATATGACGTGTTTTTATCGGCATTAGAACTTGTAGATAAACAGGTTTTTCAACTGTTACGAAGCACATGAATAAATAACAACAGTTGCAATTTGAGAAAAAACGAGAACTTGTGTGACGCAAGTACTAATTTCTTGGAATTATTTTAGAATATTAAGTTGGCCTATTTGTACAATAGTTTAAAATACATGCGTATCTAATTCATAGAAGAGAATAATAAAATAAGATTTCATGTAAGAAAAATGCATTGATGATTTTGATTTCCTTGCCGTTGCCAAAATGTGTTACACAATAAATGGGCGTATACTATAGGGGAAAAGCTTGTACGTATGACTAATTCTACAATCATATCAGGAATGTCTCTCTTTGTACAGTCTTCTCTCAGCAAGAGTATTGATACTTATTCATTTACATAATTAATTATGATGCATATTCGTCGTGGGCAGTTTAACTAAGAACTCTTCCGTGATTTTCTCGGGAATTTCCGACAGAGTACATACAAAACTTGCAGGAAAACGTGAGAACACTTGTTGTTGTAGCGCTTGTTTACTCTCATTTTTTGGTTTGAACTTACTTTTTGTTTGCATGTATTGTTTACCATGGCGGGGAATAACCTTGTTGCTGGTAAATCCCCAGAATACTTGCAATTCAGTGGCGGTTTGGATTGGAATTGACGGTTTGTTGTTATTTTTACGTTATTGCAGCTGTCATGCTGTGTAGATCCCCTGTACAAACATACATACATATGAAAATATGTATTCGATTTATTATCGGGGCTATGGCTTCAACTAAGGTCGTACGAAGCTTGGAATACACATGCATGTGTGTGCATACAGCTAATTTGTACGTAAAAAGAATCAAGTCATAATTCTCTTTAAATAAGATCAACGTAGGTACAGTCTTATCTCCCCTAATCATTTATGAGGTATTTTATTTTAAAACATAAGGAAAAGGGGATTTTTGCAATGAACATCTTTAAGTTTGTGAAATTGTTCATAGAACATATGGACCTAAACGGGATTAGATCGCCAAAAACGTAACTGCATTTGGCCGATTAAATTCCGGACCTACCTCAGTGTATAAAATCTTCTCGTTTTGATACATGTACACTAGGTGGTTTCCAATTGATATTCCGGCTGCAAAAGTTTGACCTCGTTATTATTGTACATTTCCAAAAACAACAAGACACTCGGGGGTGTTATGGAAACCGACACAAAATTACCCATTTATTGGAATTGCAAATCAATATCTGTTTGAAATGGTGTTATGAAACCGACTTGATTTTACTTTTTCGAAGATAGGCAAAACCTATATTCGAATTAGCTGCCATCACATTTGTGCAAAAACCCAACATTGCAATTTAATTTTTGTACTGGTATTAACACGTTTGTGATTATTAAAAATAAAATGACTTCGGCAGTGATAGCATTTTTGATGGTAGAAGGATTTGAAGAAACCACCCAGAAAATAAAGCGCAAAATTGTAAGGGATAAGAGCAATCCTCTAGAGCTGCCATAGTCGATGTGAACGTAATTTGCATTCCATATCTTTTGCATTTGCTCATACAAAATTTGTTTATATTTAGATTCATAGGCCAATATCGTCTTGACCAAGAAGCTTTTGTTATAGTGCTTGATTTCATTGAAAACAAGTTAATATATGGGTTGTCTATCCCAGCTGCAACTTGCAGTCACACTGCGGTTTTTAGTAGAAGGCTTCTTTTAACGGTCTGTGCGACTCAAATATCTCCTCAGCGCGACCTACATTATCGGCGGTTATAAAAGAAATGCTAAAGGTTTTTGAACGTTTCAATAGCCCACGCTGGATGATTTTAGGAATGAAGGGCAATGAAAATCGAAGAGCTAGTGACCATTTTAACATCATGTACGGTATTTCAGTCATGGCTAGTTGTAAATTCCATTGCTCATGACGTAAATTTTTTTTATTAAATTTCCAAGTCTGTCAACGAATAACTAACTGCTCGATTTCTGTAACACCCCAAAATCGACACAAATTTTATTCCGAATATGAAACAAAAAAAAAAATCCACAATTTATATCACCACATTTGGCCACTCGAAAAAAATTGTGCGATTCACGTAAAAGTTTGTGATGCCAATCTTGAGCAACAGGTTCATCAGTTATCTACTCCAACTTAGTTGGATGGAAAAATGCTGACACATCTTTGCCATCAACCGTTGTTGAACTCCATATGTTTTTAAAATGTACTTTCAGAAATTCGAATTAAGTCTGAACGATAAATTACACATTAATCAAATAAACCTAATCTCTTCGGTTGAAATATTTGGAAATGTTATCGGTAAAGCAGTTATTTTTTTGGGATTTGGTTGTTTTTTTGGCTGTGTAATTACTCCCACATATTGCCAGGTTATTCCTCCAGCGTAGTCGTTATGGATAACATGAATATGTATTGATTAGGAAGCAGAGGACGAGGAAGACCTCCACTCCGTCGGAAAGACCGGGTAGAGAAGGACCTGGCTGTTCTTGGTATTTCCAATTGGCCTCAAACAGCAAAAAAAAGAAGCGAATGGATCAATGTTGTTAAATCGTCTAAAATCGTGTAAGCGGTGCTTAAGGTAGTAAAGTAAGTAAGTACAGTCACTGCCTCCTGCTATGTCAGAGCGTATGATTACCTTGCTATCTTCTGGGATAGTTTCAGCAACTGGACTACTTCTATCGTCTATCATTACAAGCCGTCCGCTGCTGGACAACTCATAAAAAGCCGTGGTCACATTGTTTTTAGTGCCTTTCGGTTTTTTGGGTTTCATTGAAGCGGCCAGCCAAAGCCTTTGTACACGCCATTTTCTTAGATGCGTACTTTAGTGCCGTACGCGTCACTTTTTTTTTTTAATTTTTTCGCTATCGACAATTTGTGGCCGTACAGGACTCTCTGTTGCAAAAATGTACATTTAAACAGATAAAGTGTTAAAGCAAATATCAAAATAAATTTTATTTCGTTCTTACCCGAAACGAAATGTTAAACGGAAAGCTGTCATTAATGTTAACAGATAATGTAAAATGTTAAAATTTAGTTCTGTTAATAACATAGCAGGCAGCCATTTTAAAATTTACTTTAATGCTGAGTTTGTAGGGTTTCAATGTTAACAATACCGTTTCGTTTCGATAACAGCGCCAAAACGAAACCAAATAATTTCGTTTAGTTTATTTTTCATATTAACAAAACGAAATGCTCATCATTTAGATAGTTGAGCATCTACGCTTTAAACGCATCCAGATCTAATACACGGGTTAAATCAGCAACATACTTACGTACTAACAAGTACGTTCGTTAAGAAATGTCAGTAGAAACAAGCCAGTAACGAAAACGAGATATTTATTCTCCCAAAGAAAGAAATTAACTTTCATTGAACAGGATCCAGTAAAAATTAGCCAACAAGTTGTTGCGGTTAAATTTGAATCCGTTCAGTTGTACAGTTTATTGTTTTCGGGCTTTTTTTTTAGTATTTTAATAAAATTTGGAATTAAATAACATATTTAATTTATTAATTGTATTCAAAATTTATTGTGTTTTAACAATGATGAAATTCTACATGCTACGGGCTATAAACCGTCAAACGAAAAATTTACTTAAGATTTTTTCCAATAGTATTCTAAAAAGACGAAGATTTATAACAAAAACTTGCTTTGCAACAATTCGTCGATTAGATTTTTAGTGAGCATGACTGAAATGCGAAAATGAGTTTGAAATTCTATTTCCATGTAAGCCGGACACATTAACTTAACATTATTATAGAGTTCATTCGATTATGTTAAAATAAAAACCAAGCAAGAGCTTTATTTTTCCTTCTAAATGCTACTAATATTCCATTTTGTGCATTGTCGTCGCTTCCGGAAGCTTAAGACACCGCTTTCTAATGAAGTAAAGGGATCCGAAATCGGCTAACGTGGTAACATGACTACATAACATAATTTACATAAAAATTTATATAAAAAAATATTATATATCTTAGTTCTATGACTTCAACATTACCAACATCCAATTACTCAATAGGCTGTAGGCTGTTAGGCTGTGTTGTATGCGGACGACGGTTCCACTCCACGGCCACCACATTTTCGTGTATCGCGTACTCGCATCTTTCGTTTTGCAATATGCCTTGTTCAAATTTCATACCTGATTTGTATCCAACTGACTTGTTCGTTTTCCCCCTCTTCCTCGTCTTCAATGAAATTCAAAACTTTTTACTTTTGCTTAAAACTTAAATTTAAAAATCATACGTTTTATAACAAAGAGGCATTATGGTTTTCTAGTGAGAGAACCGAGTTGCCTTGCGGAAGCGGGAAAGCTGTGTCCAACCTTTTTATTATATACCTATGTATGTATCTACATAAAAGTCTTTGTCCTGTACGACTGACGGATCAACCTACATCCAAAACAACTAATCGTAGACCTGAAACTTGGAGAATGTGTTCTGGTTTGACGATTTTTTTTCCGGAAAGTGGACCTGGGACCGATCTGTTCGAAAAATCGTATTTATGGTTAGATTTACATTTACATTTACTCTTTGCTAAGGTCAATATGTGGAGATTTGGTTTAGATCCGGGACATACATAAATACCTCTTTGCCTTTATTTCTTTTTCATATGCAATCACTACTATTTTAATAATTTAAAAAAAAATAAAAACAAATAAATATAATAATAATAATAATAATTTCTTTATAGCCAAGAAGCAAAAATCATCGATGGTAAAGACATAGCCAATAAAATTAAAGACGAGCTCAAAGAACAGATTTCCCAATATGTTGCTCAAGGAAATCGTTCACCTACACTTACAGCGATCCTGGTTGGTAGCGATCCTGCTAGTCAGACATATGTGAAAAATAAGATGATAGCTGCCAAATATGTCGGCATCGTTAGCAACACAATCGAACTGCCCGAAAGTACAACCCAAGATGAACTTTTAAATAGTATTAAGAAGCTAAATATGGATACAGGTGTTGATGGCATACTTGTTCAATTACCTGTACCGAATCATATAGATGAGCGTACGATATGCAACGCAGTAGCGCCATCCAAGGACGTTGACGGCTTCAATGAGGTAAATGTGGGACGTTTAGCGCTTGACATGAAAACCATTGTACCAGCCACACCGTTAGGAGTATACGAATTACTCCGTCGTACAGAAATCTCCACTTTTGGCAAGAATGTAGTGGTGATTGGAAGGTCTAAGAATGTTGGCATGCCAACAGCAATGCTCTTACACACAGATGGTAATCACGAGTCGAGAGGCTTGGACGCCACTGTAACCATTTGCCATCGCAATACTCCACCCGAACAGCTGAGGAGACACTGTAAATATGCTGATATAATTATAACGGCCGTTGGCAAACCAGGACTCGTGCAGCGTGATATGGTTAAACCCGGTGCATGCATTATAGATATTGGTATTACTCGCGTAGCTGCAAAAGAGCCAGGTAAAACCAAACTTGTCGGAGATGTTGATTTTGAAGGTGTGTATTATTAAATGAAATATTAATCCTAAGTTGATAGTAAATATTTTAATTATTATTTTTTTCTTATAATAGAGGTACGTAAAGTGGCGGGCCACATAACACCGGTACCGGGCGGTGTTGGACCAATGACAGTGGCAATGCTAATGAGTAACACGTTCATGGTTGCCAAGACACTGGCAAAAGCAAGACAAGTCAATAATTGTAATGGCACCAACTAATTTATTTGATATAAATCTTTTATCTATTTAATATTGTACATTTTACTATCTAGTATTTTTCTTTTTTCGTTCAAATATTTTATGCTTATACATAACTACATATGTGCATTTGTAAGAATATATACCCATAAAAATAAAATATTCACAGGTATGTATACTTATATATTTTGTATTGAACATGGCTATAATAAGTATTCTCTTGTATGGTGCGTCAAGTATAACTAATTATGTTTAAATAAAAATTCGAAATCTAACAGTTGATAAACACTTCTAATAGTTCAACGGTAAGTTTAATATAGAAGCGAACAAACGAACAATTATACGGCCTTAATCGAACTGCAGCAGCTTAGAAAATTAGATAGACGATTTCGCGAGCATTCTCCAGAACTAATTTTTAAATTTTAACCTCTTTATATTCAGTGTTGACGATTGTTCGGTTTTTTGGAGAAATATTTGATTTTCGTTGTTACGGTGAGGAGGGTGTTAAAAGGATATATTGCGGCGACCGCGATGGCCGAGTGGTTACTATTGCGTAGTTTCATTCGGATGGACAGGGTTCGAGTCCCGGTACGACCAACATCCAAAAGTTATGGAAAACTAATGTAAACAAAGAATTAAGCCCCTCGGCAGGGAATATCAACTCTTCCGATTGTGTTTCTAACTTGAAAAGCATTGTTGTGAAAAATTGTACAATGAATTTTAAAATATTGCTATCGTTGGAAAGGATATAATATAAATGTGGAGTAGATCTTTGCAATTACCTTTCCAGACAGGGTCTAGATCCTCGTCCCATCTAAGTAAGAATATATCTGTAGAGGCAAGAAATACAACATCAACATGACCTTCCAGTAAGGGGAGTAGATCCTCACCATTTCTAAATGCCAGATATAATTGACAATAAGAAATGGATTAGATCCTCATTTTCTCCTGATGCCTAACATAGTGACAAACTGTTCCTACATTAAAATAAGCTTTATTTTCGTTCCGTTAACCGGACAGTCTAATTTATTAAAAAAGAAAAACGTCTCTTTGTTTAAACTAATTGTGTATTCCGAATTGATTATAAATTAATTCTTTATGGAAAAAACCTAGAAAAGAAACTCAGAAACTCGGCATTTGTTTTCTTATTTTTTCTAAAAACCCTTAGCTCTAGGTGGTGCCAGCTTACTAGCACACTTACATTATTCTAGGGATAATCAACTATCGAAATAGTACCATTTCGTTAATAAGAAAAAAAGTCTTAACGAAATGACTTTGTTTCGTTTCGGTGTCATGTTACCCAAACGAAATGAAATTGTTGATGTTGAAACAGCATAAACTCATGGTTAACGTTAATTTTAAAATGGCTGCCTGCTATGATGTTAACAATACACCTAAATTTTAATATTAAACATTCACTGTTAACGGTTTAACATTAATAGCAGCATCTCGCTCCGTTTGATAACTGCTTTAACGAAAACATTTCCAAATATTTCAACCGTAACGATTGGAATTCTTTATTAACGTGAAATTTATCGTTACGATGCATCCTTGCCCTACTTTGTTCACATACATTTAAAAAAAAAAGGAATTTTCTTTTAACAAAAGTTATAAATATTTTTTTGTACGTGGATTTTTTCAAAATTTATCTTCAGAAGTGGTATAGACTTTGGGTAAAGCTTATTGCTAAACTGATTATTTTAAGGCTGATTCACATAAAATTTTCTACGCCTTTCTTGCTACAATGGAAGCCAATAAACTTTTTTTGCTTTTAATATTTCTTTTTAATATTTCACGGATGCCAGGGACGCTGCATGAAAAACGTGGTCACATTTTAGTTCTTCCAGGATCCTTCCCCTTCCACTTGTTTCGTTTTCTACTACGTATTTATTTAAAAAGTATTTTATTTTAAATTAAGATTACCTTATATTTATTATAAGTTTATAATAAGCAATTTTCTAATAAACATATTTATCATACAGAATACATAATAAATAATTTATTATGATTATATATATTATACAATATTAATAAAATAACTGAAGAACTACCTCCGAGGGAGTAATAATGCAAATCAAGCAGAAAAATATTTGTGATTCTGGATAATATCGAAGTACTATATATGCACATGTTCATGTAAATATAACAAGAATACGTTTTATTGCGATATACATTTACTCACAAAAATGAGTATACACAGGTTTTCGTAAGAGAAATACACAAACTATGCAAAATTTAGTGAATGTATTTGCTTATCAACATGAGCTTTCGCGAACTCAAGCCGCTTTTTTTTATTTACACTGGAGATAAATGGCTTTTTACGTGCTAGCCGTCCATCTAAATTATCTTTGCGAAGAATACGACGAATTATTTCAGTTGATATTGGTTTATTTATTGTTTTGGACACCTTCACCGTTAAATTAGAAACACTTATCTTTCGGTTTATTTCCACTTTACGTACAATATTGCGTTCATTAACATCAGTCAAAATTTTTTTGCGGCCTCTACCACCGGAATTTAGTAACGTTCCTCCATATCTCCATTTATTTATCATTTTTTGAACTGTGCAATGAGGTCTGCCAATAATTTCACCAATTTGTCTGTACGATTTACCTTCACAGGACAATTTTAACACTAATTTTCTTATTTCAATAGTTCTCTCCTTTCTGGTACCAGCTATGGTGAAAGAAATGCACAAAAAAACAATAAATTGTGTTTCTAAGGCTAACACGCAATAAAATCCTTGAAATGTAGTTCAGTGCTAACGTGATCACTTAACGGACAAAAAGATATCTAGAGATGCCACATTTAAAATGTGAGTGTACACGTATACTCAATTTTGTGAACTGAATTTATCAATAATTTAATTTTTTAGTTTTCTTAATGCGAAATAAATTAATTAATTTAGCTTCAAATATAGTCGATAATAGTTCAAGCTTTAAATTTGCATAAAAAAAATCAAATACATGCACTAAATATTGTATAATTTGTGTATTTCTCTTACGAAATTTTTGTGAGTATATAAATACAAGTCGGTCAATATTGGTATTTGCTGAAATTACAAAAATTCGTTTAACACTTTATGTTGTCAAAAAATTTCAAATTAAAATTTTCATATTTATGAATAATCAATTCCAAAACCAGTCATAAGACATTTAAAATTTTCGTTAATCTATATCCTCATTCATTAGAGGGTTAAATATTTATCTGTTCGCTAACGTAAGCCTGAAACTCTGACAAATATTTCCTTCTTATGAACAGCTGATTTCGTTTTTTTTAATTCATAAACATATAAATCCACTTTGTTGTTATGGCAGCTTATAAATTTATCAGATTCATTGAATTATTTATCATAACTATTTTGTTTTGGATAATACCAGTTTGGAAAGCTGAAACGCATAATTTTTTAGTAGAAACAATACATTTGTATAAAGAAACCGAAATGTCGACTAAACAGATATTCAGTTTAGATTTCGAGGTCTTTGGAAAAGTACAAGGTAAGAAATACTAATTCTTATTCTAACAACCATTAACTAATATGCATTTTTTTACAACAATTTCATATCTAGGAGTGTTCTTCAGAAAGGTATGTATAAAACAAAAACATGTAATTCATATTTTGAGGACAAATAACAATTTTCATAACAGCACACCGAAAAGCAGGCAAAGCTTCTGGGATTACGAGGATGGTGCATGAACACTTCCCAGGGTACTGTCCGCGGACAAATGGAAGGAGCACTTGATAAAGTCAATGAAATGTGAGCATTAAAAATTTTGTGTCCGACTTTTTAAAAGAAAGTTTTTTTCTAGGAAGTTCTGGTTGCAAAGTAAAGGTAGCCCCAAGTCACGTATAGACAAAGCTGTGTTTTCAGAAATGAAAGAAATTCCTGATTACAGCTTTAATGCGTTTACAATTAAACATTAAGGATAGTACATATTTGAATCTTAAAATTGAATGAAAAGTTTCAAAATCGTCTAGTTTTTTCATCATATTTTATAATATATCTTCATTTCGGATACAACCCTGTGAAGTAGATAATGCAGTGTAGTGGAAAATGAGCGTGACCATAGCATGTTTCGACCTCTTCAATGCAAATAGCTTGCACTTGCGTGAAATTATACAATTGATTTACGAAGCAATTAATTTGTGATTGAAAACATTACGGAAGGCTGAATGTTACGAAGTGATTCTAAAACGGAGTTATAAAAATTTATATCCAGGATTTTGCAGCCCTAATAAAGTAGTACCAAGTGCGTGTTATTTCACCCTCAATGCAAGTGATGCCACACTTGTAGCAAAATTTGCATATATATATAACTGGTAATTAATAATTTTTCATAAAGAATCAATAAATATACGTTTCTTGAGTGGGTGATAATAATTTAATAAGTATATGTGGTATTTTAAAACAAATTTGGAATCTGTTGTGGCTTGTTGTGGCACCTCTATAATTCATGACCAATAAGACAGACAGAAAAGCAAATACTGTGTTCTCATGTGTGAGAGTAGGATGACAAGTTTACTCGTTAGATCGGGTAACGAGTACGCGCAATGTGTGTTTGACGGCGAAGGAGTAAATAGAAAAACGAGTACAGCAACCATTAATTCACAGTGTGATGAAGATACACGTCGGTTTTAGTAGTGGCTGTGTTCGTTCGATTTCGGATGTGCAGAATAAAAAATATTTCACAGTGAATAAAATATTTGAAAAAGCGTAGAATAAAAATTTGGCTACGACGGTCGCCATTGTTTTACTGCGCACAGTACGAGAACGGTAGTATTGTTTTTTTTTTATCGAGAAGTGCGAGGATAAAAAGTGAAAATTTTTAAAGTTGTAGATTTCAAAGCAAGCGGAAAAAGAGTTTGCTGGGAAAAAGTTTTTCCCTCAATTATCGAATTGGTGTTTGTTGTTCATATAGTTGCTCGTGTTGCTTCTGTAAATCCACATAGGCTACCACTCGTTCTATCTAATTAAATCGAAAAAATAAGGTAAAAAAAATAAAGGCGGCCATAACTAAAAAAAAAATTATTTTGAATTTTTCCGTGTGCTGAAAGAATATTAAAGTACAAATTACTGAGAAAAATTAATTGATGTATACCGAAAGTTCTTCTAGTTCGCTCTGGATATAATATATATTTATCCATAAAAATTTCTGAAGTGATAATAATTATGAAAAAGTATCAAAACTGAAAATTCTGTTCCCGTTTAGAGCCGGAAGAGGAAGAATTTATAGTAAAACTGGAAGCCCATATTGCATGGCGCGATTATGAATGTCTTTAGTGTAAGTGTTCGATTTTTAGGAGGTATTGCTGCTTGATATGTAAAATAAATAACAAAATTGGTCTCTAGTTAAAATTACATCAAATAATTAACAAATAGTGATAGGTGTAAAATAAGGTTAAAGAATTATTAAATTCAAACCAAATAATAATGAAAACTACGACTTTATTTGTGAAATTCCCATTGCAAGTGAGTGTATGTATTTATTATGCGCGGAAATAAACTAGTGTTCCCAATCCGCGTATGAATCCCAACTGTTCCCATCACTGAAAGAAATAGCTGAGTGTGCTGCCGCCGTTGACTCCGACGTTTGTATTAAGAAGCAAAGTGTACCCATACAGTATTTATATGTGTGCAGAGCTCATATCAAAGCTAATTGTAACGTAAATAAAAAAGATAATTATGGACGGTTTAACGATATTTGTACTTAAGTTTGAGTAATTTTCTCGTTGCGTAGTACTTTTTGCCTCTCTTTTACTCACGTGCGGCCGCGGTATAGTCGACTCGCCTTAAAATTTGATTTCAATTTGCTCGCTGTGTGCACTCGTTATTTGAATTGCGATTTTTACTGATTCGCAATAGCAGTTGATCCAACAATTGTGAATGTTTAACTACTTTGCTTTAGTTGGTATGTTTTTTAATCGTAGCTGTCTGATATGTCGTGATGTGTATGAGAACGCGCGTCCGTATATTATGACGCTTATATGAATGAGAGGGTAATATATACACCTTTGTTTCTACTTTAAAAGTTTAGGGAGGCGGGATTTCATGGACAAAACTGGCACATTCGTATCCTTTCAATGCTATGTTACCCAACAATCAGATTACGAAAACCTGTGTAAACTTGGTGTTTTGTTGCGAAATAAAATTAAATTACTAATTTGAATTAGAAAATGTGGGGTTTATTCCTTATCAACAAATAGTTTTTAAACCAAAGTGTAGGATTACCTTGTCGAGTTTTTTTTATGAGTTCAACGTTTTTTAAACGTTTTCAATTGGGATTTCATTGCATATCATTTGAACACATCCACACATGTATAGAAGATCTTTGGTCTCTGGGCCAACTTTCAAGTCAAATTTTTTTAAAAACTTCAGTTTTGTCACAGTATATAATTTTTTTAGAGGGCTTACTACTTAAGATAATTATATAATTGAAGAATTAAAACATTACGTTCATTATGTGCATATGAATATATGTACATACATCTAACCCTAATAGCCGGGAGGGCGTAATAGACTTTTGTTCGATATTCTGTTTTATTTTTTTTTTTGAGTACACAAAAACACGTCTTCTAAAAATTATACTGTATGTTTGTAAACTTCTGCAGTAACTTTTAAAAAGGCTTTTTATAAATAACAATCATTTATTAATTTTTGTTAAGCGATCAGTTCAAATATTTAAGATGTTTTTATTATTAAGTTAGGTTTAGCTGATATGATTTGATTAGTGCAAATAAAACTAATTTATCAACTTATTTATGTTTTTTAGGACTGCCGTTTGGACGTTTTACCACAATAATTTGAGAGAAGCCCGGCCTTGTATACATCTAAACACAACACCTGTAGATATATTCAAGAGTGTTAAGCAGAAGTAGATCGGAAATAAATACGGTCGACCTACTGCCTAAACACCTTTTCGCTATATTCCCATTCCGTAAAAAAGACAAGAATTAAAAATTGAGAAATCAACTGATACAACGGCGCGCGCGATTCGCAGGCGCAGTCAAAGAGTTGGCAGCAGTCGTGGCTCTGAGAACGAGACAGTGGCGGTAGACAACAGTAACAGCGCCAGCCCACTTACCGAGGCTGCGTATGACAGTATCGTGGTTGCTGACACTACGATCACAGAAAAGCCAGATGAAGCAGCTTGTGGAAGTAGCAGCATGGCGCCAGCGCTGAATGAGCCAATGAGTCCCACAGAAAAACTGTCAAACTCGACAAGAAAGGTCACACCTGCAACGCGCTCTGTTAAAAATACAAATGAAGAGACAATTTCGACAACTCCTACGCTCTTAATCACAAGCCCAAACAGCATTTGTATCAATAATGAGACCAAAGAGAAAAGATCGCGAACGCCATCAGTGTCAACTCCCACACCGTCATCGTCAACAGTGTCAACTTCAACGCCGTCATCTTCAGCATTGAATTCGACGCGAGTGACGCGATCTAAGGATGCGTATCAACGCGTTTTCGAGCAGGCAGTCTCACCCACCCCAATAATTTCTCAACAATTAGCTGGCAAACATTCGACGATTACAACCAAAAGTTGTTTGGAAACAGCTAAATGCTTGTCAGATAGTGATAACGCGGCCAAAACCGAAAAGAATAAAAAAAATGTTGCAATCAGTGAAGAACCGATGGCTATGAATAATAAAAAAATTAATATTGACACTGACAAAAATATTGTTGAAACATTTTTTTCGGATGCAGTAGCGGTAGAAGGTTTGGAAAGCGAATCTAATTGCAACAATAATAATAATACGAATATAAGTTGTAAAAGTAATTCTACGGAACAGCTCTTGGCTGATTTGACAAACGATATCGAAGAAACAATTACAACGAAAGTGTGCATTCGCAAACATCTCCAAGACGTTACTGTGGGTAAGAATGGGTCCAATGTTTTGAACGTATTAACAAATACAAAAACGGAAATAAAGGATGTGGATATTATAAAATCTGATGTAAAAGACGCCAAGGATACAAATACAAATATTAGTCCCACTATTTCAGAATCTTCACACAAAGTCGACCTAAGACATGTAGATGTAGGGACTCACAGTGTAAACAGCGATAAAAATGAAAATTGTTTCGAATCAACGTCAAAGGCACTTGCACAGAAACAACCCATAAGTGTAGAGAGAAAGCGGCTTAATAATGACAACACGTCAGGTGAGGTACCGGCAAAGGTTTGTGCGACAGTTCCACCAGATATGCATGGCGAGCAAAAAACTGGTTGTGCGTCTTCCTTGAAAACAGATGTTTCAACACGTTTACAAATTTTGTCTGTAGATGTCCTGCCACCAATTAGTACAGACTCAACAATGACAGCATCCGAAGTAGAGGATAATCTTGAAGGTAGATTTATCTCATAAATAACAAATGTCATATTAATAAAATCATATTTTCTTTTTACGTTAGAGCGTTTAAGTCAGTTAGATGGAACAGCGATGGCTTCTCCGATACGCGAGAGTGTGAATCCGGAAACTGCTAATATGGAAACTATACCAACAACCCCGCCACGCACACCGATAAAGCAACAAACACATCAGCAAGAAGTGCAACAATTGCAACAGCAACTGCAACAAACACCGCCAACTACTTTATCGCAGCAAGCACATCAGCAACACCACATCATTCAACAGCAAAACACATTTACGCCTCAAAGCAGCACATCATCGGTGAATACAATTAACAGCTCGAATTTGCCACCGGCATTCATGAAAGAAAGTGGAGCTGGGGAGTTGGAGGATCAAGATATAGAGGAAGTGCTTAAAGTGCTTAAGGGATTCGATGGCAGTGCTGGGGCTGATACATTGTGCGACTTAAATGTACTCTTTAACGAAGAATACACCCTCAATTATGAAGAGGTCAGTAGTCACATAGCATCTACATCAAATAAACCGAACCCATTAAAAGAGATGCAAAACGAACTCGAGCGCAATCAACAAGGGATGTACCGTAAAATCGACTTTCTTCTAAGACGTTTGAGGAAAATTCAATCTCGCTATATGAGCAAGCATTGCAGTGAAGAGATCGCCGGCTTATTTGAGTGGACGGCTCGGATGTTTGCTGGCAAAGGTGGTGCCATGAACAGATCAACGGATGTTTTGTGTACAGATACGGCAATCAGTGTCATAGCAGCGCGTCCCCCCGCAAGTAATTGGTCAGAAGAAAAGAACCCTGTCGCTTCAACTCAAATGTCATCTATGTTGCGCCGCTTAGAGCAGTCTTCTAATGCTCAACAGCTGTGTATGGTACCCACAAATCGCATTTTGAGTGCCTCAAGCTCGCACATGCCGCGTAAATCTAAGAAAGCGTTTTTACATGAAGTACATACTGCTGCATCCGCATCTGCTGCTGGGTCGTCTGCGACAATGGTTGTTGAACGAAAAGGCGAAATTGTAGTACCAACCTATGATATAAATGTTAGCGAGGAGATGGCTCAGGTTGCTGGGTTACTACAAACCGAAATGAGGGAAGTTCAGACGGCCATGGACTCCGACGCGACAGAATCCAGCTCTGGGGGTGAATCAGCCGATGAAATGGTGACTTATAATAATCAAATTCAGCAACCCTTAGCTATGTAAGTTGTTTTCTTATTTGTATGTCTCTTATCCATTTTTGTGTTTAAATAAAATGAAACTAATTTTGTTTTCTCCTTTTTAAATTTAGTGCGAAACGTGCTGCTTGGCGTTATTCGCGAGATCGAGCAGCGATAGCCGCCCGTTGGTCATGGCTGCTATCACAAATAGCCGACTTAGAAATTAAAATACGGCAACATACTGAACTACGGCAGGAAATTATACGCACTAAGGGCTCAGTGGTATGTAGTTCAGAGGAGCAGAGCGCAACGGAAAATGCTGACGGTCTTAAATCAAACGAAATCTCTGCAACTAATATATCAACATCATCGGTTAACGGTTATAAAGGCAATCTAAATAGTAAAGTAAATGTCAGCGAAGATGTCGAATTAGGACCTTTGGGAGCTGCGCGAACACGGGGCTTTGTACAATTACTTTTCCGTAAGCGAAAGCTACTCCAAACCCAAAGTCTTCACACAATATCGAAAAAAGCTGCGCGGCCAAGGTGATTATATAATAATAAAATGTATAAATGAATATAGCATGGTACTGAACTAGAACACTTCTGAATATGTTACCCAAAAATTAGACTAATTCTATGATTTTATGTTAAAAATTCACTTCTCATATACTTCTCATATACAGTAAAGGAGAATTCTTAAATTTTGGTTTATTTTTTGTTTATATAGGAAATGGTAATTATTATTATTTTTTCGTTTTAAATTACAACTTAAATTCTACGAGTTTTAGTTTAATATTACACATTTAGTAACTTTAGTAACAAATTAAAGTGGGAAGTGGCGTACTCTAACACTATGACTATGAATAAGATAAAGTGGACTCTTAATAAGAGCACAATCTAATTTACTCAACTTTGATATTTATATTATTTCAGTAACATCAAATGTGGCTGCCAATGGCCGTTTAATCCTTGTGCACTATGTACGGGACGATTGGATCCGACGGCACCTCGTGATCCACCAGATACAATGATGTTCGCAGATAGAATAGCGTTAATAGATCCCGGTTATCATCCTGTTTTAAGCTTCCGCGAAGGTGAGTAAAAAATATTCAAATATATAAGATTTAAACAATGATTAGTATTTCATATTTTTATTTTTTTTTAACTTTTTGAACTCTATTTTTTTGAGTACCCAAGAGCTGTCTTAGCAGACAGAGGAGAATGTTGAGTTTATTTATTGACCGAACGACTCTTAAAAAAATTGTCTACCCGATGCCATTTAAGACATCTATTTATTAACCGCGATAATTAGCTTTTGATCTTGATCTTAAACCGATGATTGATTGACATTCGGAAGGCTCGGGCTAAAATCCCGGTGCCACCAACATCCAAGAGCTTATGGAAAATTTATTTAAATAAGAAATTAAGTTCTAATTGCGGTCGCCCCTCGGCAGGGAGTATATTTCGGACATGAAATAAAGACTCCTTGAAAAAAAATCCATCAGCCGTTCGGAGGCGGCTTAGTATAAACTTTAGGTCTCTCCATTTGTTGGAAAAACATCAAGACACAAAACCACAAATTGGAGGAGGAGCTCGGCCGAAAAATCGCTTCAGCGGTTACAAAATGCCAATTTTATATATACATAACAAGTCTGTTGCAATAATTTCAGTAAAATGAACAACATTTTTCTTTGCTAGTTAACTTTTTTTTTTACTATTCATACTTATTTATAATTAATTTTCTTAAAAAAATATAAATATTTATATATTTCGTAGACGTCAGCAGCACTTTGCACTTTGAGGCGATTGCTCGAATGCCAGATTGGCAGCAGCGCGTTATGCGTTGTCAAGTGAAAAGCATTGCAAAAAGTGTCTGGAAAGCTGAACGAGAAGCTGAGCGTGCAGCTGGTCATAATACATCCAAGAAATACAATGAACCGGTTGTAAAACGACGCTACACGAAGAAAAAGGATCGTCTTGCAGCAGAGGAAAAGAATGCGGCGGCGGCAGCGGCTACGTCAACGACAACGAATTCTGCGAATGCGTCATTATCACCTGCAATAGGTCTTGCATCAGATTCATCTGCTAATTTAACAAAAGGAGTTGGAAAAGGTGTCGAAAATGTGGGAGCGTCAGCGAATGTTTCTTATCACAGCGTGAGTGAAACATCAGCGTCATTGCCGGCGAGCGATGGTGGAAATGGTACTAGCACTTTGTCTACGTCTACTACAACAACGCCACTTGTGGCCAACAGTAAATTATTGTAAACATGAAAAATTCGATAATTGATATTAACATAAAACAAAAACAATTTTGCATCTCTTTTTCTTTCCATTTTGTGTTGCAATATGAACTGATCTGATCCTTGTTGAAACGACTACAAAACCATTTGCATCTAATGTTTTCATGTTATTGTGATTTCGATCTGTTCACGCGATGACCGGATTAATTTGCTTGACAATAATATCATCGTTCTTGACGTTACTCAATGCCGCCTGCCGCCAATTGCAATGAAATAATAATAAAAAAAAATCAATCAATCGCTTTTGATTACGAATGGATTGGATTATCGTTTGATACGATAAAAAATGGATATGTCGTACAACGTACATAACATTTATTTCATCCAACTCCATTAATTATTTTTATTTACCGAAAATGGACGTTTGATGCAACAATACTATTACAAAAAAATAAATTTACCTGGACACATCTATTCGAAAATGAAAACATTTTTCGAAATAAAACAAAATATTTTATGCAACCGATTTTTTTGTTTTCTTTAACGCAATGACAACCGGATTTTATGATTTTTTCAACACGAAACCTATTTTCATCAATTGAAATTTATGACTTATATGCATATAATAGAATCGGTAAAAAAATCAAAAAAGTTGCACCACTATCATTTGGTTGGCGACGGGGTATTGTTGGAACCGCCACGCCCCTTATCGCCAATCGCAACAAACCACAGCAGTCACAGTCAAAGCAGCCATCACAGCCAACAAAGCGGCAACAGCAACAGCAATTGCATCCATCAAACAAGCGACAATCCACCACAAAATTACGACCAATTCAGTCCCAGCCCAATACATTCATCATTGATCTCCAACAACAGTAATGGTCTTAACGGCGGTGGCAGTGGCGGTGGAGTTGGCGTTGGCGGCAGCAGTGGCATCGGCAACCATAAGCATAATAATAAAAATCGTAAAAGTTCTGCGTCAAGCATATCCACCGGAATCGCTAATAACACCAGCCATCATCATCAGAGTAGTTATTCGACTACGAACTACACCAATTATAACGGTGATACCAATGATGGGAATTGGGATAGCTTTATTGCACGTAGTCGTACATCATCACCGACACATACAAGCGGATCTGCCGTTAACAGTAGTTACTATAAGTACGAAAGGTGAGTTTGTCACGATTGCTTATGCTAATACTTTATGTAAGAGAATACAGAAAAGCACTCTGTATGTATTACATTAAGAGCATACATTGGCGATTCATTATACGTGTCTGCTTTAACTTTGCAGGTCTAAAAATCGGACTTCGTACGACATAGACAACATTGTTATACCATATAGTGTGGCGGCAACGACTCGCGTTGAGATTTTGCCGTACAAGGAAATACCAACACCCAAGTAGGTGGATATTAGAGTTTGATTTACAAAGTAACTCTTTCTTTAGTTTCTAATTTTTTTTTTGTATATATTTTGTATACAATATACCTTAATTAAGACATTAACATTTTACGGAAATAATTTTATAAACTTACAATATGTTTGAAATGTCTTTGAGCACTATATATTATTAGTATGCATTAAATTGATGGCTTTATTTACCAAATATGCGCATATATGTTATGTCTATTCATTATTTTGCTCGATACCTTTTTGTCATTGTAAAGGTAATGATTATGATTATGCCTTTCTCAAAGAAACCCTTATGTACTAACAAACTTATTATGCGCATCTCTATTGGTGGAAAACATTATAAAGCACCTTTTTAATACTTCTAGATTTTTTTTTTACATTTAAATCCCCTATAAATAAGTAACAAAACAAAAAAAAACATAGAAGTGTTTTGCTTTTTGTGCATATTTTTCCTGTTGATTTTGAAGTTTAAAGAAATGCAATCTATGTACAGTCAAAGTCAAAAGCTTAAATATACCTATAAAATTACACCTTTTTATTAAAATTAAACATTTTATAGTAAATGTAAGAATGCAGTTTATTTAAAGTAGATAATTAATCAACAATGCAATCCAAAAAAAAAATATTCGAAGTCGCGTAAATAACGGTAAAGTCATTAAAAACATGAAATTACTCGGACAACAGTTTAAATACAATACATACGTGTATCATTTCATATTTGGACTAAATCAAACTAAAAATAAAGGTGTTTAAAACAATTTTAATATTTTGTTGGCCCACCACATGCTTCTACAGCTGCCTTTATGACGACGTGGAGTAGATGTAACCGGATTTTCTATTTCAAATGGCGCAATTTCAGACTATGCACTTTTCCGATATTCTTCCAAGGCTTATTTGCCGCCATAGAAATCTTTCGTGCCAATAACTCCCAAATATGCTCATTGGGGTTCAAGTCTGATTATAGCGGCGGACTATAAAGCTGTTGAGGAACATAATACAATAGTCTTTCCTTCCCCAAACCCGCTGCATGGTTAGGTCTGTTGTCTTGTTCAAATATCTACGAGCTTCCGAGACCCAAGAAATCCACGGAGGACTGCCTATTTTGATCCAAAATACTTTTGTAAACATATATGATCATTATTCCATAGATAAACGTTAAATGTCCTACGCCTGTTGATTCAATCGCTCCCCAAACGTTGACGCTACCCTCAACGTGTTTAACGGTTAAATTTTGGGGTTGATAAGCTATCATTGCTTTACGCCAAATTTTTACGCAGCCAACGCTTCCGAACCTGTTAAATTTCAATTCGCTCGTAAATAGGAGTTTTCTCCAATAGAATTCATACATATCTTTGTATTTATTTGCAAACTAAAGACGAAGTTGCTTATTTTTCTCAGATATAAAAGAGGTTTTTGCTTCAATAGCTATCTTTCCGTTCTTGTTATAGTTTTTAGGTGTACATTTTTGCCCAATATTTTAGCGATGCTTTCGGCTATCTTTGGAGCTCTTATTTTAGGATTTCTTGTCACTTTCTTGGTGATAAAAGTAACCCCTTGCCAGGATGGCTTCCTTGGACGCCTAGATCTTGGCCTATTTCCAATAGATTTGTAGGTTTTTACTTTCGAACAATATTTTGCACACTCGCATAAGGATAATCAAAATTTTTTCCTATATATCAGTAAGATTTTTCCTTCTTGAAAATATTTAAATAATTTACGCATTTTTTTTTACTTTACATTTTTTACATTACATTCACTGTTGGAGAAGAAGTTGCATCTAATACCGGGTAAATGTGTATAATTTGCTAAATTATTGATAACGATACTTAATGTCTAAAGAACTTGCAAAGCAAATGCGATGGGTATTTTTCTTTGGTTGTATTTCAACTTTTATCTCGCGTGATTTCATGTTTTTAATGAACATACCGTTATCTACGCAACTTTGAATATTTTTTTTTTTGGATTGCATTATTGATTAATTATCTACTTTAAATAAACTGCATTCTTACATTTACTCTAAAATGCTTAATTTTAATAAAAAGTGGAATGATCGGTGTATTTAAACTTTTGTCTTTGTGTATATCTTATTTGTTTAGATGTTCTGCGAGAATTTTTTTTTTTACTCAATACCTTATAAATAGTGTTTGGTATGTTATTTCAATTAAGACTTGGATTACATCTTGCATTATTACAAAAATAATATATTATGCTGTTTCAATGTAGATGGCGCGTTATTGAGGAGGATCAAAAACTTGCTCTGTGCACATCCACTTCAGAAATGGAGTCAGATAAACTTGGTAATGCCGAAAGCAGTGATAACAAAGTGAAAAATGACACATGTGAAATTGGCAACAAGCCACAATGTGATATATCTGCAGAGAAGGCGGAGGAAACCCACAATGCACGAGAGAGGGAAGAAAAGGAGGTGACAGTAGAAGGGAACACCACGAATAAAAAACCAATTCAAGGATCTGAAAATGTAGACGTTATTGTAGCAAGCCAACCAAATGCTAAACAGAATAATGTTGCGAAGAGTGTTTCTTCTGATGTTGAGTTATCAAATGCGTCAGGTTTAAATAGCAATAACATTTTAGATAATACCAACATAAATGCTATAATAAAACCGGATGACAAAATGACGACAGTGAATGAACTTTCCACAGTCAATGCACTTTCCGACGAACCTGCCGTTAAAAAATCCAAACATGAAAGTGCTGGCGAAAGCAAAAGCTCTATTGTGAATAGTAACGTTTTCAAAAATGTTGAGGTAGCTGAAGCGGCAAATGAAAACGATTCCACCACTTCGAACGCAACAAAAATTACCAAAGGAGAAACAATGTTGGCATTAAAACGAGCAACCCGACTGAAACGAAGTAATACAATTCAAGAAGAGTCCGTAAATGTTGATGCCACTGCGGATGAAACAAGTGAAACAGAAGACATTTCTAATGAAACCGTCATGTTGCGCCATGAACGTGCATTAGCCGAGGAGCGTCGAAAATTCAAAACCTATTTGAAATACCCATGGAGTACTCGCTCTCGCGCTAATCGTCGTATAGATAGTCGTGCAGAATCTAGTGGTGCCAACACTCCAGATCCTTGCTCTCCAGCACCGCCAACACTCAGTTTAGGTGGTACTGATCAGGAGGTAATTTACTTTACATATTCAATACAAAAAAGAAGCATATTTGTTAACGCCTCAATAATTCCAGAGCATACCCTCTCCATCGGCGCTGTCAACACCACTGCATCCATTGGATGCGATTACTGAAGCGACTGAAAATGGCACAAGTAAGTAAATATACTTACCAAAAATAAAGTCTAATTTCAAAAAAGGTGAAAATATACTCGTACATTTCATAAGCGATAAAAGTTATAAATTGGTCAAAGTTTCTAAGTAAAAGAAGGATATATACTCCTAAAAATGTATCTACTGTAACTTACAATCTCCTTCTCATCAAAAAAGGGTTTGAATAAAAACAGGCGCTTGCGCTGCCAACTGATTCCCATACCTTTCAGATATACGGTGTTGTTGAGAATTTTATGTGAACAAATTTGCGTGAACATTTTTAACGTAAACAAAAATAAATTCCCATATTTGTCTCTGCTCTCTGTCGAAATTTTCACGCGATTTTTTTTACATAAATTTCGCGATGATACCAATAAACCACGGTTTATAGAATACAAGGCTACGACAAGCGTTGACGTCACCGCACCAGCTTCTTTATATATGCAGTGGGCATGACTCGATATTTGCATAATAAAAATAAATAATTTTTTTTTCATTAAAAATACATATACATATATATATCACTCGCGCAATTTATATTAACGCCCAAACTTTCTTTCCAAATTTTTGTCTATAACCCAGCGCACCACATTTTAAAAATTACCAGAATTTTATAGTCAAAATGTTACATTGGAAACAGGAAAATAAATCAACTTCGTCATTAAACATATGATTTCGCTCTTATCGCAACCTGAAAATACTCTAAAAACCTTGTCAATAAACAAAATATTCCACTAAAACCGTTCTAGCCTATACGTATATGTACATATCTTTTTAATTAATTAATACAATTAAGAACTGAGCGTATGTAGGCATACCACCGGTCAGGCCTATCTGTAGACTTAAACCAAAGCTAGTCAGTTTTTCAGTTGTTCTAATTAAATTCCAATTTCGAACGCAAGACTAGATACAAATATAAAAACAGATGGTGGTGCTATATTACGTACACTTTGTTAAACTATACGCCTTTGAGTCATAAGTATTTCAATTGAGTGGAGAAGAACATATTATTTAGTGTTCTGCACAGATAGCGTGGTTAGGATATTGACGGATGTTTTATTATTTTAGGCAATCCTGCGAACGCTATCGGTGGTGTTTCATCCCATACTAATAACAACGATATGAATAAGCGTTTAGAGCGACGTCGAACAACATCTATGAAAAAAGATCGCGAATTGGAGCGAAGAAGCTCTACTCCAGATCCAAAAGAGGTAAATTTAGATAAATATATATATATATATATATATTTTTTTTATATTCACCAACTCTCTGTCTATCTGCATGCAGCTTGTACCACCATATGAACCTCTAAAATTTCCACTTACCGACGAAGAATTTGAAGGTTTACTGAAGGCAATGCCTGTCGAATTTCATTATTTGGATTTCGATGCTAAGTATTTAGAAGACTGTAACAACATTGGTGCCTCCGCTGGTGGCTCCAAATTTTCTCGTCAGCGCAGCAATTGGCGTGGGGATATCCCAGTCCTAGCTAATAGGCGAGGCAAGTTGACCTCAACAACACAAAACTGTGATGCTACAAATAATAAGAGACAGCGAGTAAATAACAATGGGCGAATACGTAAGGGTTCCAAAGGTGGTAGGGGTAGACGACGTGGTAATCTCACACGCGTTCCAGTTAATGAATCGACAAATGGTGTGAATGGCGCTGACGAAGTGGAAGACGAAGAGGTTGAAGATGATGACGTCGATTTAATGATGCTTTTAGCTGAAGAAGATGATGATTATGACTATCCGAAACATCATTTGGCACCCGACGATGATCTCTTTGATGGCGGTTCTAGCAGTGTGGCCGGCATTGGTGTTGGTGGTACTTTGAATGGGAGTGCACGTGATCGTATGTTCAATATCGATGATGAATATGAGGCCTATCTGGGACGGCGTCATCGTGAAACTGATGTTGACACTACGGATAGCGAACCATTCGGTGACGATGATCCAAACGATCCGGAATGGCGTGGTGAAGGTGAAGATCGTGGGGGCGGGGGCAGCAATGAGCGACATCGCCGCACCGCAAGGTAGCGGGAGCTAATGAGGGAAAGCATATAAGGCCGCCACTTAGCTTTCATCAAAGTAATAAATAATTTAAACTTAATTTAACACAATCGCTATATGCTATGATGCGTTGCATTAATATTTAGTTTGCATTATGCTGTTTGCTATTGCTGAAGCCATAATTTTAAAAACCTTCCCCAGTTTTAATTACAATATCTTATATGCATACGTACTATATTGCAGAATGAGATGAACTGCATATAGTAAGATATAATAATTGTGACGATTGATAAAAGTGTATCCAGAGATTTTTGTTTCCTATTAATTCATAAAGTCACAAATTCCATTTTTCAATTAATTTGGCACATTTGTTAAATATTTTTGTGTAAATAATTACTTTTTTTGCGCTATTATGCGTTGCTTGCTGTAGAAATATGCAAATGTTTTTTTCTTATTGTAATGAAGTTGAAAACTTGTAATTCACTTATATATTTGTACGGCAGTATTGCTGTGCATTTATTTTACTTTAAATATCTACATACATACATACATATATATAAAACAAAAATATTTTAATTGAAATTTGTCAAAAAACTACCACTAGGAACATATTATTACTTTGATATTTTTAATAAAGTCCAAGGAATACAGAAAATCGGAAAATCGTAAAATTTACTGTTTACTGTGGTATGATTTTACCTAAAGGCACAGTCACATAAAGCTTTATGTCGTATTCGTCATTTTTTGCGCACAATCAGCAGAAAAAGAACGCATTGTAAAAATTATGCATAAGTTTATTATTTTAATATTTTTATCGGCAAATAGATTTCATATTGAAAATAGAATACACAGTGAAAAACGTACACACACACATTTGTATTTAAATAATTATAGTCAATGGCGTAACCATAGAAAACAAAACTAATTAGAATTAAATAATACTTATGCTTAAACTTAGTATATATATAATATTCAGATGTAAAACTCACTTATAATTAAACAAAAATGAAGAACTAGTTTAACAAATTCAGAATTGGCTTGTTGAATATGACTTTCCCGAAGCACACATATATACGTGTATGTATGTATATGTGAATTATTTTCAATTTAGTTGAACGTTGGATAATTATGTTCATACCAGTCAAGATTATTTCTCACGATCTGCAAAACTCGTGTTTGAGGCGGCATTCGTTTAAGTTAAATAATTCTCTAAAACTGTTTGTTGTGCAATTTAAATTGATAAATATTTTGGACAGATACAAAATTATTAAGATTTCACTCTCTAATTACTTATTAATTAATTACAATCCATTATACATAAATGCCTATTGAAAACACCTCGAGACAAAAGTAATTTTTCACTCGCAAATTCTCGTTTAGTTTTGAACATGCTATTGTAACAGTTGATTTCAAGAAAGACTCTGCAAAAAAATAAATGCATTCGCTGAATTGTGAGGGCTTCCACATAATTTGGTGGTTTCACTTATATGAATGGTCAGTGCAAATGGGTAAAGGAATCGCATTCGGGCAGGGCATTCAAACAGAAGTAAAGATAAAGTAATCAAATTTCGGTAACTTGGCTTCGTGTTACACAATTTCCTATTACATATATCGTACAGTAGAGTTTACATACATATATATCATAAAGTTTTTTTTTTTGTTATGAAGCTGACTTCTTTCATACATACTTTAGATAATTAATAAAGTGAAATGTCATTTCTATTAAAGATATTCTCTGTGCGATCAAAATTTATAAATATCATATTCACACACCATGTTTTCAAAAAATTGTCATTAAGAAATCTTTACAAATTACATTAATTCGAAAAATGCTGGATCCAAATCTCATATGTAATTTTTCTCTATGTGAGTTTCTTTTTTTTTTTTAAATAAACTTACATGTATGTATGTATATATAACTATATTCAAATACAAAGGTGTAAAAAATAATGTTTATCAGAAATTCTCTTAGAGTTTACGTATCTGTGCGAGGGCCTTAGGTCTAAGTAAAGATATTTTGCAACCACTAAACATATTTACGATTAAGTTTTATAATTAAAAACAGCAAAAAAAAATTAAAATGAAATAAATTAATAATATGTATAAAAAACCAAATACAAATCGATACTAAATTAAATCATCGCTGGTTTGGTCGACGCACATTTTTATTGACAAAAAAAGAGATTATTAACAAAATACGTACTTATCTAAATCAACATATTGTCAATTTAATGATGACTGCTCCGTAGTAGAACCTTCTTTATTTAATTTTGATTCAAGGTATTCTGTACTTTATCATTTTATCAATAGAATTTTTTTTTTAATTTAAATTAGTTACATCTTTTTTTTTAGCTCTTCTCTTTTATTCCTCTATAAGTAGCTGACTAGTATTTGAAAAGAGTAAAACATACTTGCTATAGACAGTCAAACTCAACTTATATTTTTATAAAAAATTAAAAGTAAGCACCAAATTAAAGAAAATGCCAATGGAGAAACGAATATGGGCTACATGAGGAAAACGTAGGTCTCAACACTTTCAAAGATGTTGACATCAGTTGTAGCGAGTGTAGCCGAAATATAAGCCTTTTCGCATTCAGTAAATTCAAAATACGGTCGAATACAAAATTCGAAAATTCGTTTTCGTGCTATACTTATTGTAGTTTACACCGAAATCGAAATTATTACTGATGAAAAAATTAATTGATTTTAATGTCTTTAAAATTTCTTTACTATTATAAAGAAGAATTCAGTCATGTAGAGCGATTTAATGTGCGAGAGTCGCCAAATTGATTGTAGAAAACGTTTCGGAAGAGCCATTTGGGCCGCTTCTATTTACATAAGTATGACACGAATTGGCTCCACTCTTTCTGTAACTCTTGAAGTTCAGTCGCCCCTTATATCGGATGAATTGTTGCTCAACTAACAGTGTCCTGTCTGTTGCTAACATATGTATATATGTATGTAACTTAAAAACTGTGCTTTTGGTATTTTTATTCCACTTGTAAGTCAGCCTAATGGTGGTATATACATAAATATATGTATATATATATATATAAATCTAAACTTGTATTGATAAGAACGATAAAATTAAAAATTAGAAATTACAAATATGTAGAATAACTTGAATTAGAGCAAGATGTAAAAAAATATTAATTCATTCTAATGTGTGAAAAATTATAACTTTGCATGTGTATGGGTGACTGTGTGAGGTATGCATGTATTAAGTATTTGAAATTAAACAATAATTCATTATTTTTTAGTTGTTAATATATTTACATACATAGATACATACATACATACATACAGATATAAAACACAAATTATCGTACAGAAAGTAAATTATATTATTAAATATGCAATTATGCAAAAACTAGTATATATGTATGTATTTATGATTTATATACGCTAATATGTACATTTGTATAAAAAAATTAATACTTTTATGCTGTGGCTTGCACTCCTTCATGCCGTTAATACACAGCAAGGAATGCATGCATGCATACATATGTACGAAGGTGTATATTTACATATATATAATTAATGTATAGGTATGTAGTAGAAACAAAATAATTATTAAAAATATATTGTATATAGGATTTGCATACATAAGTATGTGTGTGCGAATATTTGCAATTTTTTTTTTTTGGTGAAACTGTGAAAAACTGTTGAAAAAATTGGTATATGGACAAAAATAAATTATATACATAAATTCATAGTTATAGTATAACTTATATATAGATTCAACAAATGATCACAATTATTAACGTCAAATAAAACCGTATATCGGATACAAACAATTTAAAAGCATTGTATTTTTTATGCATAAAATTCCAAATTTAGTTATAACATTTGATGCATAACTGTTTTTCATACTTATATTATATTAGTTGTTGCTTTATTATATTAATTTTGAAATTGTTAAATTGTTGGGAAGAACTGTTTTGCAAAAAAGTCAAAGGGGTTTTAAATGGATAACTTTCGGTATGATACCCATAAACAAAGCACAAAAGTTATCATTATTTTTGAGTGTTTTTTTTATGAAAAATTTCAGGTGTACAACTTTTGCCGTTTTCCAATAAGTGGCTGTACCGGCTGAGGCTGGTTGAAATACATAGATGATAATGCCTTTAAAGTGAGTGTGGACAGTGCCTAACGAATTGTCATCGCCGTTTCGGTGACAGTTGATCTTGTTTTCGTATTATTCACGCTCGAAAATGTTACAATTCGAAAAAAATGCAGCTGAAGCGCATCGAATGCTCTCAGAAACTTACGGTGATGCTGCTCTGAGTGAAAGAACGTGTCGGGAGTGGTTTCAACATTTTAAAAATGGTGATCTCGATGTCGAAGACAAACATGGTGGTGGAAGAGAAAAACCCTCAAAGATGAACAACTAGAAGCATTGCTTGATGAAGATTCGAGCCGAACCCAAGAACAGCTTGCCGAATCGTTGGGAGTGAGTCAGCAAGCCATTTCAGAACGTCTCAAGCGGCTACAATATCAAGAGCGACATGACAAAGTCATCCTCCAACACGACAATGCTCGGCCTCACGTCGCAAAAGTGGTCAAAAAGTACCTGGAAACGCTGAAATGGTAAGTGTTGCCCCACCCGCCGTATTCCCCAGATGTCGCCCCTTCTGACTTCCACCTATTCCGTTCGATGGCACACGGCCTGGCAGAACAACATTTTCAATCCTTCGAAGAATTGGAAAAATGGATTGCTTCATGGATAGCGTCAAAAGAGGACTCCTTTTTTCGAGCCGGGATCCGAAAATTGCCGGGAAGATGGGAGAAAGTTGTCGCTAGCGAATGACAATCCTTTGAATAATATATCTGTAAGCACTTTTTCACAATAAAGATTTTAATTTTGGAAAAAACGGCGGAAGCATAGTTGTACACCTGATATTAATTATTTATTCAGTTTTATTTTTTTGATCATATATTAAAATTTTTTGCTGAGTAGTAGTTTTCCATTCAAAAATACAAATTATTCTAGAACTTCAATTTATTCAACTTATTTAATCTTATTTTTAGTTTTATTTTTTACTTTTTTTACTTTCTTTAAATTTTTATTTTTTTTTTATTTTTTCTTATTTTTTTTTTAATTTATTTTTTTAAATTAATTTTTTTTATATTTTTTTTATATTTTTTTTTTATATTTTTTTTAAATTTATTTTTTTTAACAGAACGAATAGCTCAAATCGTCATAGAGCCATTTAATAATAAGTGCTAAAATCGTTTTGTACAGAGCTAACAATATCTAAAATTCAAATGATTTACTAATTTCTGAAAAAATGTACATATACAAAAGTATATACAGTCAAGGAAAAAAGTCTACGTACACCCCTGGATTTTGTGATTCTGGCTAATTGGTAACGAAAATTACAAAAATAAAAAAATTTAAGGCATTTGTTAAAAAGTAGTTATTTGCAATAACAAAAACAAAAATCACTGCTTGTCGACGCCGGGGCATTTAGGTCACTAAATTTTGAGTTATATCGGTAGAAATTTCGGCCCAAGCCCCTGTAAGGACGCTTTATAGACTTTCGCGGCGACTATCTGGTGACTGTAATGAATTTAGTTGTCTGTGGGCGTTAAAAGAAAACCAATCTCGAATAAAGTGAGTCGTGTGCTTTGGATCGTTGTCCGGTTGAAAAATCCAGTGCTCTCCAAGACCCAAACTATCCACAGATGAATACAAAACGGCCCACTCCATATGAAGCCATGGAACCCCAAACTAAAACGCTACCACCTCCATGTTTGAACGTAAGAATAACATTCTTCATCGGTATTTTGTTTTCTCTCAATTCCATTTCTCAGGATGTGTTTCAGCAAATTCAAGTCGCTGGTATATTTTTCTCGTCAATTCAAAGTTTTTTTTTGTGCTATTCTACTTCAAATCCTACTTCATGTGCCGCATTATGGTTTCTGGATGAGCATTAAAATTTGAACATTTTTCTTCCGAACCTTTACAATGGAGTTCACGTTTTACCGCTCACAGCTTTCTGGGTCGGCCAGATCGTGGCTTTATTTCGGTAATTTTTGTATTATTACAGTTTTTAATGATGCTTTGTTCTGCAGAACGCTCAATTTTACAGTTTTAATCACTTTTGCAACAGAAATACTCGAAACAAATCGACAATACAAAAGGAGTATTCCATTCTTTAGTTTCACTTTTGAACGTTAAGCAAGACTAAATGCTTTGCCAGACTCGGGAATGACCTCTCCGAGCCGTCCAAAATCAAATGCGAATTCATCCAAGATGATTCCTTGTCGTTTGACTTCTTTAATTTCCTTCTGGAACAAATAATCAGGGCTTTAGAACTCGGCGTACGCCGATGATATTGACATTATTAGCTTTAATAACCACGCCTCGAGTTCTGCTTTCTATAGACTTGATAAAGAGGCGAAGGATAGGAGTCTGGTAGTGAATGAGAGCAAGTTGAAATATCTCCTGTCCTCAAACATATAGTCGTCGCATTTGTGACTCGGTTCTCATGTCACTATTGAAAGTCATAACTTTCAAGTCGCAGATAATTTTGTCTACAGGCAATATATCTTGGAACCAGTATTAACACCAACAACAATGACAGCCTGAAAATCCAAAACCAACAGGGGCTACTTTCGATTGAGTAGGCCATCGAAAATTTAAGTCATCGCTCAAGGAACGAAGATCAAACTCTACAAGTTGATCATCCTTCCCGTCTTGTTATATGGTGCGGAAGCATGGACGATGGAAACAGTTAATGAGTCGGCGTTAAAAGTTTTATGTGAAATGTATGGTCCTATATGGGTTAGGAACGGCGACTACCCCAGCCGATGGAATGATGAGGTGGACGAGATGTACCGTGACATTAACATAATACAACGAATCAAAGAAACAGCGGCTGCGCTGGCTAGGTCATGTCGTCCGGATGGATAAGAATAAAACAGCTTTGCAAGAAGAAGAAGAAGAAAACGAAAGAAATATTGACATAAAGACTTTATTTAATCTGACATAAAGACATAAAGACTTTATTAAATTTCTTAACAAATTAACCGAATTCGCAAAATCGAAGGGGTGTATGTAGACTTTTTTCCTTTACTGTATATTTTACGTTACATATGTATGTATGTACTAAGTCTCCTCATGGGTCCTCGCTATAATCTTTATTCCCATCATGATTAGCTTCCTCTTTCGATAACTTCTTTGGTCTAATTAACATGCGCGTCTTAAATAAGGAATAGTCACCACGCCATTGCTCCCAAATGATGCCCACATAATTGTGTCCCTTTGGAGTTTCACGGTAAATACCATTTAAATTTGCCTCCGAGCAGCTGGCACAGATGGCATAAAAAGAGGAGCATGAAAGAATATACATACATATGTTGGAAAAACACACAACTTACTTATCGAACCACCAACCGCTGCCGTAACCGGAGGCGCAGGCACAGCACGCATCCACGCTTTTATCATTGCGTCGATCGTAGGTACTGAAGTCCATTTCATTGTGATAATGCATGGCGTCGGGTGCGGTACCGCTGTAGCCACCAATCAACAGATTATAGTTGTAACTTTCGCTGTCCATGCGGAATAGTGAATACTCGGCCCACACGTGCTCTGTATTTGCAGCGATGTTAGTCGATTTATTTTTGAGCTAGAAAATATGTATGCAGTTGCAGTATACCATTCGCTTACCGTTATCAAAATCAGTTAATTCTATACGTAGCTTGTAATCATCCCGATCGACCACTTGATGTATGAATTCATTTCCATACCAAAACTCCTTGTTCAGCTCACCAAAACCATGCTTATAATCCAACCAAGAACGATTGAAATTCTCGTGTTCGTTAAATGGACCTCGATTCTGTATAACCGTCCATGCCGGGCCATCATCGGTGGCGAAGGCGCAGTAGCGTTGGTTGGAATCACGTCCCGCCTCATTTAATTCGGGTGTGGAGAATTTGTATACTCCATCAATGGACGGGCCATGCAACTCATGACAGGCGGTCTTCTCGGGCTGGGAGAAGTCTTTAAATTAAAAAACAAAAAAAAGTATATAAATTATATGGATTGATTTCCGTGCAGAAAGTGGTCGAGGGAAATATATAGGCGCTGCATTGTAATGATTGAGATTGTTGGTGCATTTCCGTAAGAGGCGGAAACAATGTAACCCCAATTTACGGAAAGCCTTGAATACATCCCTCTGCAAGTGAGGTTGGGCGAGTAAGAACAAAAACTACTCTATTCGACATCGTACGGAAGGTACAAATAACTTTAGCATAACTTAGCTTTCCTTTGTATGACTTTCTGCTCAAGAACATAAAACACCGTTTAAGTTTTGCTCTCTTGATTAGTCTGGACAGAGATAAGAGTAAACTTTTGAGCCCTTACCTAACGCATACTCTGTGTTATATGAGCTTTAAATATAGTCGGCTGTCAGTATGACGCTTAGACGTTGTGACCTCAAATCAAACTCTAATTTGTGTAAACACAAGAGCCTTTTTATAGATTCGGTTGTTTTATGCGGAAGATTTAATATCAACATTCCATTTATATAAAATTTCAAACGCGAGGGTTAGGAATAAATTCTTGGGAGGCCCTTGCTGAGTTCTTATATATCTCGAATCCATTATCGTTTTCTTAAAACAACTTAAGATTATTATTTCGATGATATAATTTGGAGCTTTTCTTCTGCGAACGTCAATAATCTGCACTAATAATACCTTCGAGTTTTTTCTTCAGATTATGCAATAAACATACTTCCTCTTTACTAGCTTAGACAGCGAGACATCCTCAGCTTCCTTCGGGTATTGCATCGAAAACTTTCTTGGTACTTTTTCGTCTGGAAAGATAGACGAAACCTCCGAATTTTGACTGTTAACAGAGACGCGGAAGCTTAATCCCGACTGTTTTTTTTTCTCGTTTACTACCAGACCTACACGCTTCGCTTCCTTATCCAGCGTGGAGAAAGTGTAACTCATGACGCGGTTGTTGATGCCAATGATGTTAATGTCGTCGTCGTACGCCATCTATTTAGCGTTATTTACAATATTTTCCAGAAATAGATTAAAGTAGTCACACAATAAGCAATAGCCTTGTTGGAAGTGCTGATCACCTAACTCAGTAATACCACTGTATGAGCACATGTGAAATAAATATTGCACAAAAAAAGGCTGGTTGCACTAAGAGTTGACGAGAAAAAACCTCATGGACCGAATTTCCATTTACGAATTTCTTCAGCGGATGGTGACTGGTGATGAAAAGTGAATCACTTACAGCAATTTCAAACAAAAACGGTCGTGGTCGAAGGGCAGTGAACCGTCACAAACGGTCTCCAACCCAGGATTGACGGCCAGCAAGGTTTTATTGTGTGCTTCATCTTATAGTATTTTTATGAGGAGTTTTCATAATAGCATAAATACCTCATAAATCTTGGTAAGAAAACCAAGTCAAATTATATTCGAAAAGATAAAATAGTTATAGTGATGCGAGTAAATAATTTAGAATAACTTCTACCGAAAAACCATGAGAATTCGAATGATATTTATCTGTGCGGCGGTAATACTTACCAACCACTTCGAAACCATCATCGATCTTTTCGGTTTGTACCTCCACGCCTACATCTGTAGGTCCATCGATGTCTTCAACGACAACGTTGGTAGTTGACATATCTTCTTCGACTTCACCTTCCGACTCTTTGTCGCTCTCTTCTTCATCGGCAATACGTTTTCTATCTACCTCATCAGTATCTTCTGATTCAACTGCGTCTTCATCGTCTTCGTTGGCATCATCATCAGCCTTCTTGGTTGATTTTGTTTTGTCCATTTTACTTTCATTTACTTCGTGCAGCAAGAACTCAATACGTTTAAGTAATAAATCTGAGCTTTCAGTAAAAGTAGTCAATTCACCAGACATGGTCTGACATTGATGCCAGCCAATGGCACTATCATCTCGCCATTGCAGCAACTGCTCATCAACTTTACTCATCCAATTAATGATTTTCTCCAATTGCTGTGAATTTTTCCTCGTTAAAGTTTGTAATTGCTTCAAATCTTTGGGTGCAGACGTTCGTGTAGTGAGCCTTGATATCTGTTGATCTAATGATTTCAAAGAGCGTTCAATATTTTGGCTTGAATTGCAACCGCCAATTGGTGCCATTAGTTTTGCTACTTTACTGTTGGTGTTACCCCCATTGGTGTTACCATTTGTTGTCGGCTGCCGGCGTTCGCCACGACAATTATCGCGTTCAATGTTTTGCACATGCCGCAATATGTTATTGAGGCGTGACGATAGCTCACCACGCAGCTGCCTGTCAACGTCAATCGCATGTTTTACGTCCCCCAACAACGCAATGTGCTCGTAAAGCAACTCTTTGGTTTCTTGATTTTGTTGTTGTATAGTGTCATGCTCATTGTCATTGCCATTGGTGTTCATACGAGCATGTGTATTATATGGTGTTGGCGATCGTATGGTGGTGGCGCCGATTTGGTGCGCATTGCAAGTATCACTCAGATACACCACTTTGCTTAGTATGTGATTAAGTGTAAACTCTAGACTGATAAACTTATTTCCAAATGCTTGCTGCTCATCTTGCGTACGTCTAACCAAATCTAATTTGTGTTCTACAGCCTTAATTTGTTCGTTCCAGGCGTCAATGTGGTGACGGAAGATCGCCCAATTGTGCGCCTTTTCCTCTAAACTCTGAACGGCACCATCAATACGATTTAAAGCATGATTGAGGTGTTCCAGCTTTAAGGCATTGGTGCAATCACTTGAAGAAATCGATGAGTTATTTACTACGTCTGTTGACGTTGAATTGGTCGCAATTATGGGATCAGCTCGGATTTGGTGAAAAATCAAAAAGGGAACAATCATTCCCAATGTATGTGAATTCAGAAAATGCATTCTTAAATATATCACTTATGAGTGTACAAAATCTTGCAACACAACTGATCCTTACTATTTATGCCTTTCGAAGCTCGGATCCTGAATTCCGCACAGTTCAAGTGTTCGAATCAAACTGAACAAAGTGTATCACTGTGCAGTGAATACATATGGGTCCGATGGTCATGACTAAAGTAGCTTATGTACGTTTGCATGTTGGATTTTTTGCCTCGATCAAAGAATGTTCAAACATTCCCATGGATATAGAGATTTATGCGTGGCCTGACATATGCCACAGCACACATGCTCCCTTTATTTGTACTCAGATATATATTTAAGTATATACATATTTACATACATTTATATATATATAGGCATGTAGTATTTTATTATGTGCGAAAACTAAAATTTTTTCCAGATGTTGACAGTGTCACGAATCTTCCCGAAAGTAATTTTTTTCACATTAATATTATTATATATAGATATACTCAATAATATTTATAAGCATATAATAAGTATTGCTACGATTTTAGAGATTATGGGCTTAGGATTAGTCTGAAATTCACACTAGCGAAGTTAATTAACGAAGAGGCAGTTAAATATTTGATGGCCAACTGAAAGCGGCCCTGCAAATTATATTGCACATATGGCGCAAAAAATATGGCCAAGTTTAATAAAAACCTTCAAGTTTGAATAAAACGGAAACGGATATAATATTACTGCTGTTTGTTTATAAAAAAAACTACGCAAGAAATTAACACTACTTAACCGACTTTCACATATTACAATCATTGTTGCCAGCATTTTTTCAGCAATATAGCCAAAAGGGCAAAAATAGAAGCTGAGGAGTGTCAGAGTGAATAAATTAAAAAGAATGTTGAAATTCAATTGGTTTTTTTGTTTTGTTTTTATGCAAAAGCACACACACCCACACAAAAAAAAAGAAAATTCTAGCATATAAAAATTTAACTTAATACGTACTCTCATGTCAAAGCTTGTATAAAAGTAACGTTTTTGAAAAGAAACTCCTATAAATTGGCTCCGATTCGATCTAAGTGCAATTTTTTCTAACCTTTCGATCTTTCTGATAGTTATTATAAAGCTTTTTAACCGCTGAAATAAAAAAGCCACGGAAAGTGTAAAGAAAGAAAATGGAAGATGCATAAAATGTTATATTAATTATCAAAAGGCTTTCAAATATCGAACTGTTTTTTCATGAAGATCATGAAATATATATGTTGCTGTTACGAATTATACATTTGTTCCTTCTTACAACTTTGTGGTGATTCGTTTAGAAAAATTAAATTTTCCTAAATCTGGATTAAGCAGAATATTTTTATGATAAAAACTAAAGATCACTAAATAATATTTTTTTAAGATTTTTTCAAGCTAAATGTCGAAACGAAGAACTAAATCTTGCGAGAGAAAGCTAAACGGCAATATTGAAAATAATATATCTAGAATTTTTACCCATGCCAAAACACACAGTTGTGTTAATTGTACCTACCATGGAGTACATTCCTAATAACAGTGTTATCGACAAATTGTAAATTAGAGAAAGAAATCCGCTTAGCTCAACATTGTCATAACAGGAAAGCCTTCGAGAAAAAGTGAGATGACTATATTCGACGTTTCTTTAGTGTTGTTAGGCTGACTTAAATATTTTTCTGTTTATTCAGAAACTTTTCTACAAATCAAACTACAAAACTTTCTATAACAAATTAAAATCAAAATTATTTTTCTTTAAACAATATAATGTTTTCGATGTTTTATATGTGAACAACGCTTTTCATTTTGTAAAAACATTCATAGATGCATCCCTGCCATACAAAGAACAACAACAAAGTACAAGCTGGCAGTGTCAGTCGATCGTCGACATTCAATCGAGAAAAGTGCAGTATTGAAAATAAATCAACACATTTCATTAAGCAGACTAGTAAAATTAACATAAATCTTTCCATTGTTCAATTAAATTAAAGTTCGATACAAAGTAAGGGTAAAAAATTTGTTGAAACCATGAATAGCAATGTAATAAAAGTGCTTCCAAGACCTGTGTGAAGTAGGAGAAGTGAAGAAGGTGAAGTGCCACTCCTTTGTGTAAAAGACGAATATGCCTGTAATGGAGACAAAGTGTTTGGAGCAGAAGTGAAGGAAAACACGATAATTAAATTTAAATGCAAAGGACGGTATGACGACCAAGCAATAAAGTTTGTGTAAGAAAGATGTAAAATAATTGTGTAGAATGCAGAGTAAAGTTAATTAAATGCTTGTGAGAAATAACCCGATAAAGAAATATGTATTCCTTATACATAGAAATTCTTCCGGATAAAAAAAACAAGTTTTATTATAACTAAAACGTAATTGGTGATTAATTATACGCAACGAGGATTGAACACCGAACGGAATGTGCATTGATAAGGAATATTTGAAAATTATACAATTGAAAATATTATAAAGGATATTGATTCAAAGTGCGTCAATAAAACTCTTAAAAAAGAAACTAATTTACATGACTAGTGCAGTGCGGTAGAATATATTCAAGCCTTTATAAAGAGCGATCGCTAGTGTGCTTAGCATTGAAAAGCTTTGCATGAGTCACAGATTTTAGTGAGCAATAGCACAACTAAGCCGCTAAAGTAACGAAATTAAGGGTAGCAACAATTCTGGAGATAATTAGGTGTGTTATTTATATCAAGGATTGTGATTACATACAGCCAATATGACGAGCTTTACAAGTTTAAAAGGTTGGTTCGGACGTAAAAAGGAACCAATCTCAGAGATAGGTAATCCAACCAATTTTCAGCGGCATTACCATGTATCGCGAAACGAAGAAACGGGTCATCTTGAGGGCCTGCCTGCGTCGTGGACTAGACTTATGAATGCACAGATTACCCGCGATGAACAAGATAAGAATCCTGATGCTGCTTACCACGCGGTTAAATATTATAATTATTCCATAAAGAAAAAAGATAATGATGTTTTTAAGCCCTTTATAACAGAAGAGGCCATTCACGAGGAATCGAAAGAAATTGATAACTATGTTAATTACAAAAATAAACATAAATCACACGATCCAGATAAGTCAGATGATGATGAACTATATGGTGGTGGAAGCTCGACAGGTGAGAGTGGAGCCTCGTCCAGTGGCAATAGCAATAGTAGCAGTTTCAATGATAATCAGCAAGCCATCCGTATGACCGGTTTGAATCAAGTGATAAAAGAATTAGAGTCTAATTTACTAGCACAGCGGGAAACCTTGAAACCAATATCATCTTTTACCGGTGACGAACGCCCACCATTACCTGCCAAAAAATTGCAAACTTTACCGCCTAAACCAGTCTTGAAACCAAAGCCACGAGCTGTAACGCAACAGCTTTCGCGGGGAGTCTCAGATTTAACAACGATCAATTCAACTGAAGAACCCTTGCATAAAATCAACACTAATACTATAATTCTTAACCCCGCAGCCCCAGCAGATGCTGATACGGATCCGGCTGACGAATCTATTCTTCGACGTTCAAAGGATAAACGTGCACAAAAGACAGACGCTGAAGTTTATGAGGAACTTCGGGCTATTTGCAATATGGATGATCCACGTGAGCGTTATCACACCACACAAGAAGTGGGTAAAGGAGCTTCCGGAATAGTATTTATCGCAGCCGATTTGAAAAGCGAAGCGCAGGTTGCAGTTAAAACTATTGATTTAAAAAATCAGTCTTCAAAGGATCTTATACTCACTGAGATAAGAGTATTGAAGGACTTTAATCATAAAAATTTGGTTAATTTCCTAGATGCATATTTGCTCGAACCAGAAGATCAATTATGGGTAATAATGGAATATATGGATGGCGGTCCGCTTACCGACGTTGTTACTGAGACTGTTATGAAAGAGCGACAGATTGCTTGTGTTTGCCGTGAAGTTCTTTATGCAATAAGCTTTCTACATTCCAAAGGTATCATTCATCGCGATATTAAATCGGATAATGTATTGCTGGGAATGGATGGTTCAGTAAAGGTAACAGACTTCGGATTCTGCGCGAATATCGAAGGTGACGAAAAACGTCAAACCATGGTTGGTACACCGTACTGGATGGCACCTGAAGTAGTCACACGTAAGAAGTACGGAAAGAAGGTAGATATCTGGTCAATTGGTATTATGGCAATAGAAATGATCGAAGGCCAACCACCATATCTCTATGAGACACCACTACGTGCGCTTTATCTTATTGCCGCAAATGGCAGACCCGATATTAAAAGCTGGGATAAATTAAGTCCTAGTCTACAAGATTTTCTAGATTGTTGTCTACAAGTTGAGGTCGACAAACGTGCGACAGCGGATGAATTGTTACGGCATCCATTCCTGGACGATTGCAGCGAAGTTAAAGCACTGGTGCCTAATATAAAAGCAGCCAAGAAGGTGTTACGTAGAATGGTGTAAAGTTTCAAAATAACATGAAAGGGAAGGAAAGATAAAAGCATAAAAATTGACTACATCAATCAATGGAGTATATAAAGTCGTGCAATTGCAATATTGAATTAGTGCAGTTGTATTAATGAGCTGTGCGAGAACGATAGGTATTTCAGTTACCTATTTATATACTATATAATTATAGATATGAATAAGAGAAGGGATCAACCGTATGGATAAGAGAAAAAATTGAGTACTAGAATGAGGTTTATTAGCTGCCACATAGTCTTACGCTAAGTCAATATTTACGACGGAGGGGTGATGTGGAGTACTAAATTGAAAAAATTACGTATAAGAATGCCGTTTTTGTTGTTGACTGAAAAACGTTGTCGAAAACAAGGAATATATATTTTAAATTCTTACATTAAACGAAAAGATGCGAGAAGATCGCGGGTCGAGCAGTATTGCAATAAGAAATTGATGGGTGAGTTAACACAATAAATATTTTTACATATACATACATACATATATATGAATTTATATCTATTATTTGGCTGCAACAAAGCTGCATTTATTCATACAATTTTGTTTACTAATTTCGGCCGAAAATGCCGAAAGCCCACGGCTCGAGACCAATTAGCATCGGTAGAAAATGCAAAGTCCTCCGAGTGCTTTTATACACAAAAAAAATCGTCGTTTCGGCGGTTACAAAGCGCCATTTATACATTGAGAGCGGAAAGTTTACGGAAGTTGTAAATAAAACTTAAAGTTTTTAATCTTCACTAATATTTATTTTGTCGCCTTCAAAATATGCTCTTTCTTTTTCCAATCATCAAAACATGCCTTGTAAGCAGTGGGTAACAGGAGTTTTGGAATCAAAAAAGGTCGCATGGGGTCAAATCCGATGAATGTGGTGGTTGAACGATTGTGTTAAACGAGCTTTTGCTCTTAAAATCGTCCACAACTACAGCTCAATTTTAATCATTTTCAAAAATTATGTAATGAAAACACATTTACAAGAGAGTTATTTTTATTCCGCAGTTGTTTTCGCTAATATAACAATCAAATGAATGTGGTCCGAAATCGTACGCATTGTTACGTATTGGACATACATAAAATATCATAAAAGAGGTTACCAACTCTTAAATTTTCAGTCAATATGTATGTGTGCACGCAACCATGTAGCAGCGATCAGGTGTGCACTAATGAAAGAAAGTGTTTTACGCCAGATTTGTTATTGCCCAATACTGTAGCTATACTCGTATTTATTTGCATAAAATTTCTTTTATTTTCCCTGCTCAAATGCTTTTGCCAGTATCCCAATTTAGTCACAAACTGTGCGAAGTCAAAACTCTTTTGATAAAATACAAAATGATATTCAAACCATTACGAACCCAATAAAGAAACGAATTGGGCTTCATATGCGAAAATTCTCTAATAAACTTATTTAGGCAGTATTTTGCAACAACTGGTGAATAGTCGCGTTTGTAAATTGATTTATCGGGTATTTTTTTTATTATTACTTTTCGAATTCCCATAAATTTTTTCCCTGCAAGCAATCAACTAACGAATTCTTTTTATTGTTACAATTTTGGTATCGCGAATATCGAAATATATATAATTTTAAAAGCATTTTTTATGCGAATTCATATAGTATAGGCTTGTATAGCCCGAAGTCTCCACAAGTAATAACTGATGTGGTGAGTTACGTGTCATAAAATAAATTGCTTGTGGAGACCGGTGATTACTGATAGCCGGCAATATTTATATGTCAGAGCTTATTGCTTGGCATATATAGCCTTGATGAAAGACTGTCACATTTTCAACCTTTCGCTTTAACAGCTAAACTTTCATTTGCACGAAAGCTGGCTGGTGGCAGATATTTTAAGATTATAGCGCATTCACATAGAAACAGGTTATGGTTATTTACAATAAACTGTGGAGATAACCATTTTGAGTCAACATATATGCATACCTAAAATCACCAAATCGTATGTGAGAAATTTATAGCTGCCTTTGTATATATTCCATAGCTTTATCCATTCGAAATATTTTTCTGTATTTTGCTGTCAAAATTCCAATAAATATATTCACAATAGATACTAAAGCCTTGCATTTTTGAATATTATTTTCAAATACTTATACTTATAATACCTTCCAACATAACAACGCTTATTTTTGCTAGGATATAAGGTAACCTTGAGCTGAACAAAGTTACCTTTTCATGCAAATCATATGGTTAACCACACATTTTTGCAGTTTGGTTACGAGATAACCACGATAACCTGGCTAAGCTGATTAAAAGTTTTCATTACTGATCTCTATCTTTCTTTTTAAGCAAGTTTTTTTTTTTAATGCAGAGAACAAACTTGGTTAGCGCCATTTTACAATGGAATATATTAAGAAATCAAATTGTTGGCAATTATCTGCCAAAATGACAGTTGATTTACAGTTACCCTTAAACACATACATTCTACAAAAGTATATACTACATATTATGTTGAATTTTTTTTTTGTTTTTTTAAAATATCGGAGACATCTTATCACTTGAAAAATTTCTAGGCCAAAGTATATTCATAAAGCATTCATTTGAAAAACTTAATTTTTGTTTTATTATCTTTGCCTTCTTGTTTGTTTGTTATCAACAAATGCGCAGCGATAAACGAAAGTGTTTCCCCCAACATACCGATTTGGTAAGCCGAAGCTCATTGGCATGCACTGTTGAATGTTATTACTTTTATCTTTGACAGTGGGTAACAATTGGTGTAGTGTGTACGAATTTTGTTATGGGTATAAGCTCTTGTTGCCGAATACGGTTAGTCATGTTAGCGCTGGTGTGAACGTAAAACGGTATTAGTTGTAAGCATAAAGCTACAATGAACATATATACATACATATATATATTCATACATACATTTATATATACATACATAAAAATTGTTCATTAACTCCAAGATATTTATAACAAAATGAACTTAAAGAGTGTTTAATTAAACAGTTAATAATTTTACTAGCAATATTGTTGTGAAATTACACTTACTTTGACCCATTTGGAGCCTTACTCTCGTCTCGCAGCTCTACAGATCATTATGTAGAGAAACTGATCTGTTATGAAAGCAGAGAAGTGCATAAAAGTAGCATTTATTTTTTTTTCTGAGTTAAGCACCATAAAATTGGTTAAATTTGTTCAACTTTCCTGAGAACCAGGTCACACCGCCTTTAACTAAGTTACAAGGTGAGTGTGGACAATGGCCCTGCGGAGTAGGGGTTCAAGCATTTCCCCGTGGTAAGGCATGCCTTTCGTAAGAGGCGACTCAAATCCAAAAGTTTCCGCGACACGTCGAAATGTTCGAGAATGCAATGAAATGCCATTATGGTGGGTGTTCCAACAGGACAATGACACCGAAAAAAATGAAGCTCTTAAAAGGCGCAGTAGTGATTTACGAATCATTCGATCTGTCGTATAAAATATTTTCTCTTTATCTTCAAAATACGGCGAAAACTGCCTCCTTGACTTCATCATCGGTGATGGATTTCATTTTTGGAAGAAGTCATAATATCATCGGGGCGTAGTGAGGGTGTTTCGAAATGTACAAACCGTCTTATGCCAACACAACCCGGCTCTTGTGAACGGGCGAGTAATCACCTTTCGTAACGAGTCGCAATAGACCGTTGTCATGTGTTTCCCAGTTGGCATTGACACCTTAAACTTTTTGGGAGTTGCTGTGCTCTTTATGCCCCTGCATGAATTCTTATTTCGGCTAAAGTTCATTAGATTGAATCCACGGTTCGTTTCCATTCATTATAGATTTCGAATTTTTTCAATGCCGATTATATTGGTTGGTTGACGATAGTTCAAAGACTAATAGTTTTATAAGAAATTAAAGATCCTACTGATCCTAAACAATCCCTTAAACTCTCTATCCGTGACTATAAAAACGGTCCCTCGTATGTTCTGTACACATCTTGCGGCGTCTTATTGCAAGCAGGTCATTTATAGGTTGAGTATGTCAGGACCCTGTCTGGTTAGGCAGGAATTAAGTCGACTACAGTATCTAGATCTAATATAGAGTCTTACTCGGGCCTGGCGAAGCAGTTGTTCTGAAAGAATGTGCGAAGCAATTAATTTATTAAAGAAAACTTTTGGTGAGTGCAATGTCTCTGGTGGCATAGAAGCCCGAAACGATTGATACTTTATAAGAGAATATTCGGAATGTTATTGCGAACATAACTGATGGCACGGCTTATAATAAAGCAAAACTTTGGCCATAACATAAAATTATATGTGTTTTACATCATCTTGATAGCCATGTGCCTAAGAAAACACCTTATATTATCATATGTTTTTGAGTAGCAAAAGATTTTGAAGGAATTCCGCATGTAAAAAGTGGTTTCCTCCAATCACATACCGATAAAAATGCATCTCTACATAACGAAAAATAAATATGTGATTTGGCTTAATCTTTTTTTGTTTTTGCTTTGGCTTTTGAGCATATCACTCATTACAAATTTCGTACGTGTAAACATCCGCTTTATATCATCACATCACAGCTATCATTTCCTGAGCGATGTGGTTCAAAAATGTGAGAATTATGAAAGTGCAGAGATCGATTAGCCTACTATAAATTAGTTTCCAATGCATATAAACTAATAATTGTGGCAGAAAATGCTCTCGGAAACTTTGACTTTTCGTTTCTCTTTCTATCATCTAATAGGTTTTGTGAAATTTCATTTTCGCCAGCCGTTCACATTATTTATCTTCAGAGTAGCCATGTGTGTTGTTGTGTAGAGAAATGGCGCTTGTAGTGGCCGTGACGGCCGGCATTCACGTTCTCACTGTTGCTTTCAACTCTGTTTTGTTTATATATTAGTATTTGGTATTTTTTTACATTTGTTTTTGTTGCTTTGTGTGTTTTGTACGTGATTGTGCTTTTTGTATACTTCTATAGTCAGTTGATTATTAATACATACTTACGTTGATTTAAACTTGCTTTGAGAATTTTTTCGTATTTCTTATATTTTTCTATATTAATTATTCTAAGCATTTATTTCTTGGCCTTAGTTGTGTGTCAGCTGTTTATAGATGATTCCCAACAAAATTAAAATTATGATTTTTTTTGCATGTACACAGTTAGGATAAGCAAAATAGCACTAGTAAAACTAAATTTTATATTCTTCAAAAAAAAAAAAAAAAAAATGGTTGCAATATTATTATTACTGTTAAAGCTAAAGAAGCCTAGTCAAAGAGTTTTCACAGAGCCATCTACGTTTCACCTATTAAGCAAAACCGGGCCAACGAATTGATTCCGATTCCAGCCCGCGTTTCCCGGAAAAAAGTGTTCGTTTCGTTAATTTAAGCGAAAGGCTACCCATGCACCAAATTTCAAGAAAATTCTAATATTTAACAACAAACTCGATTTTTTTTTAACAGACCGGTCCACATTCTGGAAAGTCCTTACTTATCGGTTGCCCACGTTTCAGATC